CTTATTTCGGTTGGTGCTCTACATATTTTCCCTTCATATATAATTTTATCAATTCTATTATCTGCTTTTCTGCTTTTTTAACTGGTTTGTTAGAATTTTATCTGCCCTGTTTTGTCGGTAGTAGTACTTAATTTTTAATTTGTGCATTTTTCTATATTTTCTGTTATTTTATTTTTAATGGTCTGTTTAATTTTTTTTTTTTTATTTGTCCTTCTTGATTTGGATTTATTTTATATTCTTTAACGGTTTTATATAATTGGATATATAAATTAGCTAGCCCCAATCCCTCCTTTTTTTGCATATTTTTTTAAATTTTTATACATTGCCCTCTTATAGTTGCCTTATATGTGCACCATATTATTTGGTCTGATGTCTCCATGGGGCTATTTTCTATGAAAAAGTATCTAGATATTTCTTTCAGAAATTCCTGATTTTCTTTGTTATATAGGATTGATTCATTTAATTTCCATGTGGTCCTAGGGTAAAAGGTCTTCCCCTCTTTTAGATCTAATATAATACTATTATGATCCGACCAGACTATTGTTTTAATCTCTATCTGTTCAACTTTTCCTATTACCTTTGGGTCTCCTAAGAAAAAATCTATTATTGAATAAGAATTATGTGGCCATGAATAGAAAGTATAATCTTTGGTTCTTATTCTCCAAATATCGTATAGATTATTTTTTTTGATAATGTTGTGAAAGGTTCTAGCGTTCTTTATATACCTCTTTTGTTGATATTTGTATTGTTTGTACTATATTTATCCATTATTATGTCTAACACACAATTGAAATCCCCACCCCAAATTATATAGCCCATAGCGATTTTTTTTCAAGAATTTGTGAAAAAATAATTTCATCGGATTGACATAGGGCAGGTAAACATTTACCAAGGTATATAATTCATTATTAATTATGCAGACTAAAATTAAAAACCTTCCTTCTATATTGCAGAGTGACTTATAAGTGTTTTGCAAACATGGTTGCTACTCCTGCTTTTTTCCCCTCTTTTTTTGGAGGAACTACATACTAATGGGAAGAATCTTCTATACCAGACAGTTTTATCTCTAAGGGTCCAATGTGTCTCCTGTATGAGGGCTACTTGTATTTTTTCAGTTACTAAATATTCGTTAAATGCCCATCTTTTGTGAGGGGTGTTTAGACCTTGAATGTTAATTGAAATTAATTTCACCATTATTAATACAGAGTTGAATAATCCGGCCATTAATTTTTCGACTAATATCTATATTTATGTTATCATCCATTACTGTAACTGGTCCTTTCACACATTCTTTACATTCATTCATTCAAACTTCTTATACTAGGATGGATCTCTATATTTCAGAGATCTTCACTTACACAATTTTTTTTTAGATGCCGAATTCTAGGCTATCTCTAAGTTCTATTTAGAACTCATGGGCGGAGTGATTCAATCGATATGGAGGTGGGATAGTTACTAAGTCTCCTTTACTTTATTATTTCTCTTTCTTTTTCTTATTTACTTTTTATATATAATTGTCTATTAGCTTTACTTATCTTTTCATAGACTTTCTTATTATATTGCTTGGACTTTCATTGAAAGAGAAACAAAGAAAAAAAACAAAAAAAAAACACAATGTCTCTATACTTCGGTCTCCTACTTCCTTCATTGTCTCCTTCTTTTTCCATTTCTTTTCCTTTCTTCTTCCCTCCTCTCTTTATAGTGATTTTTAAGTGCTGCTTTTAAAATTACTATTTTTATTATTAATAGGTGCTCTTTACTGAAAAAGGATATAGAATTAATATATCTAAAAATCTTCTTATTTCATGTAATTTTCCCACGTGATTTATACTGTGATCATTTATGTCTTTTATATAAATAATCTATTCCCTTCTATTTCCCCATTTCCCTTTTGTGTGGTTTCCTTTCCATCTCATTTTCCCTTTTCTCCCTCTTTTGCTTCTTTTAATTATAAAATACCTCTTATGTTACTTATCAGTCTATGGTATGAGTGCTATATTTAATTTTAATAACTTTGTGTCATTTCATCCCAGAAGAAGGAGGAGGAGAAAAAACCCCACTAAATGCTCTACTTCCAATAGTCCTTTGGGACCTCTAGTGCAGGATACTTCATTATCATATTAATTGTTTTTCTTTTAGCCAGGTCAACAATTTCTCTACTGAGTCAAAAACCTCTAAGTGGCCATCACTAAAAATCCCTAATGCTGTAGGGAACCCCCACGTGTATTTTATGTTATATTTTCTTAATGTAGATATAGCTGGAGTGTATTTTTTCCTTTGTGATCTAGTGAAATAAGAAAAGTCCGGAAATAATATTATATTCTTAAATTCTTCTCCTTGCGGATCTTTCGTTCTGCTTGCTTTCAATATTTTTTCTTTATATTGAAATGATTGGAAACAGCATATGATATCTCTTTCCTTGTTGTCTGATATATTTTGGGGTTTAAATACCCTATGATATCTTTCTAGATTCTGGTTATATTTTTCCACTTCAATCCCCCAGGCTTTCCAAAGCTCAGTCAGAAACCCTGGGATTTTATCCTGGGTGATTGATTCTGGGACATTTCTTATTCGCAAATTATTGCGTCTCGAACGATCTTCCAAATCACCTAATTTTATCTCCATTTCTTATATTTTTTTTTTACATTTCATCATTTTGTTCTTTTAGTAATTTTTCTTGGAATTCCATAGATATAATTTTTTCTTCAAGTATATTTATTTTACCTGTCAGAAGTCTCATCTGACAGAATCTCTTCAGAGTTCTGATTAATTTGTTTCATTATGGACTTCGATTGAGATTCTAGACAACTTTCTAAGTATTCCGCTGTTATCTGCGTATTTGATATACTCTCAGTACTACTTGGTGCCTCTTCTAGTCTTGGTGTCATTAAAGACACATCATCTGTCTTTTTTTCTTTGTTTAAAGGTTTATAATGCTATAACAGAGTTAACTATACTACCACAGAGATCAAATGCATCAAGGACCTGGGCCAGGTAGTCCCACCTGACTCTGTCAAAAGCCTTTTCGGCATCCAATGACAAAGTCAGGAGGGAGACCCCATTTCGCTGCGCCATGTCTTTTATGTCGATAATTCTTCTGACATTATGGAAGATCTACTCTTAATAAAACAAGTCTGGTGTTTATGGATAATTGAAGGGATTGTGTTATTTAGTCAAGCTGCAAAAATAGCAGCATACAATTTCAGATCTACACTTAGTAGGGAGATAGGCCTATAATTTCCAATCATTTTTGGGCTCTTGTTTTGTTTAAATATTGGTTTAATATGGGCTTTTAACATTTTCCTCGGTTCATCTCCTGTTGAACTGATCTGATTAAATTCCTTGAATATTATTTGCTAATGACAAATCAAAAAAAAATTACTAAAGACATCTGGTCCAGGTGATTTATTCACTTTGAGATTTCTTATGGCTATCTCTGCTTCATTTAGAGTAATATCTTCATTACGTTTAATCAAAAGGTCTGCAGAAATTTTAGGTAAATTATGTTTATATAAAAATAGTGAGACATTAACAGGGGACTGTCTCTCTTGTAAGTTGTACAAAGCCAAGTAAAAATCCTTAAACACTTTGCCAAACAATGCAATGGATGCAACTATTTCTAGAGAGGCCAGAAAATCTGCTTTTCCACTGACTAGATAGTTCTGCCTCTTTAAGAGAACCAATAGATACAAAACTAGATGCAGATTTATCTAAAGTCTATACTGTATCCAGAGCTATGAAGATTTGGCTGGGTGAACCGTAATCCGCTATAGAGAACGGTGTTAAGAGATGTTATATTTTAATTATTTTTGGCATCTATACAGGACCAACATATTCCAGAGTGATTTACAATATTATAAAAGGGGAACATTTAACAATAAATGGGAAAATTACAAAATGTTACCGGAACTTTGGGTTGGCGAGGACTCTGCACAAATGAGCTTACAGTCTAAAGTAGGTGGGGAAAGGTAAGACAACGAGGGGGATAGCAACTAAACAAGGTGGGAAAGTAGCGGAATTGGAGATGAGAGTGGAGTGTGGCCCTTTAGGAGTGAGCAAGAGATAGGTTTTGCAAAATCGAAGTTTCTCTGGGAGGCCATATGTGTTTCTAGGAGTTGGGTTTTGAGGGATTTCTTAAATGATTGAAGACAAGAGTAGAATTTGATTGGGGTAGGCAGGCTGTTCCAAAGGAAAGGAGACACTCGTGAGAAGTTTGGGAAGCATAAGTTAGTAGTAAGGGTGCGAGCAGCAGACAGGAGAATGTCACCAGCAGAGAGGCTGAGAAGGGGGATACCTATGTATTAGTGAAGAAATATAACAAGGGCTAGAGTTGTTAAGAGCTTCATAGGTAATCGTTCGTATTTTGAATTGACTCCTATAGAATACAAGAAGCCAATGTAAGGATTGATAAAGGGGCGAGGTGTGAGAGGAGCGGTAGGAGAGAATCCTGGTGGCAGGATTCATTACAGACTGGAATGAGGCAGTATGGCTTCTGTGGAGACCAACAAGGAGAAAATTACAGTGATCAATGAGAGAAATTACTAGAGCATGAACAAGTTCCTTAGCAGCATCTTGCATAGAAATGGGTTGGATGTGGGCAATGTTTTTAAGGTGGAATCGACAGGTTTTAGAATTTGACAATAATTTTCTTTTAATAGTGAAAAACAAACAAATTATACAGTGATAAAGAGTGGAAAGCCTTTATACCACTCAAAGAAATACTTAAATACTTAAAATATGTAAAATAGAGGGACACACACCTGATGGTTCTATAAAACAAAGCAAAATAACATAGTACAGTATTGTCAAATGTATACGTATAAAAACCATTAAAAAAAAATAATGCAAATATTAAAATAATAATAATCAAATAATATTAAAATAATATATTAAAATAATAATCTTTTATTATTATATTATTATTATTTTAATATTTGCATTATTTAAAAAAAAAAAAATGTTTTTTGTCCCCCCTCCCTGGCCAGGCAACAAACATGGAGGGGGGACAAAAAACATTTAAAAAAAAAAAATAATGCAAATATTATAACATAATATTATTTTAATAATATTATATTATTATTAAAATAAAATAATATTAATCCCTGGTGGTCCAGTGGCATTGGCAGTTCAGTGGGGGGGGCTGGCAGTTAGCTCTTACTTACCTTCCTGCAGCTCCTCTGTCACCTCCGTTCTGTTTACAGTGTAAGACCCGCGAGTATATACGGTAATTTATTTTGGTTTTCTTTTTGGGTCCTATTGAATACTGACACTATCCATATGCAAAGGGTGAGTATTTGCTGGATGTAATTAAGTTCTCCTTTTGATTACAAAGGTTTTTTCACTACAATATTTGAATCTGGTGTTGTTGAAATAAAACTCACATTAGTGCTGCATCTGGTATACTCATGTTTACTTTAAGCACCTATTGTCTCATTACCTCCTTGTGGCGCCACACACTCCCTGTGGCACTGCGTGTTCCCAATACCCAGAACTTCAGATTTCAGCCTTCGACACTCCACACGCGGCCTGATGTTGTGACGTCTCATCCAGATGTCATACATGATGCCGAACCCTCACACTCTGCTCTTTTATATATTTAAAGATACAAATGGCGCTTTTTAAAGACATGTCATCTCCTTATGATAATACAAATAAATGTAACCAATCATTACACAGTATAGGTTATTTAACTTTCTGGTTGTTCATATTTCATTGCCCTGTCCTGGTTTCTATATACCCGATAGTGCGTTATACACTGCTCAAAAAAATAAAGGGAACACAAAAATAACACATCCTAGAGCTGAATTAATTAAATATTCTTCTGAAATACTTTGTTCTTTACATAGTTGAATGTGCTGATAACAAAATCACACAAAAATAAAAAAATGGAAAGCAAATTTTTCAACCCATGGAGGTCTGGATTTGGAGTCACACTCAAAATTAAGTGGAAAAACACACTACAGGCTGATCCAACTTTGATATAATGTCCTTAAAACAAGTCAAAATGAGGCTCAGTAGTGTGTGTGGCCCCCATGTGCCTGTATGACCTCCCTACAACGCCTGTGCATTCTCCTGATGAGGTTTCGGATGGTCTCCTGAGGGATCTCCTCCCAGACCTGGACTAAAGCATCTGCCAACTCCTGGACAGGCTGTTGGTGGATGGAGCGAGACATGATGTCCCAGATGTGCTCAATTGGATTCAGGTCTGGGGAACGGGCTGGCCAGTCCATAGCATCAATGCCTTCGGCTTGCAGGAACTGCTGACACACTCCAGCCACATGAGGTCTAGCATTGTCTTGCATTAGGAGGAACACAGGGCCAACCGCACCAGCATATGGTCTCACAAGTATCTCATCTCGGTACCTAATGGCAGTCAGGCTACCTCTGACGAGCAAACTGAGGAACCCAGGGCCAACCGCACCAGCATATGGTCTCACAAGGGGTCTGAGGATCTCATCTCGGTACCTAATGGCAGTCAGGCTACCTCTGGCAAGCACATGGAGGGCTGTGCGGCCCCCCAAAGAAATGCCACCCCACACCATTACTGACCCACTGCCAAACCGGTCATGCTGGAGGATGTTGCAGGCAGCAGAACGTTCTCCACGGAGTCTCCAGACTCTGTCACGTGCTCAGTGTGAACCTGCTTTCACAGGTCGCCAGTGGCGAATTTGCTAATCTTGGTGTTCTCTGGCAAATGCCAAACGTCCTGCACGGTGTTGGGCTGTGCGGCCCTCATACCACCCTCATGGAGTCTGTTTCTGACCGTTTGAGCAGACACATGCACATTTGTGGCCTGTTGGAGGTCATTTTGCAGGGCTCTGCCAGTGCTCCTCCTTGCACAAAGCGGAGGTAGCGGTCTTGCTGCTGGGTTGTTGCCCTCCTACGGCCTCCTCCACATCTCCTGATGTCTCCTGGTAGCGCCTCCATGCTCTGGACACTATGCTGACTGACACAGCAAACCTTCTTGCCACAGCTCGCATTGATGTGCCATCCTGGATGAGCTGCACTACCTGAGCCACTTGTGTGGGTTGTAAACTCTGTCTCATGCTACCACTAGAGTGAAAGCACCGCCAGTATTAATATTGGTTTTGTATTTTATTGCACCCTAATGTAACAATGCAATGATTTGTGGACCCAGGACATACTTGAAAACAAGAGAAATCTCAATGTATCTTTCCTGGTAAAATATTTTATAAATAAATAAAAGTGATCAAAACATCAGCCAGGAAGCATAGGAACTGAGAAGTGGTCTGTGGTCACCACCTGCAGAACCACTCCTTTATTGGGGGTGTCTTGCTAATTGCCTATAATTTCCACCTGTTGTCTATCCCATTTGCACAACAGCATGTGAAATTGATAGTCACTCAGTGTTGCTTCCTAAATGGACAGTTTGATTTCACAGAAGTGTGATTGACTTAGAGTTACATTGTGTTGTTTAAGTGTTCCCTTTATTTTTTGAGCAGTGTATTATACTTATTATTTGTTTTCTGTCCTTGGCTTGTTTGACTATTCTTGTTCTCTGTAACAAAGACCTTGACTTGTTTCTTGATTCTGTGTACCTACATTATCCCTGACCTCGGCTTGTTAATTATTCAGACACAGACGTCTTTCTCAGTGCTACCCCAGCCATTCTATGGACGCATAGTTACCTTGTTTTAACTTACATTTATGTGTTAGGATTAGGTCAGCCCTGACACCTATATTGCTTGATTTCTCATTACATAGATTATTACTTAATGCTGTATTTAGATTTTTTATTTTTTTTTGTAGCTAAGCAAATTTAGATTTTTTTTTATTTGCATTATAAATAGCCAAACAAATCCAACTGACTGGTGAGAGCATTGTAATTTTGCCTTAAATACAAAAAGTATGTCAAGTGAAATTGAGGGGAGGGGGGGGGGAATACATAAATACTAGTATTTTTTTGCTTGTTTTCCATTTAATTTGGATTTTAACAAACATTCATCAAGAAAATATATTAAAAGTAAGTGCATAATAAAGTATGAATGACAGCAGTCACTTTATAAAACAATTACAAGTGATATCTCATCTTTGTTGACTTCTGACACCTTCGTTTTATTTTCTTGTATATTTTCTGCTGGTTTAGCACACTCTGGGAAAATAGTGACCTTTACAATTTCCTGACTTGTGTCTGCAGTAGTCATTTCTATTTCTCTTGATGCTGGGTCTGTTTGAGAATCTTTACAACAGGGTGCAGGCTCTTGAGGAATTTCTGCGGTAGATTCACTCTGGACAGACTTCATGGGAGATGTTTCTTGTAGAACTGGATGCTTACGACTCCTGTGAGCTGCAAGGTTATCTCGCTTTTCAAATCGCTGGCCACAAATATCACATGGGAACTGGTAAAAAGCATCTGCATCGTGTTTCTTCATGTGCCAATTCAAGGAGGCTTTCTGTCTACAGGTGAAGCCACAAAACTCACATCTACAGAAATGTAAAAAAAATATATAAGTGTTGATGGATACAGTGTAACTAAGAATAAAAAAGGTAATGCTCACATTAACCCTTCAATGCCATGATGGAGTATAAATATTTTTATTTTCAAGGCTTCTGATGCTCTGCCTGTGCTGAATGCCTCGAGGGGTCGAGGCAGTCAGTGAAGAAATAAATACATGTTAAATAAATATAATAAAATAAAAACTTAACCCTCCCTCCCTCTCCCATGTACTTACCCAATCGCCGTCGTTCCTCCGCCAGCGATCAGTCTTCTGCTCTACTGGGGGGACTATCTGACAGCCCCCCTCTGCAAATTAGGACCCCTAGGGGCCATGGGACCGCTCTAAAACAATAGTTGTCCACAGTGCTGACAGCAAGGGGACAGCCTGAACTGACAGGCAGTGCCCCTGCTAGTGAAAAAAGTAAAAAAAAAAAAAAAAATATATACACACACATATTCTATCTATATATCTAATATAATGTCATACTAAATATTTTTTTATTAATATGTACATACATATATGTACATATATTAATATAAAAATACACTTAAAGTAAAATTGCACACGAATATATATAATTATATATAGTGTATATATATTTTTATAAAAAATAAAAATAAATCACAAAATGTAAAAATAATTTTTAAAAAATATATGTATTTTTATTGTAAATGTTAGGAATGTGCATGGGGAAAATTTTCAGTTCGGTTCGGCATTCCAAAATTCGGGACTTCGGCACTTCTCTTGCAGCCGCTTAGTAGATAACTCCCTAATTCCCACGGTATTAGGGAATTATCTACCAAGAGGCTGTAAGACCTAAATTGGTCTTTCAGACAAATTTACTAATACTAAGTAAAAATGTCTATTAAACAGTGAGCAGCCCGTGTCTGCTCACTGTTAAAAAAAATAAAAAATAAAAGACCTATTGCCCCCTCCTGGCCCCCACCGCTGAACGGCGGGTGGGGGCCCTAAATCAGAATAGGGGGGACCTAATGTCCTCCCCCCCGACCCCTGAGCAGTGGGTGGGGGCCCTAAATTAGAGTAAGGGGGGGCCTAATGTCATCCCCCTGGCCCTCACCCCTGAGCGGTGGGTGGGGGCCCTAAATAAAAGATTAAACCCCCTCCCCCCCTTATTCTAATTTAGGGCCCCCACCCACCCACCGCTCATGGGTGGGGGCCGGGGGAGGACAATAGGTCCCCCCCCCCCCTTATTTTACTTTAAGGCCCCCACCCGCTGTTCAGGGGTGGGGGGGGCAATAAGTCCTCCCTTCAGGTTAGAAGCCCCCCATTCGCGGAACCTAGGAGGGGGGGACGTGTTTTTGTTTTGTTTTTTACAGTGAGCAGCCACAGGCTGCTCACTGTTTAATAGACATGCCCCTACTCGCAGTATATACTAATTCTAAGTAATCTTTACTTTTATTTAAAATTGTATACATTGTAACATTATTCTTCTTCCACTGGGTAAGTATATTACTTAGGCAATACTGTGCTGCGGCACTTTGACACTTCGGAAATTCGGTAATTTCGGGACCTCGGCTATTCGGAAGTACCCGAATGTCCGAATTGCCCGAAATTCGTCCGAATTCATATTCGGACCGAAACGAATTGCATATGTCTACCTCTGAACATGGTCTGTGATATGTGTCACATATTAGCAGCATATCCTTTAAGTCCTGTAAGTTGCGAGGTTGGGGCTCCATGAGTCGAATTTGTTGTTCCAGCAACAAAGATTGTGATCTGGGGAATATGGAGGTTGTGTTCCTCAAACCATTCCTGAACAAGTTTTGCAGTGTGGCAGGGTGCATTATCCTGCTGAAAAAGCCACTGTTAGCAGGGAACACCATTTCCATGAAGGGGTGTACGTGGTCTCTTCGTAGATGATACATGTCAAAGTAACATTTACATAAATGCCAGGACTCAAAGATACCCAGCAGAGCATTGCCTTTGCTGGTCAACCTTCTTCCCACAGTGCACCCTGCTGGCATCTTTTCCCCAGGTAAATAACAAACATGGCCAAACACAGGCTCTAAAAGAAAACATGAGTCATCAGGCAACCTTCTTCTAATGCTCCACGGTACGGTTCTGATGCTCAAGTCCCCATGATGACAGGGGTCATCATGGGCACACTGACCGTTCTGCAACTGAGCAACCCCATGCGCAGCAAACAGTGATGCTTTATGTGTTCTGACACCTTTCTATCATGACCAGCATTACGTTTTTCAGCAATTTTAGCTATAGTAGCTTTTCTGTGGAATCAGACCAGACGGGCATTTGGTTGTTTTGCACTTTTACCTGTCACAGGTGCCTCATTCCATGGCCCCCTGTAACCTTGCACTGAAGAGAGCCTCAGTACGTAGGAAGATGGATATTAATATTGGTTAATAAGAAATCTATATCTCTGAGCAAGCGTTTTTTCTATTTTTCTTTTAGCCTTGTGCAGGCAATGGGAAGAAATACCAGGAGATATTTGGTGCTGTGAAAGGACTGTCTCTCTTCGCCTAAATCTGGCTAAGGACCACATTACACTGCCAGGCATAAGGAGGTGTGAGGCCTGGCAGGATGCACAGAGCTCATGGCCCCCAGGGTACAGCAGGACGTCAAATCCCGGCAGCCATTTTACCATTATTTTGTTTTGAGAATACACAACATTTGGGTTTTTTGATCCATATCCACCTTCCAAATATAGTGGATTTTGTCTGTAACGGACCGTTTCACTCATAAGGGGATAAAAACCGTTTAGGCGATAATCCCCTTCCAGATAGACCAGCAGCTACTGCAATCACCAACCTCCCGAACTCCAACTTGCATGTATTCACCAACTCTCGAACAGCAGACACACGAACCCTGGAAGCAGCCGAACAGGAAAAGCCCTACGAACAGCTTACACTCCTGGCAATCGGCATACAGTCAAATTCCCCCCAAGAATGAGACGACACTTCACTTTGAGGGTTAAACAGGAACTCCCTGTACTGTTACATACAGTCTCTTTTATTCCCAATCCACAAACATAGTACAGCCCACAGGGCGTTACAAAACAACCAATCAATCCGTACAATACACCCAGACACTCCCACACAAAATCCTCCCTTCTGCCTGTGATGTGATTACTGAACACAATGGGTAATCTCATTATCATCGGCAGAGGAATACAGTTTTTACACAATATTTATAACTTCTAAAATATACATGTCACAAACATAAAACATACATTTTCATAATCAATCCATTCAGGGGAACAACATATTAAAAAATGGCACGAATCAGACCAGGGGTTCAAAAGTTAAGGGAAAGTCCTTTGTGACTAAATGAAGCATGGCTTTCCGGCCCAAACCAGTTTCAGAGTCTTCTATCCTGGAGATTGAATTGAGAAGTAATTCAATTATCTCCCAGGACAGACACAAGACTCCATTATGCACATGGTGAGCACAAAGCATTAAAATATTATAAAATACACAAAGTCACATTTTATACATAAAACACAGACATGTCACATATCCCCAGATAGCTGGGATCTGAGCACACAAAACTACCGAATAGCGCTCAGATCCTATTCACACAGTTCAATTGCCATGGAGCCGAAGTCTTTAACTACACGAATGGGCTCCATGGCATAGCTATCTGGGTTAACACATTCACATATCCCAAAGTACCGACTGAACCGGTGTTCGACACCAAGGGCACGAATAGGAACCAGGGGGCGGACGGCTCAGCTGTGTTGGCGCAAGGAAGTGTCCGTTTTCCGTTCCACAGTGTTAGTGCTGAGCACCGCTGGCCTTTCGGGACTTAAAATGGCCGCTGCCACGTGTTCGGCAAAAGAACAAAGGCCACCCAGCGTTCATCAGTTAAGCTGCGGTTAACATCAACTTCTGGACGGTCAATTGCCGGCACACTCCAGCTCCCTGGTGGTCCCCCGTTCGGTAGTTGGAATCTACCGAACACCCCGGCAGAAAGGCACGAATAAGCCTTTCTGCAGGGAAAATAAACGGTTTAACCTACAGGGCCATAATCCAAAGGGAGCAGGCGAGCAACCAGGCTTCTCCAGTTCACAGTGGCGAGGTTGGTTTCGCCACACTTCTCCCCTTTACCAACTAGACTAACAGGGTATCTGACCTCCTGCCGGTCAGTGCCCTGGTTAGTCCAGCAACCCACCCACAAAACAAACAGCAGTACAGCCCACCCACAATAACTGGTTACTATACCTGGGTAGAGGAGAACTTTGTCCATGTCGAGGTGCCTCACCACGGCTGTGGGGGGGGGCTGGTAGACTGCCTTGGTGGGTTGCTGAGTGGGCAGAGACCAGCGGTACTCTGCCCTGGTGCCAGCGCTACCACTGAAGTAGCCTGGTTGGAGCCTGGTTGTGGGAGGGGGAGACCGACTGTCTCCCCTCTGGGTACACAGCTCTGGGGCTGGGGGACAGGACCGACCAGCCCTACCCCTTGTGCTGCAAGTGCAGAGACTACGGTCCCATCTGCACTGTTGGGGGGTGTAACATCTCCCCTTGCTGGGTTAGGCTGCCGCTGGAGAGAGGGTGTAACAAGCTCCTCTCTCTGAACTGTAAACTGCCGCTGGGGAGAGGGGGTATCAGGCTCCTCTCCCTGACACTCTCTCTGCTGGTGGAGAGGGGGACCAGCTGTCTCCCCTTTCATTATTTTGTCCTGTGGTTGGGGTGCGAGACTGACGGTCTCTGCTGCCCTGCAGGACACTCTGCCGCTGGGGAGGAAGGACGGCACCTTCAGCTCCCTGGGGTACACACTGCCGCTGGGGAGGAAGGACTGCACCTTCAGCTCCCTGGGGTACACACTGCCGCTGGGGAGGAAGGACGACACCTTCAGCTCCCTGGGGTACACACTGCCGCTGGGGAGGAAGGACTGCACCTTCAGCTCCCTGGGGTACACACTGCAGCTGGGGAGGAAGGACGGCACCTTCAGCTCCCTGGGGTACACACGGTCGCTGGGGAGGAAGGACGGCACCTTCAGCTCCCTGGGGCACACACTGCCACTGGGGAGGAAGGACTGCACCTTCAGCTCCCTGGGATACACACTGCCGCTGGGGAGGAAGGACTGCACCTTCAGCTCCCAGGGATACACACTGCCGCCGGGGAGGAAGGACGGCACCTTCAGCTCCCTGGGACACACACTGCCGCTGGGGAGGAAGGACGACACCTTCAGCTCCCTGGGGTACACCTTTGAGTCCCCGTAATGCACTCTGCCACCGGATAGGGCGGCCGATACCTTTGGCTGGATCTGCCATGAACTGCAGGTACTCATCTACCTGGCTCCTTACGAACTGCACGAATTCCTCAGAGGGGACAAATGTAACAAGAGCCAGCCGCGAGGCACACTCTTTGTCAAACGCCTCCTGCGTGTAGCGGGGTGCCATGCTTGCTCTGTCGAAGTTGGTTCCTTTGTACATAGGGTCGCTGTACGTGTACTAGCGTTGCTCTCAATTGTAATCCAGGCACTGGTGTTGTCTTTTAGCTGTACTTCTGGTTGTAGGAACGATCCCGCCGCTGCCACCAATTGTAACGGACCGTTTCGCTCACAAGGGGATAAAAACCGTTTAGGCGATAATCCCCTTCCAGATAGACCAGCAGTTACTGCAATCACCAACCTCCCGAACTCCAACTTGCACGTATTCACCAACTCTCGAACAGCAGACACACGAACCCTGGAAGCAGCCGAACAGCTTACACTCCTGGCAATCGGCATACAGTCAAATTCCCCCCAAGAATGAGACGACACTTCACTTTGAGGGTTAAACAGGAACTCCTTGTACTGTCACATACAGTCTCTTTTATTCCCAATCCACAAACATAGTACAGCCCACAGGGCGTTACAAAACAACCAATCAATCTGTACAATACACCCAGACACTCCCACACAAAATCCTCCCCTCTGCCTGTGATGTGATTACTGAACACAATGGGTAATCTCATTATCACCGGCAGAGGAATACAGTTTTTACACAATATTTATAACTTCTAAAATATACATGTCACAAACATAAAACATACATTTTCATAATCAATCCATTCAGGGGAACAACATATTAAAAAATGGCACGAATCAGACCAGGGGTTCAAAAGTTAAGGGAAAGTCCTTTGTGACTAAATGAAGCATGGCTTTCCGGCCCAAACCAGTTTCAGAGTCTTCTATCCTGGAGATTGAATTGAGAAGTAATGGTGAGCACAAAGCATTAAAGCATTAAAATATTATAAAATACACAAAGTCACATTTTATACATAAAACACAGACATGTCACATATCCCCAGATAGCTGGGATCTGAGCGCACAAAACTACCGAATAGCGCTCAGATCCTATTCACACAGTTCAATTGCCATGGAGCCGAAGTCTTTAACTACACGAATGGGCTCCATGGCATAGCTATCTGGGTTAACACATTCACATATCCCAAAGTACCGAATGAACCGGTGTTCGACACCAAGGGCACGAATAGGAACCAGGGGGTGGACGGCTCAGCTGTGTTGGCGCAAGGAAGTGTCCGTTTTCCGTTCCACAGTGTTAGTGCTGATCACCGTTGGCCTTTCGGGAATTAAAATGGCCGCTGCCACGTGTTCGGCAAACGAACAAAGGCCACCCAGCGTTCATCAATTAAGCTGCGGTTAACTGCAGCTTCTGGGCGGTCAATTGGCGGCACACTCCAGCTCCCCGGTGGTCCCCCGTTCGGTAGTTGGAATCTACCGAACATCGTTTATTTTCCCTGCAGAAAGGCTTATTCGTGCCTTTCTGCCGGGAAAATTAACGGTTTAATCTGCAGGGCCATAGTCCAAAGGGAGCAGGCGAGCAACCGGGCTTCTCCAGTTCACAGTGGCGAGGTTGGTTTCGCCACATTGTCTTTCTACTGTATCTGATTGTTACTGGGCTTAACACCCTTTGAATAAAATTCAATAGAGGTAGAAATCGGTATTTTTATAATTAGCGGCAGAAACACCTCTCAGTAACTCTAGAAAGGGAGATTTACTTCCACTCCCGTTAGCACTGGGGAAGTCACAGGCACGCTGAACTATAGCTCACTGAGAAGCATTGAAAAACCTGTGACAGCTCCAGCACAGAGGCTGATGTATTCCCAGCACAGACCAATGGTCGATGTTGGGGAAAGAGGGGGGGGGAGGACTTGCAAAGTAAGTAGGTATCGTGCTTTTGCAAACTATTTTTTCATATACCCCATAGAAAACATACAAACAAGAATACATGAATATCTTTTTTAGACTACACAATTTTCAATAGAGTATTGCTTTAAAAAAAAAAAAAATTCTATAAATGGGCATGAAACTTGGCCATCTTTGAGACAAGCAAAGACAAAGCTAAAGAAATATTTTTGTAGCCCTGCCGGGGTTCAGCCTCTAAGCCCTGAAGACCCAGCAAAGCACTATTGTAAGGTAGCCAGCCTGGGTACCCCCTTTAGTGACCGGGGGTCGAACCCAACCTCTCCCTCTGGGGATGAAAATGGCCACTGCACGCCAGGGTTCAGCCTCTTATCCCTGAAGACCCAGCAAACAGCACATCTGTAAGAGTCGCCAGCCTGGGTACCTACTTCAACAACCAGGAGTCTAACCTATCTCTCTCTAGAAGTAATGACAGCGGTCCACTGCATACATGAGGCCCAGCCGAGTCTAAGCCTTTATCCCTGAAGACCCAGCAAACAGCAATTCCATAAGGTGACTACCTGGGTATACCTATTCTATGTATTCCACTTGGGTTTGGTTTACACCTTCTACCACTGGTGATGAACGGCATATGGGGTACAGATGGGATACTATAGTTTAAACAGTTTAGGCTGTCAGTTGTTCAAATCCCCATTTGGCCGCTGAAACATAGGCCTGCAACTGTTCAGGTAAGTGCATTAGTAATTTAGATTAAAACTAAAATAGGCACCTGGGTCTCTGTTCTTTCAGTCCCTCCCAGCTGCTTACATTAGGCTTCCTTTTAACAAATAGGTCACATTTAGGAGGTTTGTGTGGTGAGCATTTAGGTAAGTTTATACATGCTTGGTGCAAAAGAGTGCTGATAATGCAAGGAGGCATTGTGAAAAAGAGTGCTAATAATGGATATCCTGGCTGTATAAAGTCTGCTGGAATTCCACAGTTCTGAAGACAGAGTAATATCCAAGGTAAGAAAACCTTCCTGGATGTCTGATAGAAGTACACACATGTATATGACAGGTTTTAAAACCTAAAAATACGTCCACACACACACACTTGTTTTTATCAAGGCATGTGGCATTGATTGCGGTTATCTGTGAATTATCGCAAATAAGCAGGCTTTTCCAGAGAGTGGCAGAATTTCTGCATATGAGATCTCTGGGCCTCAGTATCTGTACATGACCTGGTTGTGGTACAGCTTCGGTATGTTTCCAATATTTGCTCTAATGTATGATTTGGTATGCTTGATTGATTAGTGGATATGCTCTATGTATGAGTATCTGTGAGGACACCGCCTCAGTATATGTATCCATTATATGCTCTATGTATAAGTTACTATGAGGACGCAGTTTATGTACCCACTATAGGCTCAGTGTGAGTGGTATAATATGTGAATGAAGTCCTGTTAAAACACAGCCTCAATTTATCTCCCTCATATAAACTTAATATGTGTACAGGCATAGTGTCACTCTATAGCAGATGCAGGTTTGAACAGACTCAGTATATGTAACTGATATATCTGTGCATAAGGTGCTGTTAGAAACATCCACAATGTATATGATTCATATATTCTGTACGCAGGTTTATACACGGCCTTGGTAGATTTAATAATACAAATGATCTAAGGTCTGGGTTTTGCGCTGAAATGTAATACAGCCCATTCTAGCAAAAACAAATGCACTGTTGCACCGGGTAATTATTGCCTACTGTGGATTTTCTATTTCAGTTTTTTTAAATGAAGTAGATAAGGAAACATACTGCTTTTGGCTTTGTATTAGATTCCCTCTCCCTCGAGTGTTTCAGGATAAGCAATTAACACATTATACCACTTCTGATAGATTGCAGGTGTTACTGAACCTGTCTGAGTGCCTCTCCCAGGAGAGAAGGAGACCTGAATTTCCAAAAGGGAGCATGGTAATGTTCAACAGAATTCATGCTTTTTTGTGTGCACTCCTATGTATTTATACAGGATTTATGCTGGTTGCAGGAGCACACATTGGGCTATTTATTGATCTCATAAGTAGGGAACTCTGAAGCAATTACCTGACTGTTTTCACTGGTATATTACCTTTCTTTCTAAAATCTAACTTAACTGAATTTAAAAGCTGTTCATATTGGCCTTTTCTTTCCCGTGGTCATAACTTTAGTATCATTGTAATTTCTGCAAGCCTCTACTCTGAAAAACTCACTACTCCTGGTCTGGTTTATACTTTTTATTCAGTTTTAGCTCAATTCTCTGGAATTGGTTTAACATAATCTTTAGAACTGAGTACATTTCCTTAAAGCACAATCTTTATAATTTGGAGAATGTACTGAATTTTATATTCAGTATTCTCTCTTATACCTTGGGGACCCGAAAGTTTGGCAATCCCGTTTAGTATGTCAGGGGTGGCATGCTTTTGGTTCTTAAGGAGTTAATGATCAGAAAATTCTGACAGATGCCCCTGTTGTGAAGGGCAACATTTTAATTCCTTTCTGTAATAAAAGGTATTCTTTTAGGCTCATATGCTCCAGGTAACTTTGATGCTGTGTATTGCAAGTATTTTAATTGACAATGGAAGATCTTTCCAGTCCCCAGACCATTCTACCAGGTTTACTATCTCAGGTAAAATTCACCTGCTACCAGAACAATAAAGGCAATCCCTGAACATGTCGTTCCATTCGGACATTGGTTCTGATATCCATGGGAATTCTTTTTTTATATCTGGAATTTGCAACCAATGGGTGACTTTAAGTGGTTGATTTATCCTGCATAATATAATGTAATGCAGCTTGTTGAGGACAAACATTTGACTGATGTGTTTTACATGGTCTCTGTACCTAGAGCGGTGTAAGTTATGGTCTCTCCTAACATTGCATGGATGTAATACCTGTTGATTATATGCTTGGATTGGTGTTGATATCCTGCAAACTGATTATCATCACCATAGGCTCTGCCATAGTACTTTTTCACTATCTAAAGATCAGGTAAGAGTAAGTATGCGGTTGTTTGTTCTCCTAAGGATAACAGAATATCTCCTACTATCCTGCTTATTATGTGTCTGTTGCCACAATGTATAATGTGCCTCTGGCTACCACCTTCTCATCAGTATCCTGCCTATTCCATATCTCCTATTATATTGCACATCAGTCTCTAATAAATTTGACTATACGGTTTGGCATATTCTGTACTATTTACAATATGTTTATATTTGAATGTAGGTACTGACATGGTTGGCCTACTTATAATTTAATAGTTGCCACAATTTCTATGGTTCATACCGATATTTCTTTTTGTCTTCATCTAATCTGTATATGATTCCTCTTGCCTTTGGCTAGGTTTATACCTCTCCTGTGACTGATCATTGCAGTATCAATTCATCCACAGTGTGAGGTATTGTTGTGAGTCTGGTTTTGCAATATATAGTCATTATTGCGCTCTGATTTGTTTCCTGTATCTACAGGTAAGTAAAATACATCCAGAAAGTAGTAGGATTCTCAGTTTAATAGCATGGTGTGACTGTTCTCATCCAATATTATCTGCTTGTTCCAGTATGATATCTGGAAGTTATGCCTTTATCAAGGTTCTGATTTGATGATGTCATCCATTGGTTTTAAATTTATATCAGAAAAGGACATTATTATTATTTTATTTTTTTTAGTCCATCACAAGATGGGTTCCTTATTGCTTACGAGAGTTTGTCTAGCCTTGTTCCTTCTCTAGGTTTGGCTGTCATGGTCTTAATTCCTATCTGGCCTTTTCAGGATATTTCAGACATTTGAATGCCAGGAGGTTGCAGACCTTGCAGCCGCTAGGGTAAATTACCTTGTCTGAACAGATTTATAACAATATCCTATTGATTACTGGTTTGGCTTTTTTAAAGTCTTCTAAGGTTTATGCAGCCCAATAATGTTTTTATAACTATTGGCTGTTTTTGAACTCTGCTTCTCCCTCTATATATTCAGCTTGGGTATTACCCATGAGTAAATGCTGCCATGAATAATGGTCAGGAAAAGGGAAAATTTGCTCCATACTTACCGTAATTTTCTTTTCCTGATAATTTATTCATGGCAGCATTACGTTCCCACCCATATACTATAAGAGTTGTGAAGCTAGATAACAAAGACTGCCTGATGGGAAGGGGGAGGATCTATTTATACCAGTTTCAGAGTTCTGTTTCCTGTCCTTTCTGCTGTGAGGGGAGGAGCTGACCCGTGAATAAATGCTGCCACGAATACATTATCAGGAAAAGAAAATTACGGTAAGTATGAAGCAAATTTTCCCTTTTATTGAGTAACACTTTATTTGTTTGCAATCTGAAGAAAAATCCAGATTGTCTCTGTAAATCGAGTCTCCCTCTAATGGCCATTTAAAATAATGCAAGATCCATTGCCCAAAACACATTAAACTTTAGCATCTATTAGGACTATAAAAAAAAAAAAAACAACAGAAAGTTCTAATGACATGTTCAAAACAAACAGAATATTTTCAGATGCTCCATTAAGGAATGAAAGTCATTATTTTCCATTATATAACCAACAAATGGAAACTGCAGGAAATTATATTGGTGATCAGAGATTTGCTCTTTGTACATCAGGGATGCTAGTTTATGTGAATTTGGCAATTATTACGCGTGATGACTCCAGTTGTGTTTGTTCATTTATTTAGAGGTGAACCAGAAAGAGTACACTTAGATTCCTTAATATGATTTCATGGCTAAATATCTAAACACATTGAATAAGCACATGACTATTAACAGGTATGGACTGATTGGAGACACACTTAATCTCAACTTTTCAGTAATTTTAATCTAGGGGGCTGCTCTGCCATTTTTTTTTTATTATATTCTTTATTTTTGGAATTTTTCATCATACAGTAGAAAAATGTTACAAACAATACATCTAAATATTGTGACAGTATCTAGTTCAAATATAGAGTACGGGTACTTTTCTTGGGGGGCAGCTAATGGGGTACAGGAAGAGGAGTAGGGATTAATATGCTTGTTTTAAGCATTTGAGGTGGTAGCATTGTGAACTGAAACAAAGAAATGAAACGAGAAAAACATTTTACTTACTGAAGGGGTTTCTCCCCGGTATGAATACGTCGATGGACAATGAGATTACTGTTGCTAATGAAAGCGTGGGCGCAGAATTCACATATGAAATCCCGACGGCCTATTAAATAACAAATTTGTAAAATACAAGATTTAAAAAGAGTATAACATGTAGATGTATGTGTCAAATATTGCAAGTAAAGGAAATAAGTAAGAGTAGTAAAGTGCAGAGGGGGAGAAAAATTAAACAACAAATACAAAAAGAGTGCGAATCATATGGTATAAAAAAAAATACAAAAATGAAAAATGTGGTGTTGCATGCTAGTCCAGAATAGATGTTAGTTTAGAATATTATAAATGAGCAGTATTCCATATTACCACTGTGTCTTTTTTCGTGTTCCTTGAGGTGCTTCTTGAAATTAAATGACCTTCCACAGCCTGGAGCAGAACAACAGAATGTGCGCTGGTTCACGTGCTGGTATTTCTGGTGATACTGAGCAGAAAAACAACAAAATATAAACTAGTTTTTGCCATTGATGACACATAGGGCTATTATGTGTACCCACTTTGCAGATCTCCAGCCTGATTTTTGCTAAAACAATATTTAAGATAGCATCAGGCTTATGATTAACAAGAATATATGAATTGTGCTGCCTGCCACAAGAAAAACAAAACAATGAAAAAAAACACAAACAAAAAGGAGAAATCAGCTGTAAAAGTTGTTTGCACTGCATAATACACCTACTTCAGGGGTGTGCATTTTTTTTTGTCCAAGGGACTAAAGCAGTAGCCTAATCTACTTATCGATCATGATAATCTACTTTTCTTGACACAAAAATAGCTTGTTAGAAGGATTGGGACCCTGGCTAGAGACCAGGGCAGTAACTCTGCTAAATTTGCTAAACTCTTAATTTTCAAAAATTAATGGAAAAACACTTGGCTATTTTCCTTTGTTTTGCTATTTGGCTTTTATTTGCAAAAATTCGAAATTTAGTAAATTAGTCTCATCTACCTTATAGTGTGTTATCTGCGGGTTGCGTAATATGTATTGGTGGTGTGTAATGTGTTGTACTCTGCTTTGCCTCAGTCTTTCTAGCTTTAGTATGCTGACGTTACTGTTGGCTTTCTATGCTGGTATATAGTTAGTGTAACTTTATCAAAACACCATGAACCGAGTCATAAAACATTCTGCCCCATATCTTTAATTCAGCACTCTCCCTATCATGAAATTAAAGGATGTCCATGAGGCACAGAAACAACCTCCTCCCCTCCCCCCACCCTCTTAAAAACAAAAGATAAAAAAGCACCTAAGTTCTCTAGGGAGGAAGATGCCGCAGTCTGAAACCTAATCTCAGCCAGGTGAAGCACCTCTCAAGAGAGACACACAGAAAATATGACAAGCATGCAATATATCAGAAGAAACAAAAACAGGTTGCACCTGATGTTGACTAATTATTGCGTAAAATAAAGTGGTATAAAACAAACGACAGATTTTATAATATAGTCCTGGGAATAATTATCCTGTAGTTCACTGAAGATGATCTAGCTTCTTATAGATGCTTGAGGTATATCCAGAAATACATATAAAGAAAATCTGATAGTGCAGTATATCTTGATAAGTGGGATACATATAACATGCAGATTCGTGATTGCCAACTCACATGTTGTGGAGCTCAAGACCAGCTCCAGTATGCAGCGTGTAGTGGTATAAATCCCCACTGATGGGGGCGGGGCATGGCATCCAAGATGGCTGGACATGTCCCGCTATAGCTGTCCACTAATCAAGCCAAATTAAAGATATTTACCCTATTAACAGAGTTTCTAAAGCAGCTGAACTCCTACTCATGTTTTAGCTCTGCAATCTTTTAGCAGCGGTTTGGTTACCTCTGAGTGATGCAGACGAATTTCAGCTTTAAAAACTTGCGGCCTCACGTGCCTGGCGACCAGGTGAAGCGGCCGATCAATCAACCCGGTGAGCACAACAGGCCGAAGACAATATATGTATTTCAAAACAATGCAGCAATATATGCATTTACAAATGACGGCTGAACAAAAGTGCCAAAACGTTTTCAACTATTACACACAAAAACCTCAAACCTCTTAAATAGTTCAAACACATGTACGCACACTCCACTCATTTGATTAGTAGAGTCTGGACGTTATATCCAGATTGTACTAAGCTCACTTTGGTACATGTACACACACACCTATGTGAATTACAAGTTAAAGCTACATAACATATTCATTACCTACATTCAGATATTGTCGTTTAGAGAAGATTCTCCCGCAATCATCAATCTCACATAACAGAAGCTCTTGAGGAGTAGATTTCCTAAAGGAAAGAGCTATATGTTAAAACAAGCCATTATTTATTATTTTTTATTTTTTTTGGCCTATAAGGAAGATTATATAAAATGATTTTAACAAAACATATAAGACATATAAGTCTTTGTCATGTTAATTCACCATCCGAAATGTGTTTTTGATTGACTCTCTGACCATGCTGATAAGAGGCATTACAAATAAGGTCTGTAGGATCTGCAATGTTTCAATTTTAGTCACTTGAGCCTTATGATCACATTTAACTTAACAAGAGATTGTATGGGCAATGAGTGTGGTGTATTTTATATAAAGAGAATGTTACACTATTCCCACACCTGTCTTGTACCCTCATGGTAGATATTTGTATTTTAAATGTCTTAGTTTAATGAAACTAGAAAAAAAAATACTATAATTGTGGACAGTTCAAAGCATAAATGTAGAAACTATTTTGCCCAGCTTCATGAGCAGAGAGGAAGAAAGAAGGGGACACATAGGGGATTAAAAAAACAACAACAAAGAGGTAAATCAGTGAAAATACAAAGGGAACAAACAATACAAATAAAATAAATAATGGCTCTGCCAAAATCTGGGATCTTTACATAAGTTGCTTCGCTGTGTGTCTGTTGGCTGCTGGGTGCAACACAATGCGAGTTATGGTTATCTGAATCTGTCCATCATGAACATCGCCATGGTCTTCCTGAGCTTCAACTGCTAGGAGCCCAGGTCAGCATTGTACTCTCGCGCATATGCAGGAGTACAACACTGAGGTCTATGGAGCATCACCTGAGACATTGGCATCCTCCATAGATATAACATTTTCCCAACAGCCATCACTAATGATGGCTGGGGGAAATGACAAAACCTAACATAGGTATCTCTGCCTATTGTCAGGTTTTCTCGTGCAAAAGAGGAGCGGAAGAGTGCAGCGTTAAATAGCCAAAAAAAAACTAAACAAAAAAAACTCTCTCTAGTTAGATGCAAAATCAAAAAGATTTCAATATTATTCTCTGCAGTATTTCATGGTATTTGGATTTCATTTGTATTTGCACATGTGAGGAATACACTTACCTGATCCTTTTCTTACAGGTATGTTCTTCTTCATCAACATGAGATCTATGACTGCAAAAGGTAAAAAAGGTCTCACTAATACATAACCACATGTAGAATTGCTCCATTCTCCAAAAGAATTTGGGGAATTTGATAGGTATTGTTCAGTATATTACCTGGCTGTGGGGTGATTATTTTCTGATCCTGTCCCTTCTTTCCTGTTGAAATTAAGAAGAAAAAACAAACAAACCATATATATATATATTTGTGTTCGGGGCAAATAGCCGTATATGGAGTAAGGTTCCAGCATAAGCGTAGGATAGTATAAAGGGAGCAAGTCGGTTGTGGTGTGCCGAGACCGACGATACGGTAGGCCTGTAAATAAAGAGGGCCCACCAAGGAGTAAGTAAGTAAAGTAAATGGAAAGAAAAGAGAAAGTGTTGAAATGAGGAGTGGGTGGGAGGGTCATTCTGATGCTGACCTCAAGCGATATGAGTCAGGTAAGGGGTGTCCCTTATATAGGGGAGTGAATTAATTTAAGCCCCTCCCACAAATACAGGCCAAATGGCCTTAAAACTTGTGTTCGGGGCAAATAGCCGTATATGGAGTAAGGTTCCAGCATAAGCGTAGGATAGTATAAAGGGAGCAAGTCGGTTGTGGTGTGCCGAGACCGACGATACGGTAGGCCTGTAAATAAAGAGGGCAAAAAGAATAATCAAAGATTTAATACAGTCAACAATATATACAAATTAACCAGACATTTCCTTAAATGCATTACGGTATTTAATTCCTTGAAGGATTTTTGAAGGTAGGAATCTAGGACCGCAACTGGACACCATTTGTTGTGGGTAGGATAGTATGATATCTCTACTGTTGGTGCGTGTTGACTCGTTTCGGAATGTGGTAGAGCCAATAGGTAATGATATATGTGTTTACACATGTGGGATCGTTGAAGACAATGATCTGTCTGAGTGGTGGTTATGGTAGTGGATTCTCTGGCCTGAGAAAGGCATAAAAGGCAGTGTGTGCATGGCTGGTAATGGCCAACTTGGTAGTATAATTGAAAGGTTGTAGCTCTAATAGGTCCGATAAGGATGGAAAAGTTGGATGGCTATTGGTAATATCTGAGAGGAACGTGGGGGGATGGATTCCTGAAAACCTCTGAGTATATTCTTGTCTGGTATGATAGCATGAAGTTATGGTAGTTTTGGCCATAGGTTATCCTGTGTTGTTGAATGCCTGTAAAATATATAATTAATGGTGTGTGAGATGGTTTTAGTTTAAGGTGGCAAAAAATGAAGCAAAACCTAGGAGAAATGTTATGACACAGGTTGAGCTATGTCGTGTTCCAATGAGATTCTTTAAAGCCAGGTGAATAGGAGCGTTCTGCAAGTATGGGATGAAAGTGCTAGGTGGGATAGTGCATGCTATGCTGCATGAGTATGTCTAATCCATGATTTTGTCTCTGGAACGAAAGAGTGGCCGTGACTGTATGGGTGGCTGTAGGAAGCGTATGATGAACGTGCCTGGAATATAAATGAGACAATTGTCAGCAAGGATGTATACCACCGCCTGGTACATGAAAGTAAAAGAAATGTGGTAAGTGGCCAACCAAGTGAGTTCCCCAGCAATACCATGATCGTATGGATGATGAGTGGCATTTGTTGATGATATGACATGTACTTAGTTGTCTGAGTAACAACGGATTGATGACCCTGACCATGATTTACCCCATGCCACAGCAGCTGCTTTTAGCGGGGAAAGGATTGCCCATTTTATGCCATGTAAGTGCCAGTTTGTAGGGTAGATGGTAGCCATTTACTGTGTTGATGATATTGGTCTTACTTAACGAAGCTTCAACCCCTGCTTGAGTGATAGCTGTAAAGGTAGATAATGGTGTGTATAGTAAGGAAACTCCTCGGAGGGTATGAGGGAGTTGAGACTTGGGGTAGCGAAGGTGTGTGGTGCCAATAAGTCTATGGTTAGTCTTGTTTAAGGGAAGATTCCCTTGTGACAATACCAATGCGTTTGTGTTTGGTGCCATGCTGTAAATGGTGGAGATTGGAAAACCCAAGTAAAAACCCCTCTGCAAATCTTGGCTATGAGTGTGTTTACAGCCGACGGTTCTGTTGTGCTGACTGTAAGTGAGGGCATGCTATATTCCTTGAGAGTTTATTTATGATACCTGTATGAGAGCCCTTTGAAGCTCCAAAGCCTTAGTAACTCTACTACAAGTCTGGAAGGGTGATGAGTCAGTAGTGTTGAAAATGCATTGGTGTGTACAGATGGTGAGTACGTTATTTGTAAGTTGTATTGGGACACATGGTTTGTCATGTGCCCTGAATGATTTGAACATATATGCAACAGTCTATATGCAATGCAACTACTAATACCAATTGTCTCTGGTAGTTCAGAGGTGCTGGTACCTGGAGCCTGAGAGTGCTCACCCGTTTGTTTGGGAGAAAATCCCTTCTGTATGGGTACCTGCACAAATAAGCATCTCTACATATTCCAAATGCCAACACAACCAAGGGATGGTCAGTTCCCGATTTACCTAGAATCCCTGGGTCTGACCATCATAGATACATCATCATACATATATATGCCTTGTTTCCCCAATGTGCCGGGATCATATGTGCAGGGTTAACGTCTTGTACCAAGTAACCGAGTTTCGGTTGGTGCTGGTTGTACAGTAGCGTGAGGCCCAGCCTTGTGAGGGCTGTGACTGACTCGAAATTGCCAGTCTGTCGTAAATTTTTTGGCTCATGAGTTTATGAGTGAGGCTAGCATGGCCTGGGTGTCACCTGAGTTGGTGTTGCTGGGCCTTCCCCTGCCTCCGTGTTGTCCATTGATGTATGGAGGAGTTTGAATAACTCTGCTTTCCTTGCTGTGGCAGGGTAGGGGATCTGTCGCCTCCTTAGGTCGGAGCCACATCTCCTCTGCTTGAAGGTGTATCACTTCTAGCCGGGGTGCCAGGAAGAGGTGATTCTTCACCATCTTTTTGAGAAATACTTAAATAACAATAAAGATTGCAATTATTATTTGTACCCAGGGGTCTTGTACTGGCTTGCTAGCTAAGCCGTAAGGCGAAACGATTAGGCTTGGTGTTTTTTGGTGACTGGTGAGGCCCTGCTAGTTGCCAAGTGGCTTGAGAGGCTCTATCTATGCTTGGCGCGAGGGGATTTTTTGTGGCCACCGAACGTTGTGGCAGGATGTTGGCCTCTCGGTGACAGTAACCAGAAAATAGGAGGGGGAGTGACAGGTGAGGCCCTCTCTATGATACAATGCGAGGCGGCTAGCTCACGAGTGGCCCGAGGGGTGTATGCCTCCGAGTGTGAGGCGGGGTGTTGGCCTCGCGGGACCACTAACCGAAGCGTAAAGCAGAGAAAACAGGGGGTAATACCTATTGGGCCATAGAACCCTAATTGCCAGTACATTACTACTATTCCAGGGAAGGTAAGAGATGAAGGTGTATCACTTCTAGCCGTGGTGCTAGGAAGAGGTGATTCTTTACCATCTTTTTGAGAAATACTTAAATAACAATAAAGATTGCAATTATATATTTGTACCCAGGGGTCTTGTACCAGCTTGCTAGCTAAGCCGTAAGGCGAAACGATTAGGCTTGGTGGGTTTTGTTTTTTTTTTGGTGACTGGTGAGGCCCTGCTAGTTGCCAAGTGGCTTGAGAGGCTCTATCTATGCTTGGCGCGAGGGGATTTTGTGTGGCCACCGAACGTTGTGGCAGGATGTTGGTCTCTCGGTGACAGTAACCAGAAAATAGGAGGGGGAGTGACAGGTGAGGCCCTCTGTATGATACAATGCGAGGCGGCTAGCTCATGAGTGGCCCGAGGGGTGTATGCCTCAGAGTGTGAGGCGGGGTGTTGGCCTCGCGGGACCACTAACTGAAGCATAATGCAGAGAAAAAAGGGGGTAATACCTATTGGGCCCTAGAACCCTAATTGCCGGTACACTATTACTATTCCAGGGAAGGTAAGAGATGGATAACTACGTGAGCAGGTGTACGTACCTGGTAGTATGGTATTGAACCTGACAATCCTTATAGGTTTTTTAGTAGTAACTGTAACCTGAATGGATAAAATCGTATGGCATAAGGAAATATGGCATAGACCAAGCTTATCTTAAAACATACAGTATATGTGAAAGTAAAGTGCCGTGATATGTAAATATTAAACATCATATCCATACTGGTTAAATATGTATCAATCTTAACCCATTAAGTGCCGTATGTATGTGAACCATATTACCAGTTACGTATATACAGATGCGTGTGCTACTGTGTAATAATATGTGTATTTATAACAGATATTGATATACTGCTTGCTATGTGAATTGTTGTATGCCTTATTGAATGGCAAGTGAACATGGAGTTGCAAAATACAAGTGCACTGGAGATCTGCCGAGTGCCCTGTAGGTGGCAGTGTAGTTGGATACTGATTGGTATGTGAAATGTTGTTTGTCTGTTGACCTATAGGGGTCAGTGTTTTGGTGTTTGTAAAACCCCATGAAAATTGTCAATGTACTTGACAGACCTGTAGGTGGCAGTGTTGATAGAACCACTGTTAGTCTTAATGTGAAATGTAAATTATTGTGAATTAAACCTGAAGTTGAGCCCGTGTTGGAGTTTAATTCATGGTTTATGGTTATGTTTAAAACAATCTTATGTGTAATTTATATTGGCTGCTAATTGTATATGACATGTGAAGACAGTTTTGCTGTTGACCAGTAGGGGTCAGAAATGCTGATTGTATGGTAAAATACCCTTTAACCCCTGAAGGATACATGACATGTGTGACATCATTTATTCCAGAGTTTGGTCCTTAAGGGGTTAATCCAAATGCAAGGTTAACGTGAGATTTTGAGAGTGACCTGTAGGGGTCAGTGTGGTTTATGTGAAACATTGTTTGTGAGCTATGCCCCAGCATTATAGTTGTGAAACAAACCGTGCCCGTTTGACAATATACAATAAGTGAACATAATAGCTTAATAACAATTATTGTAACAAACCAAAGTTCTGTTCACGGGTTGTAAACACATGAAACGTGTGTGTAGTACAATAGTAAATGCATGAACTAGTTCCCGTTTGGTAGAAAATTGCACGAACCGTGAGCCTTGTATGTCAGGGAAACAAAACGAAACGAGCAGTAGGATTCGAAATGCACGCACAGAATTGCCTAGTATGTTAAGGCAATTGAAACAGAATGTGTTCCCGTTCAGGAGTATGCTAATGCTCGAATTGAGCCAGTGACAGATATAAACAAGTGAGTTTAAACGAATGATATGCATGAACATGCAATGGTTTTAGGACAGATTTAGACAAAATGCAGCCGTAAAGTGAGGACCTGACCCGTGCATGGTGCCGTGGGACTGATGCCTGGCGTAACGGGTAGGTCGACTTACGGTTTGTGAGTCACTTGGACACCATCCACAGCAATAGATTGAAGAAAGAAGGTGGTAGGCCGGAAAAGCCTGTGGCTGAATTCCTGACACAGCTCAGCTTAGAAAACCTCATGGAGTAATCAGGTAAAATGGCGTCTGGATGACCCGGAAGTGGAAATCATTCTGATGCTGACCTCAAGCGATATGAGTCAGGTAAGGGGTGTCCCTTATATAGGGGAGTGAATTAATTTAAGCCCCTCCCACAAATACAGGCCAAATGGCCTTAAAACATGTATATTTTTTTTTTTTCTCAATACACAATGTATGTTCTGCACATTACTAGGTTCACACATTTTTTTTATGGTCTTTAAAAATCATCCAGGTGGCAAAATATTTCACATCCTGATGTTTTATTCTTATTCTATAACCAAGTGGAAATTTCTATATTCTTAAACACCCATATGCAGTAGGTACACCTTACCTTTAGCTTACTTTGACACTGTACATCTATTACAATTATGCCAATTGTGGCACAAATCAATGTATTGAAGTGCGATATCAATAAGACCTAATTTTATGTGATAAGCAGTGTACTGCCATTATATATTCTTACATAAACTTTGTACCAATCCCTGAGGTCTATTCCTTAAACTGTGAATTTACTTTTGCAATTTTGGAGGTTTGCATCCAGCTCAATTCTCCTGCATTCATTTGTTAAAACTCTTGTGTGTTCCCACACTTTAAATAAAGACAGAAAAAAAACTCAGTTTAGTAGATATACCCCCAATGAATAAATGCATGTATTTTTTATGTATGTATTCAATGGGAGTATAGTCTAAAATATCTTGCAAAAGCTGCAGTTCTTATGACTGCAGCCTTTGTAAGCCCTCCCCTTTTTCACAGGAATTGACTTTCAGTCACTTCACAAAGAATTGTCCAATCAGAAGCTTCTCATAGAGATGCCTCTGTTCCATTCTGTTTCAGGTGTCTCTCCTACCCCCAATCCCACCTTGTGTCTTAACCCCTCCTCTCTGTCAATGCCCCCTTCCCTCCCCTACCTTTGTCAAAGCCTCCCTCCCCTCCCCTATCTGTGTTAAAGCCTCCCTCCCCTCTCTGTGTCAAATCGTCCCCCCTACCTGTGTCAGAGCCTCCATCCCCTCCTCCCTCCCTGTGTCAAAGCTTCCCTCTCCCCTCACCGTATCAGAGCCTCCCTCCCCTCCCTGTGTCAGAGCCACCTTCCCCCTCGTGTCAGAGCCACCTTCCCCTCCCCTCGTGTCAGAGCCTCACTCCCCTCCCCTGCTGACCTTTAGTTGCCGATCTGTGGGAAGAGGATCTTTAGTTTCCTCTACCCAGACTGACAGGAAGTGAGTACACTTCCTGTCAGTCTGGGTAGAGGAAACAAAATATCCTCTACCCATGGATCGGCAATTAAAGGTCAACAGGGCAGGAGAGGGAGGCTCTGACACAGGGAGGGGAGACGGGACAGATGCTGCAAGAACGGACAGGCAGGAGCGGAGAGTTTCCCTTCCTGCCTGTCACCTGGGCAGTTCCTGCAGCCAATATTGTAAGGCAGGGACACTCTATTAGAACGTGCCTGCTACTTCTGTTAGCTCAGTGGAGCTAACGGAAGTGGGAAGTGAATTTTCCCAGCTGTTTGACAGCTGGGGAGGCGTTTCTATTTTTATATATAAAAAGTGCTAATTTCACAATGAAACTGGCACTTTTATAAACTGGGATTTTAAAGGGATATTCCACATCCATATAGCTATTCAGCAAGCGGAAGTGCTCTATGGGTATGGAGTGCTCCTTTAATTCACCAAGGACAGGATAGTAAATGAATTGGGCCGAATGCACCCCTGCTTTATTCAAATGGATTTCATTGGTTAAGTTAGATTTGTTTGAAAATTGCTCAAATTAATTGAAACCATATTCAAACCAACTTGCAGCCAAGTTGCAACTGTAACTGAATTTCCCTGCTACAATGAAAAAATAATATTGGGGGTAATTAGGAGACCTGAATGAAGCCAATTCAGATGTAATTTGCCTGAAGTTCGGCTGTTTGTGAATATCCACTTCACCCATGTAAAGATTTGGCAGATTTCAAAAGTGAACTGAACAGCAGCCAAATAGAAGTTCAAATTTTGTGGAAATAACCAAATCTGCCTTTTGTGATTGGACACGTTAGTTAAAACAGCCAAACTATGACAACCACATTTCATAACCGGTGCACCAACCTAAAGTCTGTGTGTTTGGGAGCTTTCAAAATTTTAATTGGTTAAATGATCTTCAATGTTTAATAAACAGACTCCCATGTGGTCATAAATTTGAAGATATACAATACTTACCACAAGGACTTACTTTTTAAAATATTTTTATAGCCTTTGAAATTACAGTTCTGCGATCACTACATTTTAGTTTAAAGGAACACTATAGTCACCAAAACAACTTTAGCTTAATGAAGCAGTTTTAGTGTATGGATCATGCCTCTTAATTTTCACTGCTCAATTCACTGCCATTTATAGGTTAAATCACTTTATTTCTGATTATGCAGCCCTAGCCACACCTCCCCTGGCTCTGATTGACACAGCCTGCATGTAAAAAACAACTTGTTTCACTTTCAATCAGATGTAACTTACCTTCATAAATTGTATCTCCTTCTCTGTAAATTGAACTTTAATTACATACAGGAGGCTCCTGCAAGGTCTAGCAAGCTATTAACAGTGCAGGAGATAAGAAAATCTAAATTAAACAGAATTAGCAAAAAAGGAAGGATAAATATTAGATGACTCTTTTCAGGAAGTGTTTATGAAGGCTGTGCAAGTCACATGCAGGGAGGTGTGACTAGGGTGCATAAACAAAACTAACTAGCTAACTTAAGCTAAAATTGTTTTGGTGACTATAGTGTCCCTTTAATTTTGTATCTTACCTTTTCCAGTCCACAATGAAATCAGCCTTTGAACTTTCTTGACTTTCAAGTATTTCTTGAGATCTCTCTTCCGTCTTTGTGCATGCCTGGGTATTGGTAGGTGCATCAGGAGTAGCATTACAGTCACAATCTACACAGAAAACAAATTCTCAGAAAATCACTCAAAAACATAAAAACTTACTGATTTTACTATGGTAATATGGCTCACCTTGTGCTGCATCTGAAGTGATTAACCTTTCATAACTTTCTTCATTCTGGAGATATTCATCAGTTTGGTCTTCTTTGCTCTTTTCTAATGCATCGGCAGGCGCCCCCTTCTTTACAGAAGAAGGGGATCTAGAGTTGACAGCCATGGCTAAGCCATCATGTTCTGCCTGCACCTGTACAGAGTACTCTGGTAACTGCCGGTGTCTCTGACTTTTACCTGCACAATATTGAGGGAAGCAACTACGATTATATAGTAGGATAAGGATTACCAATGTTGGGGGAAAAAAACTAAAAACAAACAATGACAGTGCTGAAAGCAAAGGAAATAAAAAAGAAGGAGAGAACAAACTAGGATTTGGAAGACAGACAAAAATAATAATTGAGAATTAGTGTACAAAAGATAGTCTGAAAGTATGCACGTACCTTTTCTAAGATTGCAAAGGGTTCTTTTAATTGAGTTTATGGGGACCCTCTTTGGTGCTTCTTTGACACTTGTAGAACTTTCTGAGGGTCTTTCTATAACATCCTCGTACTGGTTATCAGGGCAACCAATGTCCTTTGAAACATCTTGGTTTGCAGATTCACTGGACAGTAGATTTTCATTCAATTCTTGCCAACTCTTGTCAATTGGGCTGTGCTGCGGAGTCTCTTCACATAATCCACTCTTCAGTTGTTCCTCAGTAAGAGAGGTATTGTCCATCTCATCAACTGGGCTCCCTGAAAGACTTTTATTTTCCTTTCCATTAACAATGTCAGTCATTTTATCTGGGCTCAGAGGTAGTTTTCCTTGCCTATTAACAATAACCTTTTCTCTCTCTTGACTATTGATACTCTCAGGCTGTATTTTTGTACCATCAAATGACATATCCAGTCTCTCACACCGTAGCTCTGCACATGATGGTAGCATGCAATCACTCTTAGGGTTTACTGCTTGACTTGAAACAGCCTTGAGTTGTATTACTTCATCTTTATTGCTGTCAGACAGTTTGTCCTGTCTATCGATTTTCTTTTCTTCACCTGTACTATCTACTTGTGGTTCCCAATCAATGTGGTGTTTTGCTGTGCATCCCCACCTAACAACATGTGCTTCCTGTACTCCTCTAACATGAGGATATGAAAGGAGGGAAGGAGGACAAGGGCAGTCTGTACCATGTTGGTGACATGAAAGTACAAGATTTTGAAGAGAGGAAAGAGAGGCCGAGATTAGAGAGATTGCTGCAGGAACTAGGGGAGATAAAAACAAAATAAATACAACAAATGGTTATTAAGACTGGAAAAGTAAAAAAATATATTTATATATATATATAGTGATACATTACAAAAAGGACTAATTTTTTTGGAACAAATTTATAAAATAAGAATGCATTTAAATCTTTAGAGCTTACCTGCCCTACCCAGGTTGCATGCCAATCTATCTGGGCTGGCTGCTGATCTATAGCTGTAAAGAAATACATTCATTAGTCAACAGTGAAGTTCTGTGGTTGTGAACATCAGCATTGAAGCCTAGTGACTATCATATGATCAGTCTCCAGAGAATTCCATTCTAAATTATATATTTTCCCTCGGATGACTTTGACAATGTACATTAAGTATCTCAGTTCAACAATGACAATGAATAGACCTCATGCACTTGTCCCACTACTACTATTAAATTCTAACCTATCAAGCAGGAACTTCGCAAGTTGAGAGTGCAAGGAAAAGCCCAAATGTTCTTTAAGTTGACACCATTCCTCTAGGTGACTGCCAAGACGCACACGACACTTTCCCCGCCTTGCATCCAGAAGACGTCGTTTTTCACGGCAAGTAACATCCTAGTGGGGGGAACAAAAAGATGTTCTTTCACTTTTCTTTCTGAATATACCTTTTTCCTCGATTAACGATATTTCCACTCTCCACCGGCTGTTGAAAAGTGAAAATTTGAATGCAATAGTACAAAGGAGCAATCACCAGACCTACAATAGTGACTCTGATGCAAATAAAGGTATGGCCAGCTCCACTACTCCTCCGTTTGTGAATCTCTACTGGACAATGCATGTACTATAATACAGGTTCCAATCATACCAATATTTTGAAAAGCAAGCCTTTATTGCATTATGAAGATTAAAAATATCTCTTACACAGTGAAACAAAAATCAAAGCACTTGTATAGCTTTAAGTTAGTCAAATATATAATGATCAGCACTGCTATAAACAAGGGAGTAATGTGTCAATAAAATGAAAAAAGAATATGAAATAGAAAAGCAAAATACACCAATTGAAGCAAAAAAGCAAAACTGGTTGAATTGTTGAACAATTACACAGTGACATGGGAACAATAGGTAGATGAGTGCCCTGCTCAAACGAGCTTACATGTTTATAAAGCACATTACATATCAGTCGTGAAAAACCATTCTGAACTGCATAAACAAAGTTTTTATGTAATTTTTAGCAGACTGCACAACAATATTTCAAGTTGTTTGCTATTCTGTAAATAAGGTAAGAAAATAAACCTGTGCCAGGGTTCAAATTTCCTAGTTTTTTTTTAGGTTATTAACGTAAACTATAATCTGGCCCTTTCTTCCCCACCTCGGGTTGGTGTGGATTATTACCCTGGTCTGGTCCACATGCATACACCAATCACCTTTTTCATTGATTATGAAGTTTGTCAGAGGACCTGCTCCCAATATAACTTACTGGCCTGTACATAATTTAACAGTCACAATTATATTGGTGACTGTCTCATTAACCTCAAGAGACTTACACATGACCTATGAAGCATGAAAAATAAAATATCCGGGGGATCTAAACTCAACTGTTGATGTCATTGCCCAACTGATACAGTCGTCAGTATCTGCACTAGCAAGCCCGGTGTGGGGGGCAGGCGAGAAACAAGGGGGGAGAAAGCATCCTCTCTGCTGTGAGCTCTACTGTGTGGAGAGAATATGGTTACCAGGAATGGCTGAGTGCCTGGTGTGGAGCGAGGTGCAAAAGAGGTTCAAGTAACCTGCTGCACCCTGCATTGTGAAGATATAAGGTACTATACTTACCCAAGGGAACTTTGTGAGTCATTCATCCGAGTGTTGTTACACATAAACAAGTTGGCTCAGACTTAGTGAGGAGAGTTCTGCCTTCTGAGATTTCTACTGATCCAGAGAGTTATGGGTAGTGGTAGGTAGCCAGGCCTCTTTGTATAAATCACAACTACTGGACATCCACATGTTAGAGCAAATGATGGAATAAAAAGACCTGGAGCTCTAGTCATCATATGGGTCTTGATTACAGTTTTGTTTTTTTTAATTCTTTATTTTTCCATTGTGCAAGAGGTAATATGACAGCTTACAGAGCCACAACGGCATATGCAAGCACATTAATAACATTATGGTATATTCCTGTGGCATTTAAAGTCGTAGCACAAATTTTTTTCTAAGTAGTTATAGTCAATCTGTATAACACGTTAGATTGTAGGTCTCAACTATATAAACAGGCAAAGTAAGGCAAGAGTCTCGATCTGTATGAGGTGTCGATTAGTGCGCAGTGTGGGTGTCTGAGTGTCGTGAGGCCTCAACTCTGGGCTTCAGTTTGGCATGTAAGAATAGCGATGTGGTATATGGTGCTTAGGGTCGTTGCATAGTGAACTACTCTCTATGTGTGTGATCCTGGTAGCATGTTGTCAAGTATGTGCATTTATGAGGCATGAGTCGAGGTAGTGGTGCTCATGGTGTGTACCTTCAACATTTCTTATGGTGCAGTAACCTGTCCCTCCACATGTGCGTTTAGATGTTACGTGGCATGGAGGCAAGAGACAAAGAGCATGCAATAAAAAAGTACTGTAGGTGTTATGAGAGGTGTATATCCATATCTGCTGGCTAAGATGAACGTCTGCAACACACATAACGTTAAACAAAAATAAGAGGATAGCGTCCTTTTTGTGTGTAATTTGTATGCCATTTCCCCTGTTTCCGGCGGGTGAGGTGGATGGCTAGTAAGTCCTTGTGGCTGTGGAATTGTGCTGTTGGTTGGTTTGATATTCACACAGAACAGTGGCTGCATTTACGGTAGGAAAATGGGACAGAGTTGGTGAACTATCATGCGATAAGGACTGGTTTTAGGACCCTGTGTGACCCATCATGTCCATCCGTAGCCAAAATGTTTCTGCAGCAGCATGAAGTACAGCACTTAAGTAGGCTGGTGATCTGGTATATCTGTCCGGCTAATGCATTAAAAGTAAGAACTGAGGGTACAAAAACTCTGAACCATAACACTGAAAGTCATAATAAAAATTGAACTTGAGTCATTGTTCATGGGTTGTGCGGTCGGGTATTACATTACTACCATGGTGGGTGGTATAAGTCCCCGCGTTTGTTTATATCAGTCATCCTATGCCCACCCTGGTGGCCTGGTATGCTAGCCTGTTTAGGGGGTGCCACTTCCTTGGATTGCTGTTGTACTTTGGGGCGTTTGGCAGATACTTATCGTTTGCCCGTCCTTTGTTTTGGGTGTTAGGCCGGAGCGATGTTCTGCGGTGTTCAGTACCTGTCGGCAGATGCAGAGCGTCCCCTCTCCTCCCGTGTGGGAAGCAGATGAAGGCTTTCCGCCCGTTTTGTGGAGGTAGTCTCCGATAAAGGCGTCTTGTGGCTCTCTGCCTGCGGGGGTGTTGTGCTGTTGCCGCTCTTCTGGTGGGTCTCTGCCTAGGTGGACGTGCTAGTTTAGCTGCTGCTATTTTCGGAGCTGTCTTACCCGGTTGGGGCCTCTGCCGCTCCCCTTCATGTTGCCTCCGAGTCTCCCGTGCTGTCTGAGCCTCCAGCGCCGCCGCTGTCTGTCAGGCCTCCCATTCTGCCCAGAAGCGCTCGAAGGCGGTGTCCAGTGCGCCCGTGGACAGCAGAGGTGAGCGAATTGGGTGCCCTTGGCTCTGCAGGGCCAGACCTTGCGTATTGTCGTCAGCCATCATGGTTGGGCCACGTGATTTCTGTCAGTCGGGGTTGCGCCCTAGAGCGTCCCGAGGGTGAGCACTCTGTGCGAGTAGGTAGACCGGGATGACCCCCACCGGTCCAGGGGGAGGGAAAGTGGGCCGTGCACTCCGAGGTAGCAAGTCTTGGCGGCGGGATAGCGGCCGTCCCTCCCGCGCCCGCCATGTGAGTAGGCCTCTGACACTTCTCGAGCGGATAGCCTTTTTCCTGTCACTTGATTGGTGTCATAATGTTCCGCTTGGTGTCCCCTCTGATTTGGTGGCCTTTGTGCCACGATTGATCGCCGTTTAGGTTGTGAAAAATCGTTTTGTTTGTCGCAGGAACTCCTGATGATAACGTCCTCTCCGCTCCATGCTCAGGCCCCGCCCCCTGGTTACAGATTTAACCTGACACATAATATTCTGAGTGCCACACTGTGTGTTGGTAGAGTTTAATGTGATAATGCAGCTAGTGTTATTTTCTTTTTTTCCATAAATGTGATTACGGTGCCTAGTGTTTCCAGGTAGACTTCTGTTGGCTCCCACACAGTGGCACTCTTTACACTATTATATTCTTAAAGGAAAGTTATATATAAAAAAGAAAAAAATAGAGGTTGTTTTTTTTTTTTTTTAAATATAATTCTTTATTTTAGTAGTGCATAGAAGGGACACAAGCAGTTTACATCATGACATTAATAATTAATATGAGAAGGTAAGTTGCATGTACATAACAGGTCATGTTAAGAGGCTTGCACTTTTTTTTGTATAAGTCATTCAAGAGGCAAGAAATATAGACATGAGTAAGACATTGAGCAAGCTTGTTATGCATGTCAAGAAGAATGCTCATTTTGATAGTGTACTAAACAAGAGTATGTTGTCGCTTATGCCAAGTCCATTGTAAGAGAATTACAAGAAAATCCAAGCAATGCTGCTAGATTATCAACAACCTGGCTAGAAAGACCGCCAGTTTATCTATATGGTGACATTTATGTATCTATGCTAGGCAATAGACTAGCAAATCATACCAATAGTACCAATAGCAATCAGTATGGCAACTCTTAAGAGCTAAGGAGCAGTGTGAGTTATCAAGGCAGTATGGTGTAAAGAAAGTGTATAGCCAGAGCTTAGCTGATAATGTTACACCGTTTTATGTTTAAGACCGTTTGCCGAGAAGCAGAGCTCTTGCAAAATACTTTAGCACCCCCATCGTGTTCCCCCAAGAAATATAGTTGGCGTTTCACTGTCGCCCTAAACATTCAGAGAGGATGTTGTATAGATTGACTGACTGACTGACTGTCTGTCTCAGCATTAAATTAAAAATGAAAAACTAGAATAACCAAGTCCTGTCATGTGAGTAGCGTAGCATAAGAAAAATAATAAAGATTGATAGGTTTAATGCAAACTTGTGTAGTGTAGCTTATCACTAGGAGGCCTCCCAGGTAAGGCAAACGTGGGTCCCCGTGGGAGATAACTGCAAAGTAATCTAATACCACTTTAGGGGATAGCAGCGTATATATAAATTAATATTTAATATTGAATATTTCTTCACCCTCTGGGCCTGAGCTTGCTGGGTTGCCTCCCAGGGGCAGACCGGGATCACTCCCACCGGTCCATAGGTGGGGGGTAGTAGCTAAGTGGTGCTGCTTCGCCAGAGTTAGCCAGAGAAGAGCGGCCGTCTCTCCCCTGCGCCATCTTCCGCAGGCCATGAAGGGTCATTCTGGATACCGATTGTGCCACAACCCGTCTGGCAGGTATCCGGAGGTTCATCAGGGCTCCCCTAACTGAGGTAGTGCCCTTCGGTGCAAGTGCAGGCTCTTTTTTGGGGGATTTACCCGAGAAATCTGCCATTTTGCCGGGAGCCTGTACACCATGCGTCTGCTCAGTTCGTAGCTCAGGCCCTGCCCCCCGAAGTTTTTTTTTTTTAAGTGTAGATTGTGGCTCCCTTTTAATGATGATGACAATAATAATAAAAAAGTTTACAAAAAAAGTCATAAAACTTACCTGTAATTCAGTCCTGCAACGCTCCACTTCATTACTCAGAAATAGCAAATTTAGGAAAAGGGACAGCATCTGTGCACCAAAGCCATTACATTAAGATGCATTTGTTTTGGTGCTTACAGTGTCCTTTTAAAACTTTCGTTTTTGACTAATAACTTCTTCTATAGGGCTCCTTAACATAGGAGAATGGTTTTCTTTCTTTTTCGTTTTTCCTAGACACTACCATGTTTCTTTCATTGCATAATGCAATTTAAACCTTCTGGCAATGTATATCTGGAATCCAGTGATAATCTTGATGCCTTGCTTGTAACTTTTAACAGAGCCATACGGCCTGCACCTTATTAAAGGGACACGATAGTCACCAGAACAACTACAGCTTATTGAATTTGTTCTGGTGAGTAGAATCATTACCTTCAGGCTTTTTGCTGTAAACACTGTCTTTTCAGAGAAAATGCAGTGTTTACATTACAGCCTAGTGATAACTTCACTGGCCACTCCTCAGAGAGGTGTTAGAGATCCTTCCTGGGTCATGGCTGCCTAAAATGCATCCAAACATTCAGTATCTCCTTCCTCTGCATGCAGACACTGGACTTCCCTCATAGAGATTCATTGATTCAATTCATCTCTATGAGGAGATGCTGGTTGGCCAGGGCTGTGTTTGAATCATGCTGGCTCTGCCCCTGATCTGCCTCTTTGTCAGTCTGAGCCAATCCTATGGGGAAGCATTGTGATTGGATCAGGCCACCACTTCTGATGATGTCAGCAGACAGCTTTTTTTCTGAGGCACACAGCATGCAGAGTTACAGCATCAGGCTCGAATACAGTAAAAATTTTACTATATTTATGGAGGCATGAGGGGCCCAGGGGGAGTTGATGGTGGTTTTAGCACTATAGGGTCATGAATACATGTTTGTGTTCCTGACCCTATAGTGATCCTTTAACCTTAATCTAGGGAGCTTTTTTTCAGGAAAGGGAAATAGTCTTCTTAAAGGACCACTATAGTGCCAGGAAAACATACTCGTTTTCCTGGCACTATAGTGCCCTGAGGGTGCCCCCACCCTCAGGGACCCCCTCCCGCCGGGCTCTGGAAAGAGGAAGGGGTTAAACACTTACCTTTCTCCAGCGCCGGGCGGGGAGCTGTACTCCTCCTCTCCTCCTTGCTCGCGACGTCATCGGCAGGAGCCGCGCGCGCATTCAGCCGGTCGCATAGGAAAGCATTTACAATGCTTTCCTATGGACGCTAGCGTGCTCTCACTGTGAAAATCACAGTGAGAAGCACGCAAGCGCCTCTAGTGGCTGTCAATGAGACAGCTACTAGAGGCTTTGGGGGAAGGCTTAACCCATTAATAAACATAGCAGTTTCTCTGAAACTGCTATGTTTATAAAAAAATGGGTTAACCCTAGAAGGACCTGGCACCCAGACCACTTCATTAAGCTGAAGTGGTCTGGGTGCCTAGAGTGGTCCTTTAATATTTTAGGAATATAAACTCGCCTTTGTTTTGATATAATGATTCTTAGAAGGCATGATGTTGCTCTTTTATGTGTCAATTGTTACTCTGGCTGTTTTTTTTTTTTTTGTCTCCCTGTACTGCTTTCACATGAAACAGTAAAACACTCTTTACTACCAACCACGCTGGACATCGTGTGCAGTGCTGTGATTGTTGCCAAAGGTGTTTTAGTTAGAACAATCCCTGTTTAAAGCAATCTGTCATGACAGGTTCACCTTACCATATAGCAGCTCATAAAGCAATACATATATTATTTATCAAAGTGACAATATAGTAATATAATAATTGCTTTTGAAGAGGTTATACACTTATCCCCTGTCCAGCATTACAGCACCACCATACTTGGAAGTCTGAGGTTGGTAATTAAAGGGACACTATAGTCACCAAAACAACTTTAGCTTAATGAAACAGTTTTGGTGTATAGATCATGCCCCTGAAATCAAAATGCTCAATTATCTGCCATTTAGGAGTTAAATCACTTTGTTTATGAATCCTAGTCACAGCTTCCTGTATGTGACTTGCACAGCCTTCCTAAACACTTCCTGTAAAACATCATCTGTTTACACTTCCTTTATTGCAAATTCTGTTTAATTTAGATTTTCTTATCCCTTGCTATATTAATAGCTTGCTAGACCCTGTAAGAGTCTCCTGTATGTGATTAAAGTTCAATTTACAAAGCAAGAGGTAAAATTGTTTAAAGGGACACTATAGTCACCAGAACAACTACAGCTTATTGAAATTGTTCTGGTGAGTAGAAACATTACCTTTAGGCATTTTGTTGTAAACACTGTCTTTTCAGAGAACATGCAGTGTTTATATTACAGCCTAGTGATAACTTCACTGGCTACGCCTCAGATGGCTGTTAGAGATCCTTTAAGGTAAATTACATCTGATTCAAAGTGAATCCAGTTTTTTTTTTTTCAATGCAGGCTGTGTCAATCAGAGCCAGGGGAGGTGTGACAAGGGCTGCATAAACAGAAAAAGTGATTTAACTCCAAAATGGAAGTGAAACCTGAGAGGCATGATCTATAAACTAAATATACCCTCGGCGCTGGTGACCTCTCCTCCCCCGCCGACGTCAGTGGAGCAGAATGCGCATGCGTGGCAAGTGCCGCACGTGCATTCAAAGTGTCCATAGGAAAGCATTTCTCAATGCTTTCCTATGGAAGCTCTGCGCGATGGATGCGAAATTCGCATTTGGTGTCGCAGATGCGCCTCTAGTGGCTGTCCGGAAGATAGCCACTAGAGGCTGGATTAACCCCAAATGTAAACATAGCAGTTTGCATCTCAAGGGTTAAAACCTGAGGGACCTGGCACCAAGAGCCGAAGTGGTGTGGGTGACTATAGTGTCCCTTTAATATCAGACACAATGTTCCTATATTCTCATGCTGGTGGAATAATGGTGTGACAAGAGAACAGGAGACACCTCAGGACTTCACTCAGTCCTTCATATAGACCCTTTTGATGACCGTGGGTTGACAGGGGAGGGAAAGCAGCAGATTTTCTAATAGGAAGGCATCTAGGAATTGCAAGAATATATGGTGGCACTTGGCTATGTCCATAACTAATAACCACCTCTATGTATGATAACTAAATAAGTAAAAAGCAATAAAAATGTGCTAAATAAATACTATCAGAGAATCCACTGAAAAGTGCAACAAAGAGAAGTATGTGTGTGTGTGGTCTACATCATGACCCCATGCTGCACCTGAAGCTCTCATGAATGTTGGGGCACTTGCAATTCAGTTGCATTGGTTGTAGGGGTATGCCATGGGTGCACCTGTATGTATAGCAGTATGGGCTACATAAATATATATCTTATGCTGGCTGTGCCAGGATACAGTGTACAATGTAAACAAGACCAACCCCCCCTTACTAAAGTTAAATAATAAATAAATCAATAAAAGCACAATGTATTGTTGACTTGCAGTTAGCCATTATTGGGCTAACATAAAATGAAAGAATTGACAGTGCCCCTTTAAGAGAAAAAAAACAAAAACCTTCCATAAACATTAAAGCAAGCCATTCCCCACTATTACTGTCCTGGCATTGCATGCATGTGTACCTGGGCTATAGAGCAGCTGGGATTGATGTGTTATAAGACATCCCAAACACACACCCACATCTTAGAATGCAGCCTCACCTTCATTGCCCCCTTAAGCAGTGGGTCCACCACACAAAGGCCTCGCACGACTCACCAAAACCCAGTCAATTCCTACACCTCCTGACGTCATTCATTGGGCGTGAATCCAGTGTTCGGGTCGAGTTCTATACGCAAGAGACGCAACACGATTGTACAATTCTGGCTACAGTGATCCTGTAGAACTCTTTTTTGCTCAAGCAACACTTTTGGTATTGCTCCCTCTAGTGTTTAATCGAGAGTATGCACGATGTTTGTAACAAAAAAGGGTTTTCTCATTCAGGACAAACACACACACACAAAAAAAGTTTTCTCATTCGTTTTCTTTCACGAACATGCACAGTGTAGGAATAAATGCAAGGTGCTTAACATTTTAAAGAGACATCATATTCACCCAGAGCAATTCAGCTCATTGAGGTGGTCTGGATGTAATGTCCACCAGTCCTTCAATGTAAAACACTGCACTTTCAGAGAAACTGCAATGTTTATATTGAAGGGTTAACACTGCCTCTAGTGACCATCGCCCAGCCAGCCATTAGAGGTGCTTCCTGCAGTTTCACTCTTCGTATGAGGACATCTAGCGACATGCAAAACCCATAGAATAGCATTGATTCAATGCTTGGTTCCCGCTTGCTCCGACGGCATGGATTGAGATAGCCCTAAAATTGGGTAGGTGATTGAAAGGGTTTCTAACCCTTTCCTTGCCATGGGGAGGGGCGCAGAGGCAGAGGTATACTATAGTGTTACAAATACAGCTTTGTATTCCTAACGCTACAGTGTTCCTTTAAAGGGACACTATAGTCACCAGAACAACTACAGCTTAATGTAGTTGTTCTGGTGAGTATAATCATTGTATGCAGGCATTTTCATGTAAACACTGCCTTTTCAGAGAAAATGCAGTGCTAACATTGCCCCTAGGGGCACCTCCAAGTGGCCACTCCTCAGATGGCCACTGGAGGTGCTTCCTGACTCAGTGCTGCCCAGTACGCAACTCTACCGTTCAGCGAATTTCTCATAGAGATGCATTGATTTAATGCATCTCTATGAGGAGGTGCTGATTGGCAAAAATAGCGTTTGGCCCAGTCCCCTTGCCAATTTTAGCCAATCCAATGCTTTGCCCATGGAAAAGCATTGGATTGGCTAAAAATCTACAATTCTGATGTCACCAAGGGGGCGGGGCCAGTGCCGGCAGACCCTCAAAGCACTGTAAATAAGGTGAGTTTTTCATGTTTTTAAAGCGGTTAAGGGGGGTGGGGGGCAAGCCACCTTAATGGTGGGTTTTGCACTATAGAGTCAGGAATACATGTTTGTGTTCCTGACCCTATAGTGTTCCTTTAATATTGATAAGGTTATTTAGCGTGACAATATAGATTCTAAAGTCATGATCAACCGTGACTAGTTAATCTGATTCTTAACATTTTGCTACGACTTGTGTGTTTTAATGTGTTGGAAGAAATCTCCAGACATGACACTGTATTTTTTTTTAACCATCTAAGTTATTTTAAGGGGTAATATAAATTATCCTTCCTTTAACTGGATTTCTACACAGATTAGTCTCTCCTCTTTTGATAAACACAGCTTGAAACTCTGTTCCAAGCTGCCTGTCAATTCTGTGCAAAAAAATCGTCAGCGCACACTGTCATTCGTTCTCAGCCTCTCTCCTTGCAGGCAGCATTGGGAGCGTGCCTGTAAGGGGAATCCTACATCTACCATTCCTCTGTGCACTCCCTCTAGTGACAATTATTTATTTAAAATTATCCTCTGAGCTGCTGAAAAGGTCCACTCAAGTGCTTCTCTATCAGAAGAACTTAATTAGGCCACACAAGGGAGGCAGTGACGTCAGACAAGGGATGGAAACCAGCGCCGAGAGCTTTGGTCAATGCTGGATTTTCTGGCCAACCATAGCAGAATCAGACTTTTTGGTTATGCTGCCATGGAAAATAGCCAGAAAAATAAAAATTACAGTAAGAATGAATCAAACTATTTTGTGGTTGGCAACCGTTTCTAAGTATTTATGTGCACTTATCTTACCTTGTGTGTATGTCTCAAACACTCTACATGACATTATGTCATGGATGGAATTCAATAATTTAGATTTACGCTGCGCTGTAGGCTGATTATAAGTCTCCTACATTCTGAATCAGAAATTGATACTCATTTTATATGCTCTGAATATAGATTCGAACCTGTTATTTTCGTAACCTAGCAACGCCTTTGAGTGAAGAAGGACGTGCTAGACCCCAGGGAGTACGAAACATGGCGCTCTTCTGGGAGTAGTACTATTTTTAATATATTCAATGTTTTAATTTCATATACATGGGTTAATGAGACATTATGCATTTAAAAAGGGGCAATATAAAATGTTTGTTCTACTTTTTTTTTTGTGCTGCAATAAACAATTTGTAAAACTGTGTGTGCACTACATCTGGTTGTACTGCATTTTCATAATTTTAGCTAATTAGGTCCTCCTGTCAAATTGTGTTAAATTAATATTACGATATATTAATAATACAATCGGAAACAATGTTTTGAGTTAAAAGAACACTGTTAGGAATAAAAATCTGTATTACTAATGCGTTTAGTGTTCCTGTCCCAACTCTTGCTGCTCACTTCTCAGTTGATGTCCAATCCAATGCTCCTCACCTAATGTCATGCGTGGCGAGCATCATATGTGCATTCAAACTTCCCCATAGAAAATCATTGAATTAATGCTTTCTTATAAGGCTTTTGCGTCATGTAATTGAGCTTTACGCGGTCATTGCTGCAGAAGCGTCTCTAATGGTTGTCTGACGGCCTAGAGATATACTTAACCCTGCAATGTAAATATTGCAGTTTCTCAAAAACTGTAATGTTGTAAATTACAGGATTTACCCTGTGCTGACATTAGGGAATGCTAACGATTTGGCCCTCAGTCTGGAAGGAATACTTAATTTACGCTACAATCGCAAACGGGGACCTGACTGACAACCCAGGCAGTCCACCTGCAACCAATCCAGCCATTCAGTCATGTGACACCATTCTCTGGACTGGCTGTAGAGGGACTGTCTGGGTTGTCAGACAGGTCCCCCGATATATAATCATCATAAATAATCAGTAACATTTTACAATTTTATATATTTACATGAAAATACAGTTGGAATAGAATATATACATTTTTTACTTGTGGAACATCACATACAACTATGTGTAAAAGCTAACAGTATTCACAGCTAAAATGCCATACTCACTTTTTTTATATGTAACTATTTGATGGGAAATAAAAGCCCTATTTCTCCTGAACATAATGATTTATGTGGGTGCAAAAATGGAAGAGGTAAATTCCAAGTTTGTTTTGATTCAAAACTTAAAAGGACAGGGACACTGCACGCAGACCACTTCAAAGAAATGAGGTGGTCTGGGTGACTTAACTGAAACATTGATTTTTCTATGTGTTTCAATGCTGGCTCCTTGAAATACAACAGTGTTATTTCTGATAACCAAAAAGTCTCATGAGTGCTCTTTTACAAGCCTATTTTGTGTTTCGAGCATGAGAATTTGCACCGGGAGCAACTACGACTTTAGAAGAGAAACTCTGAGTGCATAACTCCAGGTGTGTGTGTACACAATATGGTTATGGTGCTTGGTCCTTTAAGCCATTCTAATACACACCTACTAGCTCTGGATAAATATATAATACACTAAACACAGAGAAACAGACACCTCAAATTGATTTAATTCTCCATTTAATACTCGTTATGTTCATTATGTGGCATACAGGAGGTAGATACAATATTCTGTCAGTGGTATTGGGGGGGAAGGTCAATTCTGAATTCTTCTGTAGTTGGGAGTTTTTCGCAATGTATCTCTGCCATAATGGAGTGAAAAGCTAGTCCCCTCATCTACCCTTCATGGAAGGCATGCAGAAGAAATATTTTTTCTCACTTTTATAAATGCACGTTAGTATCCGCAGGTTAAATACAGAATCATCATTCTCTTTATGCACAAAATGTATTAGTAATTGTGTGAATGAATAAATCATTTGATTCTAATCCCCAAAAAAAAAAAAAAGTTTTAATTGCCTTTTACCTTTTACCATCCATATCCAAACACAGATCCAATCCATATCCAAACATGGTCAAGGCACCAAACAACCAACCATAGTCTAAAATATTATAAATAAAATTTGTAGATGAAGTAATAAAACCAAATTTAAAAACAATAAAACAAAAAGCAGTGGCACAGGGCCAATGTTTTGATGAAGTGGAATGAAGTGATGGTAGCAATGTGTTTTAATTCAAAAGTTTTTGGCACTCATCTTCCATGACTCCTCGGTACACTAAAAACCGATGATTCAAGCCAGTGTTGCAGTGAAGTCGATAACTGGTTCCTAAAGCACCTCCAGGGGAGTTGCAGCCATAGTAAACACGGGACACACGTGAGTGGAGAAGAGCCATAGCACACATAACACATGGCTCTTGTGTAACATAAACCTCATACCCCGTGCATAAGTAGGGCGCCTGTTCCTCCATTCTCTTCCGTTTCTCATGCTCATCTACCGTTGCATATTTCCACATGCCTTGTTTCCCTTTTTCAAAATTCTTTTGATCTGCCCCTTTTCTGTTTTTCATTTCATTTAAAGGTTCCTCTCCCACATTGCACTCCTTGTCCTCAATGAATAAATTGGGGTATGCACCTCCACCTTGCCTTCTGGCTACTTGATCTATTGCAACCATACATGCATGGAGGAATGGCTTTCCTGTCTTCTCAGTCTGATCACTGGTTAATGCCAAAACCTCACCAGTTTCTGGATTGACGATTGTTGCCCCTAAGCCACATACACCATTGGCCTGGCTCTGTTGTGCAGCTTTCAGGGCTCTGCACATATTACTTCCAATCCTTGCTTTTTCATCCTCCGACATAAATTCTGATCCACTGTTTTCTTCCACATTTACTCCATGTTGCTTTGAATGAAAAGTAGTAGGCCAGTAGACCGCCCAAGCCTGCTGATCCTTTCGACTTTTTGGTGCCTTGGAGGGAACGGACACTAAGAAAGGTTTACCCAAGCCAGTCAAGTCAGCGCTGGTATCTTTAAAAAATGCTGCTATTGATGGTGCTTGTACAAAATCTTTGTGTTCTGTCACATTTTTAGATTCCCTAATGTCACCGTCACAACAAAAAATTTGTTTGGATGTGGCAGGATCTCCGTCATTTAATGTGATGGACAAAAGCTCATTGTCTTTGGATGGAAAAAGCAAGATATCAAGGCGAGAAGAACAGGATCTCACCCTCTTTAAGTGGCGTAAGATATCTGGAAAGGGTCTGTTAACAGTAAGCATCTGGGAAAGGCGGGAGGTTTGTTTTTTGTCTAGAATGGGGGCAGCATAAAACAATGTTAAAGGAGGTCCATTCCCTGAGTCTTCTTCTTTAAGTTCCTTTTCTTCTTTCAATGAAAGAACTGGAATTGCATTCCAAGTGGATGATGGCGCCATACCTAGGTAAAAAAATAAAAAAATAAAAAATATATATAAAATGTTTGAACAAGAATTGATTAACTGCTCAGATACCAAAATAAATAAATCACTATTTAGTGCATGCAAGCATTTCTCATGTACTAACAAAAAGAACGTTTCTTACAGTTCTTAACATATCCAGACCCAGTGGTTCCATTAGTAAAAATTTAAATTATTTACATAGTGGTGACATATCCTGAAGAACTGTACAATAGGTAAAACCAGACAAACAATGCATTCTAACAAAACATGTTTGACCTATGTTAACAACAGGTGTAGAGGGCCGTGCCTAAATTAGCTAAAAAAAAAAAAAGCAAATGTAATTTTTTATTGAATAAGCTGTACTTTTTCCCCACATAAATAATACTTTTATACACTTGGCATTTTATGTTACAAATGTAAAGAAAAAACAAAACAAAAAAACAAAAGGCTTTCAATTTAAAAGAGAAGTCTCCTCTGCATATTTTTTTTCCACAAATTTAGAAATAATTCCAGACCACTCCTCCCCATCACGTTTTCCATAGCTTCAAAATTTCCAGAAATGTTACATCTCTAATCGCAAGTAGTGCCATCTCTCGCCTACCTCTAACTTTCCATAGGGTGTCAATCTGATACCGGTGACTAGAATACATGCCCTTTACAGCATAGGTAGCGGAGGGCATAATCTATCCAGTGGCGCCCCCTCTCTTTGGTTACCTCCTAATATATGCATAGGGACCTTCTCCCTTACCCATTTGCACAGCTTACCAATACATATTGGCACCATGGATGGGTATGTTCCCAGCACTCTGTTTCCCATGGTGTGACTGTAGTCTCTCACAAGATCCTCACACTGTTTTGCGTTTGTCATGCCTTTATGCAACATCTTGTACTGTATAAATATACCTCCTGTTCAATAAGTCAGTCTTTCCTAGTGTTTGGGTACAAGGTGGGAATAAACATGTATTGCTTTATAAAATATCTGATTGATGGTTGGGCAATATCATTGATGAAACTCAGGCTGTAATTGCCATAAGGTACCAGATTGCTGTGGAAGCTACTGGTGGTTCCTGGTAGCATGGAGAAAGACAGTAGCAGGTTTAGGTCTGTTGCTGTTGGAGGCAGCATTGGGATACCCTTTCCTTGTGATTTATAAGCAGACACAGAGCAGGATCTGTGAATGAAACTCAAGCAATCTGTGTAACATAGCGCCACACTGGAGATCTGTTTAGATCAAGAAAACAGCAGTACGGTGACCTCTGATGAGAGCAAGTTATCCAGGGAAGTGCACCTCAATCCTAGGCAAGAAGTGGTTTGAGATTGGCTTAACTAAGCTGAAACAAGGGGGATTAGTGCCTTACCAGCACCAAGACATAAGTGAGATATTGTGTCCATACGGCCTCGACCTTTCCAAGAGGATACCAGTGGGGTACCTCAGGGATCTGTACTTGGATCCACTCTGTTTAATAATTTTATTAGTGATTTAGCAGAAAGTATGACTTTTTGCTGATGATACTAAGATCTGCAACATGGTTGATGTTCCATAAGGGATAAGCCAAATGGCAAATTATTTAGGTAAAACTAGAAAAATGGTCAGAGCTGTGGCAACTGGCATTTAATGTGGATAAGTGCAAGATAATGCATCTTGGAAGTAAAAACTCAAGGACAGAGTATAGAATATTTGGTAAACTACTAACCTCAACATCTGAGGAAAGGGATTTAGGTAAATATTTCAGATAACTTAAAAGGTAGACAGACAATGTAATAGAGCAGCAGGAAATGCTAGCAGAATGCTTGGTTGTATAGCAAGAGGTATTAGCAGTAGAAAGAGGGTAGTGCTCATGCCATTGTACAGAACATTGGTGAGACCTCACTTGGAGTATTGTACACAGTACTGGAGACCATATCTTCAGAAGGATATTAGAAAGTTCAGAGAAGGGCTACTAAACTGGTTCATGGATTGCAGGATAAAACTTACAAGGAAAGGTTAAAGGATCTTAACATGTATAGCTTGGAGGAAAGACGAGACAGGGAGGATATGATAGACACATTTAAATACATAAAGGGAATCAACACAGTAAAGGAGGACACTATATTTAAAAGTAGAAAAACTACCACAACAAGGAGGACATAGTCTTAAATTTTGAATGGCAAAGGTTTAAAGGAACACTATAGGGTCAAGAACACAAACATGTATTCCTAACCCTATAGTGTTAAAATCACTATCTAGCCCCCTTTGCCTCCCTAAATATAGTAAAATCTTACTTGTATTCAGGTCTGAAGCTGCTGCCTCTGCCTGTGAACTTCATTTGACCTCTGACATCATCAGAAATGATGGCCTGATCCAATCACAATGCTTCCCCATAGTATTGGCGGAGACTGACAAGGAGGCAGATCAGGGGCACAGCCCCGGCCAATCAACATCTCCTCAAAGAGATGAATTGAATCAATGGGTCTCTATGAGGAAAGTTCAGTGTCTGCATGCAGAGGGAGGAGACACTGAATGTTTGAATGCGTTTTAGGCAGCCATGACCCAGGAAGGATCTCTAACACCTCTCTGAGGAGTGGCCAGTGAAGTTATCACTAGGCTGTAATGTAAACACTGCATTTTCTCTGAAAAGACAGTGTTTACAGCAAAGATCCTGAAGGTAATGACTCTACTCACCAGAACAAATTCAATAAGCTGTAGTTGTTCTGGTGACTATAGTATCCCTTTAAAAATTATTTCAGGAAGTATTACTTTACTGAGAGGATAGTATTACTTTACTTTAGTGGATGCGTGGAATACCGTTCCAGCTGAAGTGGTAGAGGTGAACACTGTAAAGGAGTTTAAGCATGCGTGGGATAGGCGTAAGGCTAGCCTAGCTATAAGATAAGGCCAGGGACTAATGAAAGTATCTAGAAAGACTAGATGGGCCACACGGTTCTTATTTGCTGTCACATTCTATGGGATATTGAGTGGCTAGCCTCTTTGTAATACAATATTTCTGGAAGAGCAGTATGGAGTTTACACTGCAATGCCCATTATGAATACCTTGGTATGCCAAAGGTGGTCTTCCCAAACCAAGAATTTGTCTACGCTGGCCCTGGACCTCTGTGGTATGCCTCGAGATGTAAAATAATTTATTTTTCCTGGAAAAAAAAAGGAATAAATAACAATAAAAATGTACAGTGAAGTACTCTTACAAATTGCAAGTCATTTTGTTACATTGGGAACATTAAATGCAGAGTGTAAAGTATTATGTTTGGAATAAATGTATAGCTTATTCAGTAAATAACCTGAACTGCTTTTTTAAAAACCTTTTTTGTTACAATTGGAACTAAAATGTCTGCATGTATTAACATATGAACTGCAAGAAACCTATTTTGCCAGTAAATGGGAACGGGCAATCAGTCGTAAAAAATGAACTTAAGTACTTGACGGGAGTTTAGCAGGTCCTCTCCTTAGACCGGTTTTCTTACATTGCAATTTCAGCAGAAGGAACTTTGATAAAAGGCAATGTAAACGCTAAAAAATCTTGTTGTAAAAATAAGGTAGTATAAAGCAGCACCCTATCTAGTCTAATAGTCTAAAAACACTCCAAAAAGTAAACATAAAAAAGTGTGCTGTGTCTTTAAGACAACGGCAGTGTTGGGTGGTTGGGCAATCTATAAATTATTGTTAAACCAGCAGGTGTTAACATTAAAATGCGCTATACACTCAATAAAGTGCATCAAAAAACAGTGCAATATCAGTGTAAAGTGTGTCATGCTTCACTTACCGTATATACTCGAGTATAAATCGACCCGAATATAAGTCGAGACCCCTAATTTTACCCCAAAAAACTGGGAAAACTTATTGGACTCGAGTATAAGACTAGGGTGGGAAATGCAGCAGCTACTGGTAAATTTCTAAATAAAATTATATCCCCAAAAAATTATATTAATTGAATATTTATTTACAGTGTGTGTGTATATAATGAATACAGTGTGTTTGTATGAATGCGGTATGTGTGTGTGTGTATATAATGCAGTTTGTTTATATGAGTGCAGTGTGTGTGTGTGTGTGTATATATATATATATATATGAGTGCAGTGTGTGTGTGGGGCTCTCATTCCCTGGTGGTCCAGTGGCATTGGCTGTGTAGGAGGGGGGCTGGCAGCAAGCTGTAACTTACCTTTCCTGTAGCTCCTGCCAGCTCCCCTGTAAGTCTCGCGGTCTGAGTGCTGCGCGGAGCTCTGACCCCTTGGCTCTCGCGAGACTTGCAGTGGAGCTGACCGGACCGGAGGAGAGAGAAGGGAGCTGCAGGAAAGGTAAGTAAACGCTTCCTGCCAGCCCCCAACAGGACCCGGGCTTGTAATGAGCCCGGCGGTCCTTGTCTGTATTATGGTAATGTAAGTTTCCATAATACAGACAGTGACTCGAGTGGGGGTTTTTCAGCACAAAAAACGTGCTGAAAAACTCATCTTATACTCAAGTGTAAACGGTACATCATACAATGTCTATGTCATATATGCAAAATGAAAAACATATATAGTGTAATATTGTACCAAATCAGTGAGATTTTTACACACCTTTTATCCCACGCTGTGCAGGTCTCGCCCTGCCTGAAATCATCAATCTTGATAATCTCAGCCAATCCAATGCTTTCCCAAATTAAAGCATTCAGAGACTATTGCGCATGCAATGTGGGAAGCACTTATTTAATGTATCTCTATGAGAAGATGTTGATTGGCACAGTGTTTTTTTTTGCTGCGCAGTCTCCCAACGCTCCCCCTACCACCTCCAATGCTGATTATCTCAGCCCTGGAGGTGGGGCCAGCAGTGGCGAGACCAGCAGAGCATAGAAAAAAGGTGAAGAAAAAACACCTTTCCCGTGTTATTGGAGGGGGCAGGTCACCTACACAGACACTCAGTGACACATACACACACTCTGATTTGACACACACACACTGACAAACAATTATTTGTTTTGTTTAAATGTATCTACTAAGTCTCCCTACCTTTCCCAGGGGAGGGACTCTTCTTGCTCTGCTTCCTCACGACTGTTTAGTCATGCCAGGGCCAGAGAGACACCATAACCCGGCATCATTGCAGGGAGCGCACGGGAGCAGAGAAAATTACAGCTCCCTCGCCGCCTCCACAGTCAGCCAGCCACCTGTCCGCCTGCCTCAGCGCTCCAGGAGCCCGCATCCGATCTCAATCAGCTGCGCACCTTGGGAGCTGAAAAGTCTGACAAATCCCAGACACCAGGACAAATTTCTTAGTCGCCATGACGACTTGGGATTTATCGAGCCCTGGCTTAAATTGTCCCCAGGGAGAGCGGTGCCTGTATCCCAGCCCGGGTACCGGCTTCCTCAGGGCTGTGAGATCCAATTTCTTTCAGTGACATTGGCTATCCGATGCATTTCGACAATCAAATCAGCTTCCAGATCTGCCCTGTTGTTGCTGACATTCTCTTTTTAGTCCAGCCTATGGGTGTATGCAGTCCAAAATATTAGAGAGTAAGGCATTCCAATTGGCTAAATCTTAAAACCTCATTAGTATCAGGAAATGAAAAATGGAATTCAAAGTAAAACAATCCAAATCCTATATAATCTTTGCAGGGGTGACGTTCTGTGTTCTCATGCTCTGCATAAAGACGTTGAACGATCTCAGTAGAGGTGCACTGCAATCACCATACTGCACTAATCAGTGTCTCCACATAGAGATAGATGTATTATACCAGTGCATCTCTACGGGGATTGCTCAGCGTCTTTATGCAGTGCATTAGAACACAGAATGTCACCCCTGCTAAGATTGCAGCAATGTAATAAGACACACCTCCAGTAGTTGGTTGAGTGATAGCCACTACTTGTGTTCATAGGAGCAAATGTAAACACAGTCTTTTAACAGAAAAGGAAATGTTGACATGTCTTAAACTGTAGGGACAAACCCACTACATTAAGCTGTACTAGTTATGGTGTTTAATTCTGCCCTTTTTTTTTTTAATCTGGTGTAAAATTATTCTGACTTTTAGTTGATTCTCATAATTATATTGGTGGATATTTTGTTTCAATTTGAGTTACATGTATATGTTTTAAAGGGGCACAGCACCTTAGTGTTTTTTTTTTCCCATCTCACATTATTGTTTGATTTAATAATGAATTGCCCCTATAATAATAGAACAATAATCCATGCCTTTGAAAATTCGTAATAAGACTTATACCAAGCGGCAATAGGCTCACAGAGAAAGCCCATGGTTTATTCCTAGTAATCGATATTCATTCATTGTGTTTGGCATGGATCTTAAAAATTGCACAAGACACATGAACACCTCCACACAGACATAATAACTCACCTTTGGTGATCTACGTGGAGCCCTGAATCAAGCTCAGCACTGGGGGCAGCCTGACCCTCTCCAGATGCCACACACAGCCTCTCAGACTCTCACCGCATACCCTGACCCAGGATGGCAGGAACAGGATGACATGCTGGGGGCGGCCATCTTGGAGGAGCAAGATGGCGGGCAGCTCCAATCACGTGACCATGTGTCGCAGAGACAATAACAAAATTCTGCAGCCAAAAATTAATGTGAGTTCTCAGCAATAAAAATTCCGCTTATCTCACTGTGTTTCCACATCCTTCCCTCCCAGCCCCGCTGAAGAAATAACCACCCGCCCTGACAGCAAGTATCTATCACTCTTATCCTTCATTTTTGGCAACTAATTACGTGGGGTTTTTTTTGTGGTTTTTTTTTTTGTGGTGTAAATCAAAGTTCCCTAAGTTTCCAACGCCCAAAACATCACCCCCACCCCTCTCTCATAACAATATATACATATATTTATAAATAATCAGATTTAGAACCCCCGCCCTGTTACTGGTCACTTCCACAATTCTGAGAACATTCCAACTTGTTGATCGAATAACGGGGAATTGTGTGAGCGATCTGGAAAAGAGAGCTACAGAGTAAGTCTAAACACCGAGCATTTATAGCTGCAAGCATGTCATAGGGTCTGGGTGTGATGGGAGTTGTATGTGTGCTTTTGGGGTGGCTTTGATTGCCAGATGGAGCTGCTTGTGTGTGATGGGAGTGGTATGGGGCAGGATAATTTATCAGAGTTTTAGTCCTATTATTCTATCCCTGTGCTGGTTTTCAGCGTTAGACAAAGTGAATATGTTTAGAGAACACTGTACTCACTATAGTTACATATAGAGAAGAGACATAAGTTCTTCAAGTTCAGTCTTTTTCACAGTTGCTTTTGCTGTTCAAAAAAAAAGGCAAAAAAAAAAATCACAGTTTGAAGCACTTTTGCAACAAACTAGGATAAAAATTCATTCTTGACCCTAGAATGGCAGTCAGATCTCTTCTTAAATCAAGAAACTATAACCCCAGTAATTAAAAATTAAATCCCTGAATATTATATTTTTGCAAGTATATGTCAAATTGCTGTTTAACCCCTTGGTGACCAGACCTCTTTTCAATTTTCTTACCGTTAAAGGACCACTATAGTGCCAGGAAAACAAACTCACTATAGTGTTAATAGGCCCCCCCCCACCCTCATGGCCCCCCTCACGCCGGGCTCTAGGGGGAGGAATGGGTTAAACGCTTACCTCGTGATTCTTTTGACACACATAGCAAATTTAAGAATACCTGTACTGAGAACTTTCAGGGTTACTGCCAAAGAACATCCCATTATGTGTTCAGCAACATCTCCCGAGTACAGTGATACCACCCATGTATTGGTGTGTGGGGTTCTCTGGGGGCTAAAAAACCTTATTTGGAGGGTGCGCATTCCAGTTTTCAAACTTGGAATTTTCACAGCTGGTCATCATGCACCCATGTCCTATTTGGGACATTTTTGAAGCCGGCCAATGTAATTTACCCCCATCAAACCATATATTTTTGAAGAGTAGACACCCGAGGGTATTTCTAATGGTGGTATTTAAACACTTTCCATGCACGAATTATACCACCAGTCTTTGTCAAGCTTTTGGGTAGTCACTTTTGTGTTATTTTTCTCTCACATTGTACTTTAGGCATGGATTCTCAGTTCCTGAGTACAACAGTGCCCCCAATGGGTTTTTGCAAACTTACAGGGGTCAAATGTATGGCTTTCCTCTTTTCCATGTTTGCACATTGAAATTTGCCAGATTGCTTTGCTGGGCCTATGTTGCCTTTGAGACTGTATAGCAGCCCTGGAATGAAAATTAACCCCATCATGGCATACCATTTTCAAATGTAGACAACCCGGGATATCTCCAGTCTTTTGTAGTAGCCACTTAGTCACAAACGCTGTCCAAAGTTAGCATTTTTATTTGTTTTTTGCGTTTTTTTTTTTGTTTTTTTACACAAGAACTGCACTTTTACTTGTTATTTAATCATCGTGATAAGTTTTACTGTTTTAAACACTCATATTTGTGTTCCGTGAAGTCTCCCGAGTATAACAATACCCCACACCTACAGGTTTTATGGTGTTTTGGAAAGTTATGGGGTTAAATATAGGGCTTGCCAATTAAATTCTCTGGACTGTCTGCCTGGGTTGTCAGGCAGGACCCTCAAATTATAATTAATACAATCAAATGATTATGTAGTTAATAGTTAAATATATATTTAGAATGTGTGTGTGTATGTGTCACGTCCCCCGCGCCTCCATACCGCGTGGCCGCATCCGATCGATGCGGTCACGCTGTTAAAAATAATAAAAATGTACCTAAAGCACATTAGCTTTCCATTCAGCACACTCGTGGAGCGATCCCCGACCAGAGTGGCATTCTAATGAACGCTGGCAACTGTGGTCCCAAGCAACTATGCAAATGACGCGCACGCATGTTTTGGGGTCAAAGGCTATGTACAACCAATCATAGCCTTAGGAGGGTTATTTAAACTCAAAAAAGCATTTGGTCAGTGCCCCATCGTGGTTTCCACTTGGTTAACAGAGTGCGTTCCTATTCTAGTTCTTTTTGGTATTTGACTTTGGCTTGTATTTTGACTTCCCCGTATTTCTGGTATCCTTGACTTTTGACTTGTTTCCTCTTTGTGTCTCTTTCTGTGTCCCTGACCTCGGCTAGTATTTTGACCATTCTTTATTTACGTTAAGTCCGGTCGTTCTAAGGCTCGGTATACGTTATCCTTGTTCATTGTGTATTACATAGTTCTGCGTGTTGGGTCATATAGTAATCGTGACCAGTAAGGTTTTGTCATGTATAAAACAGGGGCATAAATTCTCAGCATGAAAATATAATTTTGCCTCTTTATAAATCACTGGTAAGACCACACCTTGAATATGCTGTGCAATTTTGGGCACCTGTTCTAAAGAAGGATATCATGGCACTAGAAAAAGTGCAGAGACGAGCTACAAAATTGATAAAAGGAATGGAGCATTTTAGTTACGACGAAAGGTTAAAATTTTTTAATCTGTTTAGTTTGGAAAAACGCGCCTCAGAGGGGATATGATAACATACAAATATATTTGGGGCAAGTACTACCATTATCTGGAACTCTATTCATAAACAGGGCTATACATAGGACACGAGGTCACACATTTAGGCTGGAAGAAAGGAGATTTCATCTAAGACAAAGAAAAGGTTATGGAATTCTCTGCCTGAAGAGGTGGTTTTGTCAGAGTCCATACAGATGTTTAAACTGAAATTGGATAAATACTTGCAAAATCATAACATATAGGGATACAATTTCTAATTAGTGGGGTAATAGCTGCTTGATCCAAGGAGACATCTGACTGCTATTTTGGGGTCAAGAAGGATTTTTTTCCTAGTTTGTTGCAAAATTGGAAGCGCTACAGACTAGGCTTTTTGCCTTCTTTTGGATCAACAGCAAAAACATATGTGAGGTAGGCTGAACATGGACGCAAGTTTTTTTTTTTTTCCAGCAATGTAACTATGTGACCGTGTGTGTGTGAGTGTGTGTATTTCCTATATATGTATAATATATTTTAAGCATTTTATAATATATTACACATATATAATGCATATATATGATTTCATTATAAGTGTATTTTGAGAGATATATGTATATCTCAAAGTACACTTATAATGAATTCATATGCATTATATATGTATAATACATTATAAAATTCTTTAATTATTTTATAATATACAGTATGTATAATATATTTATTTGGTTATTATTTTTCTTACTTTTTAGCAGACTGGGGGACTGCCTGACAGTTCAGACAGACCCCCTGCTGGCAGCTCCATAGACTCCTATTGTGGCGGTGATCGTATGGGCCGGGGTGGCCGGAGCTGCTGAAGGGGGACTTCTGGGGTCTCCGGCAGTCCCCCCCACACCCCCGATCGTGATTGCCGGTCCAGGGCTCCTATTTGCCGCAGACGTACTAGGTACATCTGCGGTCCTTAACGACTGTGTTTTTGTCGGACATACCTAGTACGTCTGCGGTTGTTATGTATTTATAACGTCATTCTAAATGTATTGTGATTTAAATATATATGTATATTAATATCAAAATACAGTTAGAACAAATTTAAACCGGTATATAATTTTTTTCAATGTCATTTTATATATATATTTTTTTTAAATTAATTTATTGCTTATTTTTATTAAATATATAAAATTACTTTATTCTAAGTGTATTTTAATATATATAATTATATAGATTAATATTAAAATACACTTTTAATAATGATTTATGTATGTGTAAATACAAGTACTTAGATCATATATAAATAATTTCCCCCACCAAGTTGCCTGTATACAGTAACACATACACAGGCAAACAGTCACACAAACTGTTACAAGCAGACAGTCAGACACGCTCAATTACAGGCAGACAGACACACACACACACAGTTACAGGCACAGTCACAGAGCCAAACACACAGTTACAGGCACAAACAGTTACAGGCACACAGTCACAGGCACACAGTCACAAACAGTTACAGGCACACAGTCACAAACAGTTACAGGCACACAGTCACAAACCGTTATAGGCACACAGTCACACACACAGTTACAGGCACACAGTCACACATACTCCATTACAAGCAGACAGTCATACACACTCGGTTACAGGCATGCAGACACGAGAAAGGTCTCGTTGTCGCTCCTCCTCCTTGGATTTACTCACCTATTTTTCAGCGCTGCGCAGGTTTTCTCGCAGCTGGCCCCGCCTTTGCTCCACCATCTTTGCTGATATTATCAAACTTGACAATCTCAGCTAATCCAATGCTTTCCCATTGCAAAGAATTTGAAGGCTATTGTGCATGCGCAGCCAAATGTCACGCTGCGCCAATCAGCATCTCCTCATAGAGATGCATTGAATCAGTGCATCTCTATGGGGAGCGTTCAGCGCTTCCATGCAGAGTGTGGAGACACTGAACGTCAGTGCTGCCCAGAAAGCACCTCTGGTGGCTGTCTGACTACCACTAGAGGTGTTACTAGGCATTTTTTAAATTACAAAGCCTGCAGGGAAACACAATACGCACCAGAACAACTATATTAAGCTATGGTTGTTCTGGTGACTATAGTGTCCCTTTAATTTGCCATAAATAAAATTTAGGTGGTACAAAACAAATGAAGGAAGAGGGAAGGGAAGAGAGACGAGGGAAAGAGAACGAGAACAGGAAAAAACAAAACCAAAAAAAAAAAAAAAACAGATTGATATAGACGTTTGATATGGAATTCTATAAATTAAAAAAAATTGGAAATGTAGACTTATAAAAGGAAGAATTACTATAATTGTACTTTTTTATTTTTAATTTATATATTTATCTATATATATATTTTTTTTTTCTTTCTTTCTTTTCTTTTTCTTCTTTAGAGAGGGAGGGATAAAAATTTACTTTATACATATCCTGATTCTTGTAATAAATTATCTCAGAGGGAAAAGGAGAAAGAAAAGAAAAAGAAAGGGAGAAAGGAGAAAAAGAGAAAGGAAATGTTTATTGTAAAAAATAATTCAGTGAAAAGATATAAAAAGCTGTGTTACTGAAGCCGAAAATAAGTTAGATGAGATTGTAAAAGATAGTAATAAAATATCTCGAATTGTGAATGGTATCTCTCTATTTCTGTATATTATTTTTTTTATTTTTATTTCTATTTTTATTTTTATTTATTTTTATTAATTTTTTCTTTTTTTTTTGTTATACTGATGCACAGTGTTGTGTTTTCTCTGTAATTTGAAAAAGTGAAATAAAGATTTAAACATGAAAAAAAAAAAATTTTGCCATCAAAGGATGAGAGGATAGGGAGGATGGGTGGGAGTGATAGGAGGATATGGAGAGTGGAAGGAATAGGTGGCAATGATATGATTATCAGGATGGAGTGAAGAGTGGGAGTTATAAGCGGATGCGGGAGGGAGTGATAAAAGGATGGAGAGGGGGGGTATGGAGTGATAGGAAGATGTGATGGGAGGATGTAGATTGAGAGAGGAGTAAGAGGACTGAAGGTCGAGGTGGGATGGGGAGGGGAGAGAGAGATGGGAGAATTGTGAGGGAGGCATGCGTTTGAGAAAGGGTATGGGAAAATAGAAGGTGAATTATGTTTTTATTACTGGCATTTGTAAAGCGCCAACATATTCCGCTGCGCTGTACAATTAGGAGATAATGTACAATCATAGAATGATGGGGTGATAGAAACTGGGTGAGGAATGTGTGATGGGAGGATTAGGCAAGAGTGAAAGGGAGAGATGCATACCTCACAACATTTATATGCCTCAAATCTGGGTGAGGTAGGCCGGTCCATGAGAAGATGTCTACTGTGAGATGACCCACTGTAACGGCACCCTCAGGCATAAAAGGGTTAAACCGCCGTTTAGAAGATCTTCCCTTCCAGAGACACAGGCACAGCTACTGCAGAACACCAATCCGCCGAACAGGAAACCATATGAATGCTGTAAACAGCCGAATAGGAAAAACCATACGAATAGGTTTACACTCCTAGCAGTCAAACTGGAACAGCATACAATAAATGCCCCCCAAGAACGAGACAAAGCTCCGTGTTGAGGGTCAAGCAGTGAACAGACAGACCTGTGGGTTTATTATTCTTATATACACATTCTTACACATTAGTACCACCCACAGGGTTTTAAACAACAACCAATCATAAACGTACATTACAGAAACACTCCCAGCAATTACACACAAAAATCCTCCCCTCTACCTGTGATATAATTATGTTGCACAATGGTTTAACATAATTAACACAGGCAGTAAAAATACAGTTTTAATCCATACACTGTAACTTTAAAACTATACATCCAATATTAATAAAACTTACATATTATTAACTAGAAAAGCTACAATTTCTGGGGAAATTGTGTGAAGTGTTCTTGCCTCCACCAGTAGTCTACAACTGGAGTGGGCGGAGTAACTGTTATCATTTATATAGCACATTTAATTGCAACGTTGTTGGACAGTTACATTAAACCATACATTTATCAAAACATTAGCAGGTGTTCAAAAGCCCCTGTCTATGACATCACTTGCTGCTGCAGCCTGACACAGGTCAAGAGTATTTTCGCGGTTGCCATCTTCAAACGGTCGTATTTTAAAAACTATAAATCCTACAGCGAAGAGCTTTATATTGTGAGAATCACAAGACCCAGACCTACATTTTGATGCATAGTATGTCTCTGAAGTATTAAAAATGAAGGCACAGTCGCAGTTTAGAAATTGCACTTCAAATTTGAGCTTTGTAGAGTGAAGTTTCAATAAATGTCAATGGACGGCGTTAGTTGCAAACAAATGATTATATTGTGAAAACTATCAGGACTATGGCTTAGCCGTTGACATGTTTAGTGGCAGCAGGGATAGCTGAACGTTTTGATATAAGAGTTGTGTAGGTGGGCCTGAAAATAAGGGAGTGGTGGCAGTTTAGAAATCATGTCCTGATTTTTCAGCTTTTGCCAGCTCCCACTCTAGCTTTGCCATTCATTCCTATGGGACAAATTTCGCCACAAGAACGACGATATTCCGTGAACCATTCGGCGAAACGTTCCACAAAGTAATAGCAATCCGATCGGGAACAATCTGCACGTTTTGGTAAATTTCTGTCTATGTAGTGTAAAAACTGTGGGAGGAGTTAGGGTGGCAAATTTGGCTATAATAAGAATAATAATATATATGTGAGATAACAATAAGTGGTCTTGCTATGCAAGAACACTTAATCAGCACTATAAACATAACCAAAAATCAGACAAATCCATCCAGGGGTTAAAAAGTTAGCTGGAGGTCCCTTTATGACCGACCGCAAGCACATTTTCCTGCCCAAAACAGTTCCATAGATTTAGGCTGTGCGGCCGGTCTATTTCAGGCTGAAAAAACGACTAAGTCCCATCGCCGATTGGGACTTAGTCTCTGCAGCTGTAAAATCATTGTGGGAGAAGTTAGGGCTCAGCGGTGTTCGCGGAAATGTGTAGCCGATTTTAGTTCCATGAATTTGGCTACACATACCGCTGACCTCGTTCGCATTAACAAAGATGGCCGCCGCCAAGTGTTTGGCAAATGAACAAAGGCCACCCAGCGTTGTCAATTAAGCTGCGGTTAACTGCAGCTTCTGGGAGGTAAATTGCCTGCACACTTCCACTTCTGGGTGGTCTGCCTGTGTGGTACTTGGTTCATTAAGCCCCATTTACTGAACCAAGTGGGAAATAGCCAGGCACAAAGAGTTTTAATCAGGTCTGGGGACACTGGGGACACCGTCTTAAAGGGGCAGTGTCCCAAACAAGTCTGGGGACACCGTCTTAAAGGGGCAGTGTCCCAATCTTCCTGATGTCCCAAAAAGGTGTTTAAAGTGCCAGCACCAGTCCCATAAAGAGTCCATAAGCCACAATATGCCCACTGGCTGTCTTAAAGGGCCATACACACCCAATAAAAGTTCATACGTTTTTACCATCTCCCAGGGGCCATAGTCATGTGGAAGGAGGCTGGCAAATAGGCTTCTCCAATGCAATGTGGCGAGATTGGTCTCGTCACACCCACGTTATTAATGATGCCCATAATGGGCAAATGGACTCTGAAAATAGGCAAGCCCATACTGAAAGGCAATAAAAAACCGACTTACCAAAGGTTGTGGCTGTCCAAGACTGGACTGTGCCATCCACTGAATGGAAAGTCACACCTTAAATGACACTCCAGTAGTGTCAAAGGGCATAACCCTAATTAATTTAATATTAAACAACAAACTTCTTGTGACTGGTTGCTGAGACCAGAAACAGGAATGAACTGGAAGATCAAAAAGCAAATAAATAAATATGACCAATAATAAGATGAATCATAAAAATCTACAGAGTGTTCATATATGGAACTAAAGTGAATAGACGTAGCCTAATGGCTATTTTCCTGTCTAAAAAGGACTCTAAGGCATTAATTTTCTGTTTGGACGCAGGACTTAATTATATCAACTAGAATTGTCCATGTCTAAAACATATGCATAATATTCAGAGAGCCTTATAATAAACTCCTGTGGTCTAAAGAGAAAAAATAAATCAAATCAAAACAAAACAAAACAGGCTTAATTGTAGCTAAAAAAATGGTTTAACTACTAAGTAGCAAAAGTGAAGAGGGTCAAAAAGATCCCTCTAATAATTGTATCCAATTACTGTTACTACAAAGAACCTGTGTGGGGTACAGATGAATGAGCAATAGAAATGAAACACTTGCCGGTTACCAAAAAAACGTAACTATTTGAATAGGATATGTATCAAAAACCAACTTATTAACTTGTCGGCTAAGTGCTTGCTGGTATATGATCTTCTATCGCAAAAATGTTATAGAATTGCCATAGTCCGTCCCCAGGCAAAAAGCCATCAGAAAAATATATGATAATAATAATAATCCCAATAGACAACACATATAGGAGTGACAGGAGAAAAAGGAAAATTAAAGTGTTAGAATAAAATCGTGCTAATGTGCAGAACCATACTTAGAGCGTTGGTTACCTACACATGGTGATACAGTGCCCTATAAGTGAAGAAAAGTGGAAAAAGTGAAGGAAAAGATCCTTCAACCCGACGCGCGTTTCGGTGCTATAGTAGTGCACCTTCGTCAGGGGCTGAAAAATTTTAGATAGAGGGGACTTGTATGAGAGACTTGGAAAAGAAGTGACAGTTACTGAAAGAAAGTCTGAGAATTGCACACATTGTTACTTTCACACTGTCCAGCAAGGCTTCATTGCATCACACCAGATTTGTGGTTTCCCTAACTCTGTTTTTTCCTGTATTCTGCTTCCTTGTACACTGTTGAAACAGTAATGATCCAGTAATGCGCCCTCCCTACACTCAAAGCATGCCTTTATTGCATCATGGCTGATTTGTGGTTTTCCTAACCCCTTTACTCTTTTATGCTTCCTTCACTGTTGAAACAATAATGGTCCAGTACACCGACATTTTGTGTTTTTGTGTTGAGCATTCATTTTATTGTGGTCCTAAACATAAATGACAACATTTCAACCACTTTCCCGGTCTTTGCCAAGACATCTAATATCATGCCTTCTGCATAAAAATAGTCAAGTAGTTACAGGAACACTACAAGCACCATAACCACTACCACCAGTTCAAGTTGGCAAACTGTTTTAGAATAATTTGGCTTCCCACCTGTGGTTTGCCAAGTGCTGCCTCCCGCCTTCACTACGTGAGTCAGAGAGCCAGACGCTTTTGCCTATTCGCTTCCATTAGCTGTCCTGAGCTAAGCCTTGCAGCGCAGTTTTAGCTCATTGGATGAGAGCGTCAACTGCTTTCACTCAGCCAATGGGTCAAGATAGGGTTAAAAAAAATTCCCTAGTCATTGGCAAGTGAAAATTTTAGTTCTGGAAAGTAGAAAATCACCTCTTGTGAGGTGTTGTGGTAGAAGTTAATGTTTCAACTTCAAACACCGCACATACAAATATATTACTTGTGTGCTGGCACACGTAACTTAAGCAGTCCAGAACTGTGTTCCGGGCTTCCTAATGTCAATTCTGTATATATGTTATGTCTGTCATCAGCAATGTGGTGACAGACCTGCTCAGCTTCTACACTACAAGGCAGTGCCTGCAAAGCTTAATTTTGCCCTCCCTCTGTCCTTTTAATTTTTTATCCTATCCCACCTCCCCGCATTTTGTTTTCTAATTTTTTATTATTTATTTCTCTCCCCTGTCTTCTCTCTCCTTACCCCTCATTGGCTCAGAGCATGTGCATGTACTCTGAGACGGTCAAACTGTTCAATCACAGGCTTCTCATAGAGATTCGTGTGAGGACCCTGCTGACATCAGACGGAGGAGGGAGATTTTTTTTTTTTTTGTTTGCTTCTTTTAAATAGGGAAGGAGAGGCCTTTTAACTTAAAAAATAAATTTAAGAAGGTTTACAGTAACTCTGCACAAACTTAGCTTAGCTCAGTAAGAGAGCTTCTGGCTCTCTGGATGCGTTAGTAGAGGCGAGGAGGGGCACCCAGTGGACCTCAGGTAAGAAGTAAAACTTTTTTTTACATGTTGATTACTAACAATTGGTCTGCAATGGCCACTGCTGGGAGTGTTCCTTTTATTCATTGCTTCAATAAGGGTGTGAGTAAATACATTTAGGTAATCTTAGTAATAACTAACTAAGGTAAAAATTGTAGATTATGCTAATTTAGTGCACCTATAATCTTAATTTTAGTAATGACAGGACGCGACTATTGAGCATTACTCTCTTTATTGTAAAATCCAGCAGCACAGATCATAACAGAAACAACCAATCAGAAAAGAGTATCCAACTCTATAAAAGGCCCTGCCAGTCTGATCACTTCCTCTTTCTTTGTAGTGAATCATTATACACAGTCTAGAACAAAAAGTCCTGAAGAATAACACAACAGCAAATAACATCCAGAATTCGAAAAATAGATGACCGGAAACATAACATAAACAGATCCAAGCACGTGGAGAAGCCGATCACACTGAAAGGAAACAAAAACAAGTGAAAGACATCTGAAGTGACAAGATGGCCACAATAATAACTACATAATAAAGTCAATTGGCGTAAATCATTAATTTAAATCGATTTAACCATAAATGTATCTAACTAAGCTGTAGTCCTAATGCAAAAACTATATATAACCATAACTAACAGCTAATATATGACAATAGGAATAGTGCGAGAAATAAAGACCCAGGGTGGGAAAATATTAGGCTCCTGTCGTTACTAAAATTAAGATTATACGCACACTACGTTAGCATAATCTACAATTTTATCACATGACAGGAGGCTTCATGTTTTGCATTTTTAACGCTGAGAATTAAAGAGACACTGTAGTGGTTTGGTTGCTGTGACCCTTTTGCACTTAGTGCTGCAATGTAAAACATTGCTGTTCCAGAGACCTGCTATGTTTACATTGCAGCTCTAAGTCTGCCCTCTGTTGCTGTCTAACAGACAGCTACTAGAGGGCTTCCAGAATCCAAACTGACTTTTGGCCCGTTACCTAACGCTGGATGTCCTCATGGACCTTCAGCGTCAGATTTTCCCCGTAGGAAAGCATTGAATTATGGTTTTCCTATGGGGAGGTCTAATGTGCTTGCAGCCATTGCCACATGCGCATTAGGTCTCCCCCCCCCAGCTGATGTCTGCGGGGGAGAAGCGAGGGCGGAGCCTGACCTGAGGGACGCACCTGCCGAAAAAGGACTGCGACCCAGCCATGCCACAAACCGAGTGGGCACGAAACAGGATTCTAACCTGGCCATGGACAATAACCAACGAATTCACCTCGCCAAAGTCATAGTTGTGACCGGTTTGTGTGGCTTAACATATGAAATAAGAAGTTGTCTTGATGGTGTAGCGAAGAAGTAACCTCTATATACTTTAATAGAGTGTCAAAGAAAACACTTTGAAGGATAGTGTACAATAATAGGGATAATCTTAAATATCTTAAAGGTACAGTACCCATATTTTATCCTTTATTAATTCCACTGTTTAAGTTTTAAGTGTTATCCTTCTCAATTTACCTAAAGTGATTTTACACCACCTCATTTGAGCCATTATCACGAGTCACAAATCACCTTGTACACTATCCTTAAGAGTGTTTTCTTTGCCATTTTCTGTATAGGTTCCGGTGAATTCCTATCGTTTCCAGTGTGAGCAACTTAGTGTTAGTCAGAACTCCTGACTCTCATACTTTTAATAGAGTGTCCACAACGCAGAGTCGCGGATCCGTCTTAAAAAAATGGATAAAAAACGGAGTTAGAATCTGACTTACTGTCACATGTTCATCCTCACCTTGCGTCATTGATAGTGGTTGCCTTGCCAATAAACGCAGTAGTGCCGTTCAGCGGCCATGCGTCAATATATCTGACCCCTGCAGCATGTTGATGGAAGCCGGCTTCTGCGGATCAACACTAATTAATAACCCCACGACCGCCCATGGCATGGAAGACATCGACGTGCGCGTGACGTCAAGTAAAGGACGCACACGCACGTTACCTTTTAGTCTTAGGTGTGATACAGTTCTACGTTCTGGATCAGCTTGTAATCCTGACATTACGACAGGGCCTCAGATCCTGTAGAATTGTGTCAGCACATAACAACTTGCGAGAGAAAGCTAGAGGAGAATGATCACCGTATAGATCAATTTGCCCAGGCTTTCAGTACGCTGCTCACTAGAACTGCGCATCTTCAGCCTGAGGCCTCTCCAACTATGTCACCTCCGTCTAATGGACCTCCTCCTATAGTACATAAGGGATCTCCTTATCTCCTCCCCCGCATTTTGATGGTAATATTCAGGAATGCTGGGGATTCCTGAATCAAACTGATTACCACTTTGAAGCCTCACTGGGATCTTTTCCCTCAGACAGAGCTAAGATTGGTTACCTAATGAACCATCTAAAAGGTAAAGCCTTAGCTTGGCCCAGTCCATTATGGGAGAGTAGTAGGAGTAGTTAACATTTGAACCATTAGGCAGAGAGGATGACGCCTCCACTACCCTAATGCATATCAAACAAGGGATCCTGTCTATCTCAGATTACGCCATAGAATTTTGCACCTTGGCTTCTGAGGTAGACTGGACTAATAGTGGGTTAATCTCTACTTTTAAAAAAGTATTATCCGAGGCAATTCTAGATGAGATTGCTGACAAAGAACTACTTAAAAAAATTAAATTAGTTTATTACATGTTATGCTAATTGATAATAGACTCAGAACCAGAAATAAAACCAGACGTATGGCTATGCCATTAGCACCTCATTTCTCCAGACCTATTGTTCCTGACCTCTCTGTACAGTCCGAACCCGAACCTATGCAGTTGGTGGTCACTACACTGTTCGAGGCAGAAAGACAATATAGGAGAAAAGAGGGTCTATGCCTATACTGTGGTAAAAAAGGACATATGAGGAGTACCTGTTGTGATGGTAGTAATCTGCATCACCGTCTAGTATTCTCTTTTTCCCAATAGCAGAATAACAACAATAATCCACAGGGTAAAACAACGCTGGTATCGCCAAATAATCCACACATGATCCAAAGCTTAATGCTGGAACAAGACTGATTTACTGGAAGCAACAGACATTCAATTTATACAGTAACAGACTCCTCCTCTGGTCAAGGCTAGATAATTGAGTTTCAGCAACATCCTAAACTCAATTAGAGGACCAATATCTGTGACTGTCTTGTCATTGAGCCGCCTGTAATCTACACAGAAGCAGGTCGTACCGTCCCGTTTTGGTACTAAGACTACAGAGGAGGCCCAAGGACTGTCCGAATGCTCTATTGCCCCTAGTCGGAGCATTTAGTCGATTTCTTTCCCCATCTCGTCTCTAACAGCTTCGGAAATGCGGTAGGGAGGTTGCTTTAGGGGCTGACATTGAGGATAATGGGAGTAACATATCCAAATTGCATGAAAATCCGTTCGGTAGTTTTCGTGTCGCATTGTGTGGACATTTGACTGGCTCGCTGTGTGCTTGTATCCGAGTTAGAGTTCCATGAAATCGGTAGCAAGAGCCGGTCTCCATTTGTGCAAAATTACACGAAAACCAACACACTTATACGGTATCTGGTTACATGTGAATGCTCACCTCATTCGGTTGATTGAAACTCCCGAAAGCCAGTCTCCTACTGTAAGTGGAAATCGGTCAGACGGGACTTCCATGGAGACCGGGTGTTTGTGTGATTTCCATGCCGAAAATGGCTCCAGGCAATCCACGAGTAAGTCCCGCTGGCCGTGTTCGGGAGATTTAAGATGGTCGCCATCCTTTGTTCTCGCCACGTGTTCGTATGCTGAATGGCGGCCACCTAGAAGCACTCAATTACCTTGCGGTTTTCGTGGTTACTTGGTGTTCTAAGTTCTGATTGCTACCCAGGGTGGTCTCTGTTCGGTAGAACGAATAAATGTCCCAAACACAGAAATAAACAACGAATACTTTACAGTCACTTTACTAGCAGGGAGAGGAAATGACCGAATGGGTACAGGTAAACACAAGGAAGTCCTTTACACTTGTCCCATACGTCCGGAAAACTTCCGCACCTACGAACCTTAAGAGGACAGGTCTTAGGTGTAATGGATACGTCCTCTGGCAATAACCAAAGTAGGTTTCTCCTTGATGTTATGGTCTTGTGTAACACTAACAACTTTCATGCAAAGCCCTGATGGATTCAAGGGTGGCTGGGATTTTCATTGACATTCAGTTTGTTAGAAAACACTTGATACCTAGCAAGGAGAGATCATCACTCTGGCCGTAGAGGCTATTGATGGGAGACCTCTATCCTAACCCTTAATTACCCACGAAACCTTGCCCATTAACATTTCCATTGGAGCCTTACACAAGGAGGACTTAACATTCCAAATAATTTCTTCCCCTTGTCCCATCATTTTAGGATTTCATTGGCTTTGTAAGCACAATCCTCATATCGACTGGGCAAAGGGAGAAATATTGGAATGGGGCAAGGACTGTATTAGGAGATGTATGTTGTACATAACCAAAAAAGTGGGCATCGTTACATTACGTACCACTACACCTCAAACCCCCAAAGTTCCCATACAATATCAGGAGACTAAAGAAGTATTTAGTAAGAGTCAGTCCAATATCTTACCTCCTCACAGGTCATATGACTGCTCCATAAATCTCCCTTATCGCCACAGGAGAGTAAAATAATGGAGGAAAGACTCACTAAAAAAGGGCCATATACGTAAATCATCCTCACCTGCTGGTGCAGGGTTCTTTTTTGTAGAAAAGAAACATGGAAAGTTATGTCCATGCATCGACTACAGAGCATTAAATAAGATTACTGTTAAGAATGCCTATCCCATTCCCATCATTTCTGAATTGTTTGATAGACTCCAAGGTGCTAAGATCTTTACCAAACTTGATCTCAGTAGTGCATACAATTTGGTAAGAATCAAGGAAAATCATGAGTGGAAAACTGCATTTACCACCAGATGCGGGCACTATGAGTACCTTATGCCTTTTGGGCTATGCAATGCCCCGTCCGTATTCCAGGATTTTATTAATGATGTACTCAGGGATTATATCTATTCATTTGTCCTGGTTTATTTGGATGATATCTGTGGCGGAACCAGCCTCGCTACTGGGCATTGGAGAAGACTGATTGCCAGCCTCCTGCCATGTGACTATGGCCCCTGGGATGTATTTCCTGCTCTCCTGTACTGCTGAGGATTGCTACCAACTAGGTGGATTTGGCTATGGAGCTTGTGTAGTACCCTCTGTTGGTAGCAACAGTAATATGCACTACCTGAATAGCAAGACTGGTAATTTGCATATTCTGGTAGATTTGCATATCGCTAATTCTGCATGCAGGAGAGACATTTTGTGTTAATTATGATCTTTTCCACCCATTTATGAATATGTAATTATGTTATAATAAGTCACTGTATGTCGACTGCTAAGATTTGACTGTTTGTAATTTTGAGTTTTCACAGCAATGTTAATGTAATGACCATATGGGCTAGTCCCAAGTAAAATAAAGTTTTAGACAGTTCTACTTCACCCTCAATTTGGAGTCCTGTCTCTTATTGGGGGGAATCTGCTACAAGGGATTGCTATGCTCTGCATATTCCCTTGCTATAATCACTCCTAAGCTCTTGTAACATCTCGTTCCTGCTTCGCTCTGAAGGAAGAGAGGTTCAGCCTGCGGTGGTTGTGGTGTTGGCTAGAGTACTTGGAATCCTTGGAATTCTGGGGTGAATGAATTTTTTTTTCCTAGTTTGTTGCAAATTTGTAAGTGCTGTTTGCTGTTTTTTTTTTTTTTACCTTCTTTTGGATCAACAGCAAAAAACAAATGTGAGGAAGGCTGAACTTGATGGACGCAAGTCTCTCTTCAGCTATGAAACTATGTAACTATGTAATCTTGAAGACAGGGCAAGGAGAAATAACCTCCGCCTGAGGGGAGGTGCCGGAGTCGGTTCTGCCATCGGACCTACCGGCCTATGTGAGAGGCCTACTTCATGCTTACGCACCAGATATCCCTGCCGATATGTTATTGGTGGACAAAACACACAGAATTCCTTGACCAAGACATATCCCAGACTCCGTCCCCTAGGGGCCCACTATTACCACATTAAAGAACATATACTGCATGCCAGCCGCAACAAAGTGAAGCTGCCTGATGACTACCCTGGAGTTAAGATATTTGTGGACCTGTCCGCGGCCACACTGCGCAAGAAGAACAAATTTACACACGTGACTAACACACTGGGCTTACATGGAATACGATACAAAACTTCTTGTGGTAAGAGAGGGGAAGTGTATAGGCCTTGCTGACTCCAGAGGATGGTCTAGCCAAGCTACGCAAAAGGAGAATGCGGACATCGCAAACAGCGCAAAGCACCTCGCCGAAAGGCAGACTGCAGGTGGAGTGGAGCAAAGCACCCAAAGGACGCTAAACAACCCCAGAAGCAGACTACTACTCTCATATTTTGGTGCTTTACACAGAGACTTACATCAATACCGCTACCGTGAGTCAACTTTCCGCTGAAGGACAGGTTTTGTTACAATTCTTTTCACTTATTTATCTGTTGGAGGTTATGTGATATGTTATTCCTGGGCTGTGTTTGTGCTCATAAATATACACTATTATGCTCGGTCCCGGACTGAGCTGACCGAGACACCAAGAGTAACCCGACACCTGTAGTAATTATATTCCCCTAGGGGCTGTATAGCACTCTCATAGCGGCTGAGACACTCGAGCCAGCCATGTGAACATGTGGGGTACACTAATTTTACAAAATGTACCTAACCTCCCAAACTTACGCAACATGGGGTGAAACCGGAGGCGGCTGTATACCCTGCCACCTGCTGCCATGTGATGGGTATCATGCAACATGGATTTGCTCTGCTGGGCTTTACGCCCCCGAGCCGGGCGAAGGCACATACTGAAAGGATATAGATGGGACCTGTTGCCGTGTAGCTCAGGCACTCAGACCGCCAAGTTTTAAAGGCAGTGCTCAAGTACAGTCAGCATCGCACAAGCTGCTGGGGTGGCAGGGAGCTGGAGATGTCAGTGGGCAGAGGCAGGCAGAGACTGACGCTCCTATATATCTAAACGCCACTCTACATTTTACCAACAAGTATTTAGCACACACCCCTCATATTACTTCATGGGAAATGTCCAGTGTTACCGCAAGCAAAATGAGCTCATTAGCTACCTCTAAGGAACGTGCATGTTCTTTACCCCCATGGTGCGGTACTTCTGTACCTCCCCTTAAGTGACATACCATGTACATACTTTATTTTCCTCTGTTATGTTTCCTAGTTTTATCCCTTAACCGTCTACACTACCTCTAAACAACCAGAAGTTCCATACCATACAATGCTCAGAAAAAACAATAGGTATCAACACTCCTCTGTGGACAGGCAGAAGAATGAATTACACAGATGTCCCTACAATTACGAACATACCCCGATTTGAGAATAACATGGGTTCCCAAAGGGGTAAAGCTACTATTCTCTAGTGATGTACCGAACGGTTCGCCGGCGAACATAGCATGTTCGCCACGGCCGGCGAACATATGCGCGGTTCGACCCGCCCTCTATTCGTCATCATTGAGTAAACTTTGACCCTGTACCTCACAGTCAGCAGACACATTCCAGCCAATTAGCAGCACACCCTCCCTAGCAGACCCTCCCACCTCCTGGAAGGCATCCATTTTAGATTAATTCTCAAGCTGCATGCTTAGTAAGAGGAGGGAAAGTGTAGCTGCTGTTCATTAGATAGGGAAAAGCATAGCTAGGTTAGGGTTAGGGTATGCTTTTTTTTTATTTTTTTTTATATGTAATGTAATTGCACTTAGTTGTCTGCCACTGCTGCCAGCTTCTGTGTCAGGCTCACAGTGCATACTGTGCCCATTTCCCCAGTCAGTGCCACCAATTACATCTGGTGTCACAATAGCTTGGATTTAAAAACAAAAAACTTTTTTTCACTGTTATAGATTGAATAGCAGTCAGTGTCCTTAAAGCGGGTGTGTTACGCTAACAGTGGATACGGTGACCAGTGCCACCACTTAGATCTGGTGACACAAAGCTTAGATTTAAAAACAAAAAACTTTTTTCACTGTTATAGATTGAATAGCAGTAAGTTATCTTCAAGCAGGTGTGTTACGCTAACAGTGGATACGGTGACCAGTGCCACCACTTAGATCTGGTGACACAAAGCTTGGATTTAAAAACAAAAAACTTTTTTCACTGTTATAGATTGAATAGCAGTCAGTGTCCTTAAAGCGGGTGTGTTACGCTAACAGTGGATACGGTGACCAGTGCCACCACTTAGATCTGGTGACACACAGCTTGGATTTAAAAAAACAAAACACTTTTTTCACTGTTATAGATTGAATAGCAGTCAGTGTCCTTAAAGCGGGTGTGTTACGCTAACAGTGGATACGGTGACCAGTGCCACCACTTAGATCTGGTGACACAAAGCTTTGATTTAAAAAAAAAAACACTTTTTTCACTGTTATAGATTGAATAGCAGTCAGTTGTCTGCCACCAGCTTCTGTGTCAGGCTCACAGTGCATACTGCCCACAGTCAGTGCCACCATTAGATCTGGTGACACAATAGCTTGGATTTAAAAACAAAAAACTTTTTTCACTGTTATAGATTGAATAGCAGTTAGTTATCTTCAAGCGGGTGTCAGGCCTACAGCCTGTGCTCTGCACAACTGTGCCAGTGCACATTGCCACTCATATCTGGTCTCACAGTAGCTTGCACGCATAGTACCACTAATCCCAACAAAAATGACAGGCAGAGGCAGGCCACCCCGCAGGGGCCATCGTGGTCGTGGTGCTGTGATTCCCTTTGGCCCTAGAATAATGCCCAGTTTTCAGAGGCCACGTACCCTGAACTTGAAAAGTTCTGAGGACATAGTTGACTGGCTAACACAGGACACCCAATCTTCTACAGCCTCCGCTCAGAACCTTGACGCACCATCCTCCTCCAGCTTAGCTTCAGGCACCTCTCAAGATACCACTCACCCGCCTGCCGCCACCACCAAAACTAGCACCACAGCCGCTTCAGTTGGTATGTCAGAGGAGTTATTCACACATCCGTTTGAAGAAATGAGTGATGCGCAACCATTATTGCCAGAGGATGTAGATAACAGGGATATGTCTCAGGCAGGCAGCATTACACACATGGACGTACGGTGTGATGATGATGATGATGTTGTACCCGCTGCTGCTTCCTTTGCTGAGTTGTCAGATACAAGTGAAGCGGTTGATGATGACGATGCGTCCATGGATGTCACGTGGGTGCCCGCTCGTCAAGAAGAAGAACAGGGTGAAAGTTCAGATGGGGAGACAGGGAGGAGGAGGAGACGAGTTGGAAGCAGGGGGAGGTCGTCGCAAGGAGCTAGTGGCACAGTCAGACAGCATGCATCGACACCCGGGGTCAGCCCGACAGCACGCCAATCAACGCATGCTGTGTCCACCACCAGAATGCCGTCATTGCAGAGCTCAGCAGTGTGGAATTTTTTTTGTGTGTCTGCCTCTGACAACAGCGATGCCATTTGCAACCTGTGCCAAAAGAAACTGAGTCGTGGGAAGTCCAACACCCACCTAGGTACAACTGCTTTGCGTAGGCACATGATCGCACATCACAAACGCCTATGGGATCAACACATGAGTACAAGCAGCACACAAACTCAAAGCCACCATCCTCCTCCTGGTCAGCATCTTCAGCCACGTCAACCACTGCTGTCCTCCTTGCCCCCTCTCAACCATCCGCCACTCCGTCTCTCGCCTTGAGCAGTTCCTGCTCATCTGCCCACAGTCAGGTGTCTGTCAAAGACATGTTTGAGAGTAAGAAGCCAATGTCAGAAAGTCACCCCCTTGCCCAGCGTCTGACTGCTGGCTTGTCGAACTATTAGCCCGCCAGCTTTTACCATACAAGCTGGTGGAGTCTGAGGCGTTCAAAAATTTGTAGCTATTGGGACACCGCAGTGGAAGGTACCCGGCCGAAATTACTTTTCGCAAAAGGCAATCCCCAACCTGTACTCAATTGTGCAAAAGGAAGTAATGGCATCTCTGGCACACAGTGTTGGGGCAAGGGTCCATCTGACCACTGATACCTGGTCTGCAAAGCATGGTCAGGGCAGGTATATCACCTACACTGCGCATTGGGTAAACCTGCTCTGCAGAGGAGTTGGTGACACCGCCACGACTTGCAGGCAGTCCTGCTGCCACCTCCTCTACTCCTCCTACTCCATCCTCTTCCTTAACCTCCTCGGCTGAGTCCTCTTCTGCTGCTGCGTCTTGCTCCACATCAACGGCACACCCCCAGCTCCCCAGGTACTATTCCACATCCCGGATACGGCAGTGTCACGCCGTCTTGGGTTTGACTTGCTTGAAAGCAGAGAGTCACACCGGACAAGCACTCCTGTCCGCCCTGAACGCACAGGTGGAAAAGTGGCTGACTCCGCAGCGACTGGATATCGGCAAAGTGGTTTGTGACAACGGAACAAATTTGTTAGCGGCATTGAAGTTGGGCAAGTTGTCACATGTGCCGTGCATGGCACATGTGTGTAATCTGATCGTACAACGCTTTGTGCATAAGTACATAGGCTTACAGGACGTCCTGAAGCAGGCCAGGAAGGTGTGTGGCCATTTCAGGCGTTCCTACACGGCCATGGCTCACTTTGCCGATATCCAGCGGCGAAACAACATGCCAGTGAGGCGTTTGATTTGCGACAGCCCGACACGTTGGAATTCAACACTCCTAATGTTCGACCGCCTGCTCCAACAAGAAAAAGCCGTTAATGAATATTTGTATGACCGGGGTGCTAGGACAGCCTCTGGGGAGCTGGGAATTTTTTTGCCACGTTACTGGACGCTCATGCGCAATGCCTGTAGGCTCATGCGTCCTTTTGAGGAGGTGACAAATTTAGTCAGTCGCACCGAAGGCACCATCAGCGACATCATACCATTTGTTTTCTTCCTGGAGCGTGCCCTGCGAAGAGTGCTGGATCAGGCCGTAGATGAGCGTGAAGAGGAAGAGGAAGAGTTGTGGTCACCATCACCTCCAGAAACAGCCTTATCAGCATCGCTTGCTGGACCTGCGGCAACGCTGGAAGAGGATTGTGAGGAAGAGGAGTCAGAGGAGGAATGTGGCTTTGAGGAGGAGGAGAAAGACCAACCACAACAGGCATCCCAGGGTGCTCGTTGTCACCTATCTGGTACCCGTGGTGTTGTACGTGGCTGGGGGGAAGAAAATACCTTCATTGACATCAGTGAGGAGGAGGAACGGGAAATGAGTAGCTCGGCATCCAACCTTGTGCAAATGGGGTCTTTCATGCTGTCGTGCCTGTTGAGGGACCCTCGTATAAAAAGGCTGAAGGAGAACGACCTGTACTGGGTGTCCACGCTACTAGACCCCGGTATAAGCAGAAAGTGGTGGAAATGTTACCGAATTACAACAAGTATGAAAGGATGCAGCATTTGCAAAATAAATTGAAAAGTATGCTTTACACAGCGTATAAGGGTGATGTCACAGCACAACGGGAATCTAACAGGGGGAGAGGTGGAAGTCATCCTCCTCCTCCCATGACCACGCCGGCAAGGACAGGACGCTTTAGAGACGTGTTGTTGATGGAGGACATGCGGACCTTTTTAAGTCCTACGCATCGCCACAGCCCCTTGGGATCCACCCTCAGAGAGCGACTCGACCGACAGGTAGCAGACTACCTCGCCTTAACTGCAGATATCGACACTCTGAGGAGCGATGAACCCCTTGACTACTGGGTGTGCAGGCTTGACCTGTGGCCTGAGCTATCCCAATTTGCGATAGAACTTCTGGCCTGCCCGCTTCAAGTGTCCTGTCAGAAAGGACCTTCAGTGCAGCAGGAGGTATTGTCACTGAGAAGAGAAGTCGCCTAGGTCAAAAAAGTCTAGATTACCTCACCTTTATTAAGATGAATGAGGATGGATCCCGAAGGGACTGATACTAGGCTGATACATTAGATTAAAAAAGGCCCTGATGAGGATAAGAGCTGCCTTGGGCTTAAATGGTCCTGCGCGCTGCTGTATTTTAGCTCTGAATGCGGTTGACTTCGTGACTTATCCGCCACCAACTAGAGGTTCAAGCGCATACATGTTTTTAGGGGCACTTTCTGCCTGTGAAACAAACATCAATTATAGATTGAATAGCAGTTAGTTATCTTCAAGCAGGTGTGTCAGCCCTACAGCGTGTACTCTGCCAGTACGCTGCCACCTCCTCTACTCCTCCTACTCCATTCTCTTCCATAACCTCCTCGGCTGAGTCTTCTTCTGCTGCTGCGTCTTGCTCCACATCAACGGATAGGGGACGTAACAGTGATTAAACTGATAAAAATAGTACTAAACACACCACTCCTATCTGGTGGCACATTAGATTACACGCAGCTTTTCCATGTACCAGGTAAGACCGTTGCAGCGGTAAGAGGTTCAGGCTCTTCTTCCTGGAGGATGCGGCTGCAAGCCTGATGATGACAGTGGCATTGATTTTTAACAGGGAGATGGAAGAAGAAGGAAACTGGTCGGTCCTCTTACTGCAAATTTGGGGCACTCTTGGCGGTCAAGCTAATGTGACACCAGATAAGAGAATATTCATCAAGCTATATTTTATCAGTTTAATACCTTCCGCGTCTCCTATCAGTGGACGTGTACACGGCATTGATTTTTATCTAAGCCGTAAACTTTTGCATAGTGAAGTAGATTCACTGCCATTGAAAAGGAGTGCATGGCGGTGGTGTGGGCCCTCAAAAAGCTGCAACCTACTTGTATGGACAACCGTTTACCTTACTCAAAGATCACAACAAATTTGGGGCACTGCGCGTGCAATCTAATGTACCACCAGATAGGAGTGGTGTGTTTAGTACTATTTTTATCAGTTTAATACCTCTTCTTCCATCTCCCTGTTACAAAAATCACCAAGCCTCTTCTTCCATCTCCCTGTTACAAAAATCAATGCCGTGTACACGTCCACTGATAGGAGACGCGGAAGGTATTAAACTGATAAAAATAGTACTAAACACACCACTCCTATCTGGTGGTACATTAGATTGCACGCGCAGTGCCCCAAATTTGTTGTGATCTGTGAGTAAGGTAAACGGTTGTCCATACATGTAGGTTGCAGCTTTTTGAGGGCCCACACCACCGCCATGCACTCCTTTTCAATGGCAGTGAATCTACTTCGCTATGCAAAAGTTTACGGCTTAGATAAAAATCAATGCCGTGTACACGTCCACTGATAGGAGACGCGGAAGGTATTAAACTGATAAAAATAGTACTAAACACACCACTCCTATCTGGTGTCACATTAGCTTGACCGCGCAGTGCCCCAAATTTGCAGTAAGAGGACCGACCAAGCCTCTTCTTCCATCTCCCTGTTACAAAAATCAATGCCGTGTACACGTCCACTGATAGGAGACGCGGAAGGTATTAAACTGAACAGTCTCTATTCTGCTCTTGCATTTCTATTTCTTCATAGAAAACGAAAAATTCTGAGAAGACGTTGGCAGGGCTATTCACTTGTGTGATCTGTCATGAATTGTCATTTGAATGTTATTTTGAACTGTGGGGCACAAGAACTTGAATCTGACAAAATGGCTGCCATATACACGTCCACTGATAGGAGACGCGGAAGGTATTAAACTGATCAGAACAATACTAAACACACCACTCCTTTTTTTTTTTGGTGAGGCTTTACAGGACAGAGTGCTTCTCCACGGGACATGTTAACTCAGGGCAGCTGGCTCATCAAGGAACCACAGCAGCTTTCCATGTACAGGTAAGACACGTGCAGCCGGTAAGGGTTCAGGCTCTTCTTCCTGGAGGATACGCTGCAAGCCTGTTGAGCGAGGTGACCTTGCTCGGGTCCCAGGTGTACGGTTCCTAAAATGGCTGCCATATACACGTCCACTGATAGGAGACGCGGAAGGTATTAAACTGATCAGAACAATACTAAACACACCACAAATAAGGTTTCTCTCCTGTATGGCTCCTCAAATGATGCTTAAGATTAGAAGCGGCTGAAAAGCATTTCTCACACTCCGAACAAAAATATATTTTTTTAACATTCTCTCCACTTTGAACGAAATGACGTTTGGGAAGAGATTAACATAATTAAACACAGGCAGTAAAAATACAGTTTTTAGCCATACCCTGTAACTTTAAAACTACACATCCCATCTTCATAATTACATATTTGGAATCAGCACACTTAAAACATAAACATAACCAAAAATCAGCCAAATCCATCCAGGGGTTAAAAAGTTAGCTGGAGGTCCCTTTATGACCGACCGCAAGCACATTTTCCTGCCCAAAACAGTTCCATAGATTTGGGCTGTGAGGTCGGTCTATTTCAGGCTGAAAAAACGACTAAGTCCCATCGCCGAATGGGACTTAGTCTCTGCAGCTGTAAAACCAGTAGGGGAGAAGGTAGAGCTCAGCGGTGTTCGCGGAAATGTGTAGCCGATTTTAGTTCCATGAATTTGGCTACACATACCGCTGATCTCGTCGAATGATCAAAGATGGCCGCCGCCACGTGTTCGGCAAACGAACAAAGACCTCCCAGCATTGTCAATTAAGCTGCGGTTAACCGCAGCTTCTGGGAGGTAAATTGCCTGCACACTTCCACTTCTGGGTGGTCTGCCTGTGTGGTACTTGGTTCAGTAAGCCCCATTTACTGAACCAAGTGGGAATTAACCAGGCAGGCACAAAGGGTTTGCACCAGGTCTGGGGACACAGGGGACACCGTCTTAAAGGGGCAGTGTCCCCAACAAGTCTGGGGACACGGCCTTAAAGGGGCAGTGTCCCAATCTTCCTGATGTCCCAAAAAAGGTGTTTAAAGGGCCAGCACCAGTCACATAAAGAGTCCATAAGCCCCAATATGCCCACCGACAGTCTTAAAGGGCCATACACACCAAATAAAAGTGCATACATTTTCACAATCTCCCAGGGGCCATAGTCATGCGGGAGGAGGCTGGCAAATAGGCTTCTCCACAACCCAGGGAAGCAGGGCAATTTGCCATTTAAAGGGCCGTTACAAATAGCAGTTTGTAACAAGGTGTCAATCCATATCTGCCAAGTGACCCGATGTAGGGGACCAGTCCCTATTCTGCTCTGTGTCAGTGTGTACCAGGGAACCTTAGGACAGGTGTCAATCCATATCTGCCAAGTGACCCGATGTAGGGGGAACAGTCCCTATTCTGCTCTGTGTCAGTGTGTATCATGGTCTCTGAGGACAGGTGTCAATCCACATCTGCCAAGTGACCCTATGTAGGGGGACCAGTCTCTATTCTGCTCTGTGTCCGTGTGCATCAGGGGCTCTGAGTACAGGTGTCAATCCATATGTCAAAGTGTCAATATGTCATATGTCAGGTGTCAATACATATTCATTGTGATTTAGGAATGTTAGGTGATTTCTGCCCTTTATGGATTAAAACCAGACTCTGTATCAACTGTGTAATTTTCCATGGGAGTTTTGCCATGGATCCCCCTCCGGCATGCCACAGTCCAGGTGTTAGTCCCCTTGAAACAACTTTTCCATCCCTATTGTGGCCAGAAAGAGTCCCTGTGTGTTTTAAAATTCGCCTGCCCATTGAAGTCAATGGCGTTTCGGGCGGTTCGCCGGTTCGCGAACATTTGCGGAAGTTCGCGTTCGCCGTTCGCGAACCGAAAATTTCGGGTTCGCGACATCACTACTATTCTCTAAAAAAATATTTATGAAAATACAAACCATTAATACACACGGCTTGAACTCGCCACGTAAAAGACGGGTTCTTATAGAGGAAGCAAAACATCACAAAATAGATATCCTATGTATCCAAGAAACCCATTTTGTGCATAACAAATTACCCAAGCTAGACGAGTGGGAATACCCAACACAATACCATACAACCCACACATCTAAATCTAGAGGTGTCTCAATTCTAATACACAAGTCACTTACGTTTGAACTATTACACATTTAAAAAGACCATCAGGGACGTTTTATAATCCTACACCAGGCATAGGCAACCTTCGGCACTACAGATGTTTTGGACTACACCTCCCATGATGCTTTGCCAGCATTATGGGTGTAAGAGCATTATGGGGGATGTAGTTCACAACATCTGGAGTGCCGAAGGTTGCCTATCCCTGTCCTACACTGTAAAATCAACAAAACTATATTCACACTTGTGGGCATATACGGACTTAATACAAATTAACGGAACTTCTTACACAAAGTCCTCGCGAAAATGTCCAAGTGGAATCTGAAATAATATGTGGTGACATGAACCACACCCATCACTCTCGCACAGATACCATAATCCCAGAAACCTTGTCAAGACATCTTAACGTTAAATCACAATGCAAAGTTCTCACAAAACTAATATTTTACCCACGGGCTCTATGATGCTTGGCGCACCCTGCACCCCAACGACTGCAACTAAACTTACTACTCAACTGTTCATAAAATGTACTCCAGAATAGATATCATTTTAGTCGCAAATCACTTACTGCCACATAGGTAACCTAGTATAACCTGACCATGCCCCAGTGACTCTGACACTGAAAAAATAATTCCAACACAGCGGCAGAGCACCGTGGCACTTTAATGATTCCTTAATACATAACACGGACTGTAAACAAAAATGAACTAACATCATACTTTAAAGTAAACGCCTGATATAACCCCAACATCCATATGGCAAGCACATAAAATAGTTATCAGAGGCCTAGTAATCAGTCATGCCTCTTATCTCAAATGCAAATCTCAATTGGAATATCTCACACTACTCCAAACCCTCAGGGACTCCATGACCGCACAACTAATACAACCCTCTGACCAACAACCACACCTAATAGAACAAACCACCGCACGCCTCAGCGAAATCCTCTTCAATAAGACTAAATACATGCTACAAAAACTAAACTTAAAAACATACACACAAGGTAACAGGGCAGGTAAAGCATTAGCAACTCAACTACGGCAAAAACAATCCCAATCAAAGAACCCTACCTTCAGACAAACACGGGCACTAAACTACTACCCCAGGATATAAACAATACCCTGTCTACTACAACACATTATACAACCTGAAAGATGATCAAAAGACTTACCAACCCACTGATTGTGACATACATAAATTCTTAACCCAAGTGACACTCCCCTCACTAACATCACCGCAACAAGAGACACTGAAGGTTCTTTACGAACCATAAAAAGGGGTTACCATCAGGGAAATCCCCTGGCCTGGGGAGCATGGGGGAGGGGCACGTTTATACCTGTCTCTAGATGCTGAAAAACCGCATGCGCCACAACCACATTAACGCTCCAAATATGGGATTCACATCTTAAGTCATATAACTTAATTGACCACATTTCACCAGCATTACCCATGAAAGCATTTCTTGCACTCATACCTGACTACCATTACAAAATATGGGCAACACACGGGCTTGCATCTCTTTCACAAATCATGCCAGAGGGGAAAATCGAAGGTTTCCAACACCTTCAAATGGAGTACAATCTACCAGAGGCAGCAAAATTCTCACACATGCAAATAACTTCCTGGTTAAAAAAAAATGTGGTAACAAAAATGTACGTCATGTAAATGGACCTCAGCTGACGGAGGTGGAAAAATTGTGCTTAACGCAAACACCCCCCAAGAAACTGATATCAACACTTTACAACAGTGCCTATGTTCATGCCAATGTTGCGGTGACACGTTCCCACATGCAAGCAAGGGAAAGTGACCTAAACCAGAAATTAGACAACAAATAGTGGTCACAGATCTTCTCGGCCCGCAAGGGACTCACGCTCTGCACATGACATGCAGAACTGACTAGGAAGCTTCTATATTTTTGGTATTTGGTACCTACAAGGATAAAAAGGTTCGACCCATGCAAACCAAATTCCCCCCCTCTGTCCCACCCCCAGTTATGTGTTATCTTCTATCTGTCAATGTTATGTAAAACAATGCACAATATATGCAAAATGCAATGTTCCACACTGGACAGTATAAGTTCAAGATATGTCTATGTCACTAATGTAAATGCAATGAACACTGTTCCTCTGTTGTTAACTGTGCATTTGAAAACTGTGAATACATTAAAAAAAAAAAAGCTTTTTATAGGTAAAAAAAGAAAGTCCAACTCCTATAAGAAGTGTCCTATATACCTTTCACCTCCCTTTCATCTCCCTCCAAGAATGCAACAGCACAGACCTTTCATAAAGGACAGTTTTAATTTTATTTACACATTTAGGAGTGTCAGTGATTGATAACATTGTAACAATCTGTTCTGTAAGACTAGAATGGAAACTTACTAGCAGCATGAGGTCTTTATATGTGATGATGGCAATGTGTAACGGCTCAACCATAAAGGGTTATTAATGAGCTGGACAGATTTATCATCTGGGGACATTAATTGTGCGTGGGTATAATGATTTTGTTTCCTGAAAATATATAATTACTTTTTTTTTTTCAAGTTTTTTGCATTTTTACAATTACTTTTATATTTAAAATGTTTTTTTTTTTTTATATATACTTTTTTTTTTTTTTTTTTTACAGAGACTGACTCAAAATGGCTGTTAGTACCGCTTATCTTGAAAACCTAACTGGCACTACTAGCGTTCTCTCAACAAGCGTTTCAGGTGCCTCAGTCGTTAAGAATGCTGCCCTTGCTGCTCCGTCTACTCAGATATCTCAAAACTTTAGAAAACTGCATCCAAAGGCCCTAAGCGTAAGTTACGTAACAGAGACTTTAAAGAGTTAAACAAGATCAAATATGTATTCATGACAGGAGTCTGAGCTTTACTGGTGACATACTTGTACATAAAGGAGCAGTATCATCCCAGCACACATGCATGGCATGTTCACAAGCTGCCTGGCAGGGTAGCCAATCAGAACTGCCCCTAAGCTGAGCGCTGTTGAGGAGCTAACATATGGGCTGAAATGAGTGTCACTCATCCCAAGTGCATATTTAGGAAAACACTCCAAGCACCATAATCACTACAGCCAACTGTAGTGATTAAAGTTCCAGGAGTATAGTTGCACTCTCCCAGTGCAGTTTGCCAAATCATTTTAGAATCTCCTGGTTGCATCCAGTCTTTTCCTGTAAGAAAAACTAGATATATATAAAGCTAAAGCACAGCTGATCCAAGACCACGCTCATTTGCTGAGAGCGCTCAGCTGCTCTCAGCCAGTGAGCTCCTCAGTCCTGCTTACCTCTGGGGAGCTAACTAGATTCTCCTAAAGGGTAATGCTGGAGGCAGGGGCTGCAGCCGTGGGCACCCAGATAAGTTGTCAAACTGTAATAAGCTTAGTTGCCAAATTACACTAGGATGGCACTAGGGTACTTCTGGCACCATAACTGCTGCAGCAGGTTGTAGTGGTTATGGTTTTTGTATTGTTCTTTTAAACATATGTTTGTGTTCTACTTTGCTCCAATCCTTCTGACACACTGGGGGATATTTATCAAGGTGTTCTGAAAAGTGATGGTTTTCATCATAGTAAATTCCGCAGACCGCTATAAGACCACAAATGTATAGTAGAAATAATAGCAGAAAAATTCCATACTTTTTCTGTCAGGAAAAGTGGTGGAAATATTAAAAAATCAGTTGTGTTGGCACATATTTAAAAAATTACGTTGAGGGTGCAGAAATAGCAACAAATTAAATAATATGACAGATTTAATAAATTGTGCCAAAAATTAACTGACAATCAGTAGAAAAATTATCCTCCATTTTGACAGAGCTGTCCTGTCATGTGGTCTGGTGGAAGATTTACATGTCATTTGTTACACAATACAGTCATGTCCAATTTAAATGCTTGTTAGTAATGAATTGATCTTCATTTGACTATTATGCAAAATGTTTCATCTTACACTGTTTCTATCACATCTTTTTACAGACGTTGTTGATACTTACAGGACTAATGCAGATAAGTTTAGGAGCGATGATGATGAAAGCGGAGAATGGATTTCCATCACTAGCTGTGCGCAGTGGAGCATATATATGGGGGGGACTGATGGTAAGACTATATTCTTCATCCATGTGTATGTATATCCATATCCAGGGTAATAAAAAAAAAAAAAAATGTTTTCACTATATTAATTACAGATCGGTTAGTAAAATGTTTTTGTTTGTTTTTTTCAGTTCTTCCGACATTCAGTCATACAGCTGTTTTTTTTTTCTGTTGAATTTCTGTTAAATTTGTGTTCATTCTAGAGGCAGGTTGTGTTAGCAGTCTAGCCCTTTTTAATTTTGTTTACCTACAGCGGTGGGCTCTGTGGGTTTATCTTGATGACTCCCAGTGTTCCTGATCGGTTGTTGGGACATGTTTTGGTGTTACAGGGACTCATGCTGTGTGCCTGCATTTTACAGGAAGTCCTCTCTTGTCTTTCCTCCCACTAGAGTTTCTAGGTTCCATGAATGAGAGGCGCATCTGAGTGCTGGAAAGGGCTATTCGAAGTGGAATACACATGGATTGTGTTTCATTCCACTACAATTGCAATACGCATATAGCATGCACAATGCAGTCATTGGCACTTTGTGCCAAAATCCAATTTAAATCCCTGAGCAATGACAGCTGCCAGGTTGGGTCTAAATCTGCATGTTCCAGCTCCTTAGGCACTCTCTATTTGTATCAATCTATCTATCTATCTATCTATCTATCTATCTATCTATATGTATCTATATCTATATTTATCTATCTCTATCTGTGTATCTCTCTCGCTCGCTCTCTCTGAATTAACTCTCTGACTAACTCTCCCTTCAGGGCCGGATTAACATAGGGGCTGATGGAGCTGCAGCTCCAGGCCCAGGCCCAGGCCCATGGAATAGGCCCATTTAAAAAAAAAAATTTTTTTTTTTTTTTTTTTTACACATTACTCTTAGGTTTGCCACCTGACTGGTATTTTAATGGCACAGACGGTATTTGAGGCTGCCTGGCCCTGCCAGTATTGCAGTAATACCAGCAATACAAATGCAGGTAATTTTCTCAGAATAAATGGAAATTACTCTGCAATACCAGCACCGGCCAGTAGGGGTCACTGTGTATGGAGAGAGGCAGGGATAGGAAGTTACAGAATATCCCTCCCTGCCTCTCTCTACTCACTGATCCGTGGGGGAGCAGCTACACAGCACAGAGAGTCCAGACAGCAGCTCCCAGCCGGCAGACACAGCCTACAGCTCAGGGAAGTGAGGGATGGGGTAAAGGCTGCAGGGAGACATGGGGACACTGGGAGACACTAGGGGACACTGGGTAAACTGGGAACACTGAGACACTTGGGGACACTGAGAAACGTGGGGACACTGGAAGATCAGGGGACACTGGAGGCATGGTGACACAGACACTAGGGGACGCTGTGAAACACTAGGCACTCGGGGACACTGGGAGACATGGGGACACTGAGACACTGTGTCCCTAGCGTCTGTGTCCTCATGTTTCCCAATGTCCCCAGGTCTCTCAGTGTCTCCATATCTCCCAGCCAATGTCCCTAGTGTCTCAGTGTCCGCATGTCTCCCAGTGTCCCTATGTCTCAGTGTCTCCCAGTGTCCCCTCGTGTCCCAATGTCTCACAGTGTTCCCATGTCTCTTAACTATCCCCTAGTGTCCAAGTGACACTGGGCAACATGGGGACACAAGGGGACACTGGGAGACATGGGGCACTGAGACATTGTGATACATAAGGACACTGTGATACATAGAAGACACTAAGAAATGGGGACATGAGGGGACACTGGGACACATGGGGCACTGAAACACTGTGATACACGGGGACACAGACACTAGGGGATACTGGGAGACTAGGGGACACTAAGACACTGGGAGACAGGGAGACACTGGGAACAATCCATCTTTTATTCAGCAGAATAAATGTAAGTAGTTTTTTGTTGATTTTACAGAATGTTCTCTTAGGTCACTCCTTGTGATTTACACGCATACATAATTAGTTATGCAAAATAGTAAGGCCGGTATTTTTTTTTCCAAGAAAGGTGGCAACCCTAACTATCCTTCACATACTCTTGCTTAAGCATGGAAACTTTAGAGGGATGTATGGGAACAAAACTTGTGTGGACTGGCTGACAATGAAATTAGTTAAGGTAAAGCTGACTTTGTGCACAAGGCAAATGCTCTTGCTGCTTCAGACTCTCTAACACTGGGGCATGTTCCCTTTCTTCTACACACACTATATACAGCTTTCCTCTGACCCAGACTATATACCAGGAGCATTTGTCTGCTAGTAAGGAGGTTAGGAGAGGAATGGACCAGCGAGTTCTAGGGGACTGTCCTTAGAAAGCGTGGAGCGAACTCATCATTAGACGCAATTATTCCAAGCTCGGGGTGCTGTCTGCATAGTATGCCCAGTTGGCCAGCCTGCATGATTGGCAGGAAGCCTGAAATGCATTCATGCCAGGCTGGCCTTCCAATTCTTTAGGCAGACACGCCCAGGGACGTTTTAGCCGCGAGGCAAACAAGGCATTTGTCTTGGGCGGCATTTTCCAGGGGGCGGCAAAAAAAGCCGCCCCCCAAATGCCCAGGGCTGACATGCTGGGCTGTGTGGGCGGCGCTGCTGGGCGGCTGGCGAGGGAGCTCTTCCTCTGAGCTGTCTGCTCACCTCCCTCACGCGCCGCAGAGTAAGGCTGGGAACCGGAATATGACATCATATTCCGGCTCCCAGCCTCACTCTGCGGCGCGCGAGGGAGCTGAGCAGACAGCTCAGAGGAAGAGCTCCCTCGCCAGCCGCCAGCCCATCAGCCATCGCCGGCCCAGCAGCCACTGGACCCCCTGCACCCCCAGCATTCCCAAAGGTAAGGAGGCTGGGGGGGTTAAATAAATAAATATGTTAATGTGAGTGAGTGTGTGTATATGTCTGTTAGTGTGTCTCTGTTAGTGAGTGTGTGTCTCTGTTAGTGAGTGTGTCTGATAGTGTGTGTGTGTGTGTGTGTCTGTTAGTGAGTGAGTGTGTGTGTCTGTGAGTGTGTTTCTTTTAGCTAGTGTATGCATATCTGTCAGTGAATGTGCGTGTGTGTGTGTGTGTGTGTATTTAGAAGGCGGGGCGGGGGGAAGGGTTGGGTGCGGGGGTCGGGGGGGGGGTGGGAGGGGAGCGCCTGAGTTTTGTCCTGCCTAGGGCAGCACAAAACCAGGATACACCACTGGACACGCCCCCTTTTTAAGGCAAGTTCGCCTCTTTCAGCAGTTCTGATTACATGATTTGCATCAGTGGCCCACCCTTTTACCCCGTCCATTGACTGCCTGCTTCACTAGACATTACTGTTAGGGGTATGGATTTACTTGAAAGATAAAAGCATAAATTAGAGAGAGATTAGCATAGAGTGTGTGTTTTCTCATAGCTGCATCCTATGAGTTTCCCTTCAGCACCACTTCTGCCAGATACATGACGATTGGTAGGTATGAATTTTTTTAGTGTTTTTGGTCGATAAGATTTTTGTAATTAGGCCCATCATAATTGTCAGCACCAGGTCCACTGGGCTCTTAATCTGGCCCTGTCTCCCTTTTACTCTCACTCACTCTCTCACTTTCACGTACTCTCCCTCACTCATTCTCCCTCTCACACCCATTCTCTCTCTCACACTCTCTCTCTCTCTGTCTGACACTCTCTCTCTCTTTCTCTGACACTCTCTCACTCACTCTGACACTCTCTATCTAACTCACTTATTTTTAAAATAAGTTTACTTACTGACGTCTCCAGAAAAATAATAAACAACTTTTATTGGAAAACTAGAGAACAAACAGATTTCTAAAAATAAATGGATATAAAGGGCCTGGTTTCTGCAGAGATATAACTACGCACACATGTATCAATCTCTACACAGTGTAGCAGACTCACTCATAACAGAGTAGTAGCTAAGATACATGTAGTAAATGGTGTCATGCACCAGACCCCACAGGGTTAACACTCTGGTATAGAAATCGAAAGGATAGAGGAGGTAATAAAGTGAGAATGAAAAATAAAGTGAAAATAACCTGTCAAAGGTAATACAACAGTAGTTGAAGGTTATATCTAACCACAAGTAGCTCATTAAGCCCCACCACCTTAATACATGTGTACAGAGCAACAAGATAGCTCAAACATTACTACCTAAGGTTCTATGGTGGGGTCGATACATCAACGACATTTTGATTGTCTGGCAGGGTACCCCCCGTGAATTCTCAGATACGGTAATTTTCCTTAACCAGAACAATGAAAATCTCCGCTTCACGTCTGAATTCGGAGGACGCTCTATAAATTTCCTTGATGTCACTATCAGTATCACTGAAGATGGTACACTTCATTCCAGGCTGTTTAGAAAACCCACAGCAACCAATTCCCTTCTACACTGGACTAGCCATCACCCTCGACCTCTTAAAGAGGGTATACCGGTAGGCCAATATCTCCGTCTTCGGAGAAACTGTAGTGACACCCAGGATTTTATCATACAAGCAAAACAACTTCGACAATACTGCAAAGAGAAGGGTTACCCGAATAGTTGTTTAAAAAGAGCTTACAAAAGAGCACTCCAGACTGAGAGGAATGATTTATTGTGTGACGCTCCTAAAAAGAACATTAATCAGGAGACTGGTATGATCCGTATGATTGCAACATTTGATGTGGGGTGGCCAGAAGTACGGAAGTCGCTTGAGAGATTCTGGCCTATCCTTTTGAATGATGTACATCTCAGGGATACTTTAAGTCCACATGTCAATATTACAGCTAGACGTGGACGGAATATTCGAGACTTTTTGGTCCCTAGTCACTTCTCCACTAAACAACAACCACGTGCCACTTGGTTGGGTACTCCTCCGACAGGCACATATGGGTGTGGCAGATGCGTAGCCTGTAAGTTAATCCTGAAAGGTTCTAAAATTGTGAATGATAGCAAGGGACAGGGCTCCTTTAAAATTAAAAGTTTCTATAATTGTAACACCAAGGGCCTACTATCATGTATGTGTAGGGAAGACCTTTAGGGCTTTCAAAGACAGGATTATGGAGCATGTGAGATCCCCTAGGAATCGCCTCGAGACTACTATCTCGAGACACCTGAGAGAACACCACCAGGGGGATCCCTGTAACCTTAGGTTCTGTGGCTTAGAGCTGGTTAAAAGGACCCCGAGACGTGGAGACTTTGATAAAATTTTAAGACAAAGGGAGTCCAGATGGATATATGAACTTAAGACCCTTCAACCTTTAGGTTTGAATGAGGGGTTTTCCTTTGCCCCGTTCATTTAATCGGTTTCCGTCTTTATCTATTTATATATACGGGTCTTTATATTATGCTTATATCCACACATCTAAACTGAACTTGTAAGTAAATAAATTTGTATATATAGATAGAAGCATAAATAAGACTATTTGTGTATATATACGTAGGGATTTATATCCCCTTCTCACGTTTTTTTCTCTTCTGTAACTAAACTTGTAAATTATGACCACATTTGTATAGTTGTGTGTGTGTGTGTGTGTGTGTGTATATATGTATGTATGTATGTATATATATATATATATATGTATATTCTGTCTTGCATTACTTTGTCTTGTTGCTTTTTTCGCATAGTTACTCCTTATTATTATTTTTTGTTCTTTATTTGTTCTTATATATCCAGCCTTTGTTGGATCAGTCTGATCTATACCATTCTTTTTAGTCTCTTTAAATAAAATATATATGTGTTTGGTTAGATAATGTGATTTATTCCGTGTCTAAGTTTTCGCGCATGCGCGGCCATTAGGCTGCGGACATGCGCACTATTAAGGTGTTTTTTGATATTATCCTTTTAGATACGCAGGAAGTCTTCGCGCATGCGTGTCCGCTGGTGAGCGGACATGCGCGTTAATTACTACTCTTCTGACATGCGCACTAACTTTGGAGTCTGTTGGACACGCATGCGCGAGGTTCCTTTGACATGCGCAGTCACTTCCATCTCCCCCTCTCAATACGGATTTACGTATGGACAAGCTACAACCAATTACATCAGATGGGAGGTACGGGAAGACATTTAAATAATTCTAGGGGGGGAAATTGTATGCGGTTTACTTCATTATTTTTTTGTTTGCCCTTGAAAAAGGCGGTTAGACCGCCGAAACGCGCGTTGGGCTGTCCATGTTTCATTTAGATTAACCCAGTGTTTCTGGATTACAGGGTGTTACACCAATGTTTGAGCTATCTTGTTGCTCTGGACACTTGTACCCTGTTTTCCCGAAAATACACCCTACCCCGAAAATAAGCCCTAGCTGGATTATCGGGGTGGGCTGCAATATAAGCCCTACCCCGAAAATAAGACCTAGGCAGGGCCGGCGCTGCCGGGCCTTTAAATGCCACAGCCGACTGAGCGCTCTATAGAGAGCGCTCAGATGGCTGCCGCACTGCCTCACCTCCCCTTCCCTGGAGCTCGGCCACGCTACAGGGAAGAGCAGGTGAGGAGAAGATTGGAGGGGGGAAGGGGGAAGGGAGTATTACAGGGAGAGAGGGGGGGGAGAATATTACAGGGAGGGAGGGAGGAGAATATTACAGGGAGGGGGAAGAGTATTACAGGGAGGGAGGGGGGAGAATATAACAGGGAGGGAGGGGGGAGAATATTACAGGGAGGGAGGGGAGAGAATATTACAGGGAGGGGAGAGAGTATTACAGGGAGGGAGGGAGGGGAGAATATTACAGGGAGGGAGGGAGAGTATTACAGGGAGGGAGGGGGGGAGAGTATTACAGGAAGGGAGGGAGGGAGCAGAATATTACAGGGAGGGGGAGAGTATTACAGGGAGGGAGGGGGGAGAATATTACAGGGAGGGAGGGAGGAGAATATTACAGGGAGGGAGGAGAATATTACATGGAGGGGGAAGAGTATTACAGGGAGGGAGGGGGAAGAGTATTACAGGGAGGGAGGGGGGAGAATATTACAGGGAGGGAGGGGAGAGAGTATTACAGGGAGGGAGGGGAGAATATTATAGGGAGGGGGAGGTGAGGGTCTCTGGGGGGGTTACACAGCGCAGACACCGGCTGACAGACTGGCTCTAAGCCCTACCCTGAAAATAAGCCCTAGTGTGTTTTTTGTGACTAAAATTAATATAAGACCCGGTCTTATTTTTGGAGAAACACGGTATTAAGGTGGTGGGGCTTAGTGAGCTACTTGTGGTTAGATATAACCTTCAACTACTGTTGTATTACCTTTGACAGTTTATTTTCACTTTATTTTTCATTCTCACTTTATTACCTCCTCTATCCTTTCGATTTCTATACCAGAGTGTTAACCCTGTGGGGTCGGGTGCATGACACCATTTACTACATATTGCTACATGTATCTTAGCTACTACATTGTTATGAGTGAGTCTGCTACACTGTGTAGAGATTGATACATGTGTGCGTAGTTATATCTCTGCAGAAACCAGGCCCTTTATATCCATTTATTTTTAGAACTCTGTTTGTTCTCTAGTTTTCCAATAAAAGTTGTTTATTATGTTTCTTGAGACGTCATTTTGGGGTGGCCTGAAGGTGACCAGCCCATTTTCTTTACGGGGTGATCATGTCCTTCATCTTTTTTCTTTTGTGCTCTATGCAGGGTTATGCCCTTTTTGCCACCCCACTAACCCTCCCTTTCTGGTACTCCCTATTAGGTTGTTTACCTGGGAAGTACTTTTTTCTATAAGTTTACTTACTGTTTGAAGTCCAGTAGATCTCCGGATCCTCCTGCTCAGTTTCCAGCCTCCTGCCTTCTGCCTTCAGCTGCCTGTCAGACAGGGTCGACGTTGTGTGTGCAGGATCACCTCTGACTGCAGATAGCCTCAGGCGCTACTACAAGACACTGCAGGTGCGTTCACAGTGCCTGCAATGTCCTCATACTACGTTTGAAGTCTTCAGCTAAATGTGAAGACGTCAAACCTGAGTACTGCACATCATGCAAGACTTAACTAGGAAATCCCTCTAGTGGCCGTCTGAGTGACTGCCACTGGAGGTGTTCCTAGGCTCTAAGGTAAACACTGTATTTTCTCTGAAAATACAGTGTTTACATGAAAAATAGACATGTGCAATTTGTTTTGTTCCGCATGTACATTCGGACGAATTTCGTGCAATTCGGACATTCAGATGCTTATGAATGTCCGAAGTGTCAAAGTTCGGTAGTTCGGAAGTGCCGAACTGATTCAGATTTCTGAAAAGTGGCAAAACAAGAGAGAGGAAGGGGAAATTACGTGAATGATGACCGGAATCTTGACCAATAAGCTAATTCCTGGCACTGGGAGTCCTATAGATGTGTAAGTGGTTGTGGTGGAAGTCAGGGCACTGGGAGCCCAATAGATGTGTACAGGGCCGTCTTTAATAATGATTGGACCCTGAGCAAGCATTTCTAGCTTTTGTCAGTAATTTATCTCTAGATATAGCACGGGTCAGCATCCTTAGATTGTTGTGTTCCAGTGTAACAGGTAGAAGAGACTTAATTTTATCAACATGCTTATTTCCTGCAGCAACATCCACAGACTTTCTAGTCACTTTCTCATCTTTCATACTAACATCAACACTTGCGGCAGTGGATCTCACCATTGCAGAAGGATTCACAACCATCTGTCCAACATGCCTGTTCCCTCTCGCCATTAAAATTTCATCAGTATCATCATCCGAAAAATCATTTTTTAATTCATCCAAACTGGGATATAATGGTACAACAAAAAGCACATAAGCAGGTGGTGCTGCAGAGGCTTGAACATACTTTGTAGCCTGATCAGGAACAACCCATAACTGAGCACACTTTAACAATCCTGTAGCTGCATTATACATATACCTTTTATCCCATTTTGGATCTCTGCCTGGACCCCACTTTTTAAAACCTTTAATACACATACCTTTCAGCATTTGCAAATTAAAATAACTAAAATAACCCTCTCTTGGCCATGGATTACAAATCATAGTATCACAATTCTCTGATCATGCAACTACATTTGTACACAATGGCTCAGCATAGTAATCTCCAATAGTTTCTTGAACTAACTGGCATGGAGTTTGGCCTAATCAAGGACCCTGAGACTTGACTTGAGGAGTACATGACGCAGCACTATTAGGGACATCTTTAGATTATTTAAATTGTACAGAATTTTGTTGGGAATTTTTACCATTACCGGAGCCCATTTCCAACTTCACACAGATAACACTTTACAATATATGAGACTTTTAAAAAATACAACTATACATGCAGCACTGCAATAAACAAATAATAAAAATAATAGAAATTTATTCTACTGTATCCAAACCGTGCATCCAATATAGTGACTACATTTGGTCACTCAGTGGGATTGCTATATCCACTATATACAACTTAATAAAATATTATTTTTTCTCTTATACAACTTAACATGGGACTCTAACCCATGATATAATAAAGTATGCTGTAATAAAATATATTATGTAAAATATTATAATGTTTGTTTTTTTCTGTTGAATTTCTGCCATGCGGAAAAGCCTCCCACAAAAGTGCAGGGCATTCGTAGTTCTCTCCCTCAATGCATTTATGCTCAACCAGCCACGGGTAGAGGCTTGCCGCATGCCACTGCAAGGCCCGGTATGAATCATCCAGTCACACTTCAGTCATGACCACACTTCAGTATGAGTCATCCAGTCACACTTCAGTCATGACCAGCGTCTTCAGTTCTATTACCCAGTCCTCTAATGGCTGTTCTCCCAGGAACGGCATCAGCAACTTCAGTTGTTCCCATCGGCGCTGGTTGGTGGTCGGGAGGGCCTCGCTCCGGAAAGGGTCGAATTTCATCGAGGTCCTCCTTCCAGAGATCGTTTTGGAGCGCCATCCTCCATTCTAGTTTTCTCCTTACTGAGATAGGGTCATCAATACAGCGCAGAATATCCTGTAGCCACTTCTGGAGTCTTGCGTCAAAGTGGGATACTGCATGACGGTACATGCCTTCCATATCCCTACTTCCCGTAGGTCAGTGTCCTGTTTGCTGCTCCGCTGGGTACAGAGCTGAAGACCACGTGCCTCTGTCAGAGCATTGCCAAGATAACCCGCAGCAATGCTCTGAGATTGTAATACGCTTACTTCACAATTAGACAGGAGGTCGCACTGTGTGGAGAGGGGCCCCGCACCTGGAGGCATCAAGGGCAAGCCGCCGGGCCCCCTCCCTATGTCGGGTCCTCAGTCACAGACTGAATACCTGGCGGATCGGTCTTCCCTAAGGTGATTTAGGCTGCCGCAAGGCCTTAGGCAGCAAGTTAAATCACCTAATTAGAGAGCTGCCTTTGAATATTTTTTTTTTTGTCAATCTTTCTTTTATTAAGTCATTTGATTCAGGTGGTACAGAAAAAAGAAAAGGAGTTTATCGGGTTGTACACAAGATATTTTTCACAGTATGACAAGATATACTCCTAGATCTGACTGCCTCATTTATTTTGGTAAGGAAAACAAGAAAATAAACATGCTAGACAAATTTGTCAAGACTGTCAATAGTGATAAAACACAAACATTAGCAGAGAAGCTGTCTTGACAACAAGGCTGTTAGGTAAGTATATATGTTGATTTAGCAAGATGGGGACATAAAATGTCAGCAATAAGCATAAAGAGGGCTCAAATAAATGTGGTTGTAACAGCCGACATTGTTGCTCAGTAATAGAGCCGCCTTTGAATATGAATATGAAATACTGATGTGCTGGTTAGTATTGGCTGTCATAGGCTCACACATTTAGAATAATGAGTTGGTCTAACTTACTATTGTATCCTATTCACAAATCCATAAGGGCACCAATATAGACCATAATGCAGTACGAATATACTAACAAATAACAAACTACAGTGTAGGTTGTATATGCTAAATAGAAGCTTTAAAAGTAAGCATGATATATGACATTTAAAATGACTGAAAACGGTGGGGCCAACTGAATAACTGAATAGATGCATATCTTTAGCACTCATGCCACCAGTGGAGGTTAAGGCCCAGGGGGAATTCTTACCAGTTATTCAATAAGCATGTTCAAGTTGATCACTTAGGAACACAGACAATCAGCAGCATGAGGACATCCATGTCATCAAATCGGACTACTAGTCTGTGATTAGGCACTGGCAATCAGCAGTTACAAAACATGTTAATTTTGCGTTGTGCCCTTGTATTTTTCTGACTTCACTAGATTATTTTTTTAATGATATAAAATCAGCAATTGTAATGTGTGGTGTTACAGAGTCCCTCACAATTCTCCAGTTTCTAGTTATCAGTGAAGATCGGAATACAATATAAAAGATGTAGTTGGGAAGTCCAAACAAGTATGATTGTATATTGATGCCCTTTGCTATTATTATATGGCACCCACACATTTTGTTAAACTGTGTGCATGCATAGTGTACCACCAAAATTAATACATTTTTCCTCTCTCCAAAGGTTTTTGTGGCAGGATGCATCACTGTTGCTACAGAGACAAAGGACAGCATCACCTTGGTAATGAAATAAGCAATATTTTTCGTACTAGAGTTTCACAACAATATCATAGTGTATACTCACCATGGGCTGTGTGTTGGTGTGTGTGTGTGGGTGTGTGTCTGCGTGTGTGAAAACTTCTAATATGGTTGAAAAGTACACAGAAAATGCACACGTATCCATATTTAGGAGGGACAGTTCCTATTTCGGGCCCAACACCTTCTGTCCCTCTTTTCTATCCAAATATCACTCTTTTCTAGGTGCTCGATATTGTTGGTGTGTCTGATTGTAGAACACTCAACTGATGAAGCAAAATCTTCAGCTAAACAAAATCGACCAAAGGATACTTATTGATACAAAGTATATGTGCACTTTATGTTTTGAGCTCATTGGCATTATATTGTGTTCACATCTATATATACTCTTCCTCTGCCTGGAGTCTACTGATTTCATCTGATTTGGCTGTGTGGGAGGCGCTATCCTTTATTAGCACAGTGCTGATGATACTAGAATCAGTGTGAGTGTTCATTTATATCCATGCTTTATAATTGTATTTGTTTAAAAAAAAAAAACAGGAGTGTGGAAATTAAAAAAAAAAAAAATCTACTTGTCTTATTGATAAACAAGGAAGACTCTGTAAATTAATAATGGTACAAAAGTGAAGAGACTCGGACTTCGGGAGACAGGGATTACAGAACTCTTCTATGGCCAATGGATAAAGAAACAAATCACTGTATTAAAAATTCAAAATCAATGACAGCTCAACACATTTTTCCCGCCTTGTCTCTACAAAAAAAAAAAAAAATTGGGCTTGTAGCGGGACCTGTTCCTTGTGTCCTGTTCCCAGGCTGAGACAACACTCAGCCCTGGAGACTCTCAGTCCTTACCAGGACTTTTCCCCTATTTTCATCTCCCTGCAAGCTGGAACAGCAGACACAGGGGTTAAATCTTCTGAATTCCCTGTAAGCTGAACCAGCAGACACAGGGGTTAAAATCTTCCTCCCTCCATGAAAAAGGACGACACACAGTTTGGAGGTTAAAGCACTGGCATCTCACCAGGCTGAGTCCCACTCTTTAATGATTACAGCTTCCTTTAAGCACAGACCTCCGCAGGGGGGGTCTGCATTCATCACAATACACTTCCCTTAGTCCCAGGTAGGAGAAAGGTTGGGTTAGGAGATACCAAGCAGTACACAGGGATACACTTTACATCATTTATTTATATTTATTTATAAAATATTTTACAAGGAAAGATACATTGAGATTTCTCTCGTTTTCAAGTATGTCCTGGGTCCACAAATCATTGCATTGTTACATTAGGGTACAATAAAATACAAAAACAATATTAATACACAATAAATACAAAATTTAACATCATATTACATTCAGGGTAGGGGTTACACTTTAAGTGGCTGGTTTTGCCATAGATAGGAATAGCAATGCAGTAATAGCAAGATACATACAAGGACATTCTGTAAGTGGCTAGGTTTGCCACAGGGCTAAAAAAGAAGATAATCCCTGGCATAAACTTAAGTATATTGGCAGATATAAAGACAGATATAAATTTAGAAATCTAGATCAAGCGAGGTATAAAAACGATATCTAATCTCATGACAGGAAATAGCGTAAAATCTTATGAACAACTCCAAACTGAATATAATATACCTCCTAACGATTGGTTCATTTAGATTAGGGTTAAATCCTTTTTAAACACATTTCTAAGCCCTACCCCTCTTGAACCACCAGTTAAGCTTCTTTCAGACTTATATGAGCAGTCAGACTATACCCACTTGGCAAATAAATGCCAAAAAATTATTTACAAGACTCAGAGTAAATCAACTCCCCTGGCAATTATTAAATGGAATCCGGACCTGGTGAAAGAATGGAACAACTCCCTTAATACGATATACAAAGTCTGTCACTGTTTAAATGTACATGAAACCCATTATAAAATACTAAATAGATGGTATAGTACCCCATACAAAATAGCAAAAAATGTATTCTACATCCCCACCTAATTGCTGGAGATGCAATGAATTAATTGCAGACTTCAAACATATATGGTGGGATTGCTAGTGCGGATCTTAATGGCTGTGAAAACCTCAATAGCCCGGAACTGGAAATCTTCTAAGGTAGACAACTGATCTAAGATTCATGCTCAAAGCATTATTCAATGTAAAATGGAAAGGGCCATAACTAATTTTGCACCAAATAAGGGCCAGCACTATACATATTGGGATAAATGGATTAAAAAATTGGACCTCCCCGACTCTCACCGTAAGCAAGACGACTGACCGCTATATAGGGAGATGACTCGTCACGCTAACTGCACGTGGTACACAGACCTAGGCTTAGGTCATGACAGACGCAAATACCACCTCATTGACAAGGTTACCACGGAGCCACTCCTACTGTACAACATGGTGCACCCGCTTAGCTACATATATAGTGGGTATGATGACCCACAACACACTAATAGATTATTTCAAACACACTACAAGGTACAGGCCACTACCTGACGTAATACCCGTGTAGACTAACCATTGGGAGACCCACTGCCGACGCCCAGCCGGACGTAGACGCCGGCGGTACGGCTCTGAATATCTACCCAGTTACACAGAGCCTTCCCACATTGGGAGCTGGAATACAATCAAACACCATTTGCACTAACACACACACGGCGATAGAAGGAGAGGAGGACAGCCAGTCTGACCCTTGGACACAAAAGGGAGGCGAACACTTACACCCGACCCCTAACAACCCACGACAGGAAACACAACACACAAACACCACCCTATACTACCCCTACCCTACCGTACCCTCCCTGATCACCCGTACCAACCCAGGAGGGGGCTTGCCGGGGCGCGTCAGGGCCGACCCGTAGGAGAGTGCTCGTGACACCCTCCCAGTCCTGAGGGAAGGAACGGCGGAGCTGACCCATTCGGTACTGCGGGGTACACGAATGGCGTATATACCGTCACCCTTAGTGGTGCACTCCCAAAATTGCAGAGGACTTAACATCCCGGAAAGAAGGTCGCACCTCTTGCGCAGTCTCAAACAACAACATGTGTCAGTGGCAATGCTCCAAGAAACGCATCTCAGACCAGATACAAACAAACTGCTCAAAGATAAAACGTATCCAACGAATTACTATAGTAACCACCCAACGGCGCATAAAGCGGGAACGGCAATCCTCCTGGCATCACACCTACAATTCACGCCAACAGACACGCTATCGGATACGGGAGGCAGATTCCTTTTCGTCAAGGGCGAGATAGCACGGAAGGTCTATACCTTCGCCACGGTATACACACCCAACAGTGGCCAAGCCAGCTTCCTCAGGAGAACACTGACAAAGTTATCCCGATTCATGGAGGGCACCCTCGTACTGGGAGGCGATCTTAATGTACCACTGGATCCCAGGATGGACACCTCCAAGGGCCATAGCAGTGAACCAACAGCGGCACTAAAGACAGTGCACAAAGCCCTCAGGCATCTGAGGCTGGTAGATACATGGAGAGCATTCAACCCAGAGGGGAGGGACTACACGTACTACTCCAAGGTCCACGACAGATACTCCAGAATCGACTATATCCTGGTGCAACAAGAGGGACTCACGTACGTACAGAAAACAGCTATCCTCTCCACGACATGGTCGGACCACAGCGCGGCTCAGGAAACTGTGGCTTCACCCCTGTTCAGATCGACTAAAACGGCCTGGCGGCTAAACGACTCCCTGCTGACGGACGCAACGACGAAGGAGAAGATCGCAGAACACCTAAACCAGTACTTTGAAGAGAACAACACGGAAGACGTGACACCCATGTCGCTCTGGGAAGCTCATAAAAGCGTGATCAGGGGCCACCTTATCCGCATGGCCACACAGCGCAAGAAGGAGGCCGGTCAGCAAATCAGGGAGCTCGCACGACAAATCTCAGAGTTGGAAACGGCACACAAACTGGATCAACAAGAACAGACCTACAGGACCCTGATAGCGACTAGAAAACAGTTGGCAGAGATTTTGGAACGCAGACATGCAAGAACAATACAGCGTTTGCGCGCCTTCTTCTACACACACGCCAACAAGGGAGGCAAACTCCTAGCACAGATGCTGAGGGGCACACAGGGCAGGGCACAGGTACAAGCGATACATACCACACGCAACCGTATCACGCAATTTCCGGAAGAAATCGCAAATGAATTTAAAAAGTTTTACACTAAACTGTACAATATAAACGAGGACGAAGGAGACCCCCCCAAGGGCCGCAAAACGGCAGCATACCTGAGGAATTTCCAACCGAACGCCCTCACACCGGAAGAGGCAGAGGAACTCAAAGCTCCGATCACCGAAGGGGAAATCCGACTAGCACTGAAAGAAGCGAAAACAGGGAAAACACCGGGCCCGGACGGCTTCCCGGTGGAATATCTTAAGAAATTCGAACACACCCTCGTACCACATCTCACCAGAGCTCTGAACAGCCTGAGGGAAGGCACAGCCTTCCACAAAGAGACTCTGGCTGCAACAATAGCGGTAATCCCGAAGCCGGGCAAGAACACCGAACAGGTCGGAAACTACCGCCCAATCTCACTCCTCAATGCGGACGTCAAGCTGTTCTCGAAGATCCTGACTAAAAGACTACAAAGACACATGACTAGACTAATACACCCAGACCGAGAGGCCAGGGACAACACCCTAAGGTTATTCGCCATACAGCATCTAACAAAGAAAATGGGAACGAAGCTACTACTGCTGTCGACAGACGCTGAAAAAGCCTTCGACAGAGTAGACTGGCACTTCATTACGGAGACACTACGTGCGACAGGTATTGGAAACGGCATGCTCACATGGATCACAGCACTATACAACCAACCGACTGCCAGAATTCGAGTAAATGGGGCACTCACGGACAACTTCCACATCAAGAATGGCACGAGGCAGGGTTGCCCGCTGTCACCTCTACTATTCGCCCTCACGCTGGAGCCGCTTCTAGACTGCATTAGGAAAAATGAAGTGGCCGCATACGCGGATGACATGCTATTCTTTCTCGAGAACCCACTAACCTCCGCCGCACAGTTAATGTCGGAATTCGAAACATATGGACGTTTGTCCGGACTCAAATTGAACCTGACGAAATGCGAAATCTTAAACGTCACCGTCCCTGAGGAAGAATGCGCTCAGATTAAAAGGCAATACCCTTTCCACTGGTGCCCAAGCCGAATGAAATATCTTGGGCTGTGGGTCACACGCGAGGCCAAAGACATCTATGCCCAAAATCACATACCCCTTCTGAAGACCATTCTCGAGGACCTCAAAAGATGGCACTACCCCCACATATCTTGGCTGGGGAGAATTGCAGTGATAAAAATGAATGTTTTACCTAGGCTACTCTACATATTTCACACAGCCCCACAGGCGATTCCGCAGGCATTTTTCAGGACACTTAAAACCATTCCGAACATCTGCTGGAGATGCGGAGACAGCCCCGGAACCCTGAAGCACATCTGGTGGGACTGCGATAAAATTAAACCGTACTGGGAGAACATCGAGCAGGAAATAGAACACATCCTAGGAGACCCTATAGACCTGACAATGGGAGCGGCTCTCATACACCACACGGAATGACCCATACCCTCTTACAAAAAGTCAATCCTGAGACACCTGCTAAATGCGGCTAAATCCCTAATCCCACTGCACTGGAGGGAGGAACATATACCCACAATAGAACAATGGAAGAATAAAGTAGAAGATATAAGAAGGGCAGAAGCCAAAATAGCAGAAACAATAGGAAAGGAGGAAAAACATACAGAAGTGTGGATGCCCTGGATATTGTACATCGCTTTAGACAGGACGCAGAAAAAGTGCACCCAACCGGGAGAGCTGGAACGAGCTCAGGATTGGGGACAGACACCCTCCCTCTCCACCCCCCGTCCCCTCCCCCCCCCACTTCCCCTCCCTATCCTCAAAAGGGGAAGACCTTCACACACACATGATATGAAGGAATGTGGAGAACAAAGGAGATATTCACACTAGTAGCAGATATTAATTACGAATAGAACAGAGAGACACGAACTCCAAAATGGAGGACACATAACAAACATCGCAGCCATGGAGCACACAAAACAGCAACACACACAAGTAACACATGCTGAGCGACCACAGACATAATAGCAAATAAACTAAAAATTAGAAACAAGACAACATAACTCTCTACGCCCAAGTATAAACCTGGACACACGACAAATATGAAAATACAGAAAGAAAATTAAAAGCTTACGCTCAACGACGTCACAGGACAAGGGAAAAGGATAAGTAGTAAGGGGACATGCAACAACCGTTCAGATACGCAGAAGGAACAGACATGATATCTGATGACAGAACCGCGGGCACGCGACAAAAAGAGAACTCAGGTCCACACGTACAAATCCTACCATAATCAGATGACCACCAAACAATGTCTGAATAACTCTGACACGTAAACAGCAATAGAGGGACTGAACAGAGTCCGGACAGTTTCCCACCCCAACGCCCATGATCAGATTAACGCCTGGGTAAACAGTGAAAATTGGTGCACTCAAAAACCATAGCTGTGACGCTAGAAAATACCAGGGACCTGCGTGTCCGGCAATATTGTGGGCCTGCGAGCCCGAGAACGTTCCCACATGTCATGTTACCTACACTAATGAATGGTGCTCATACTATTGTAGAGTGTGATATGTCTCTTGGGACCTGCGAGTCCTATTTTTTCTCGACTTTGACAACACAAATAAAACAGATTTACAAAAAAAAAAAATTGGACCCTGAATAAGGAGGTTTTCTTCATTACCTGCTCTTTTCATAGTGGATCTTTCCTGTTTAATTATTAATTATTTTTTATCTTTTCCTTCTTTATTTAACTGCATGGTTTACATCTGTTCAGAGAAATGTCTGGGCCCCCTCCCCGAGCCTGATAAGGGAATTTATTTATTTTTCTCTCGCACCATGAACCAAGCAAACGTTTATATGTTTGTTAGTTAGTTATGTATCTAAATGTTTAATAAAATTGTAACAGTGACTAGATAAATAAAATAAAAAATAAATTAAAAAAAAGCAGAAATAAAGCGGATAAGGATAAAGAATGAAAGAGAAATTTAACAAAACATATGATGATTTGGTATTTGACAACTTCATTTCTGATCACTTAAGCAATGAAACAAAAATTACCATACTCTGATGTGGGGAAAAAAATAAAAAGAGAGAAAAAACCCCCCCAAAAAACTACAGTGGGATAGGAATCCCGGTTGCCCGGTGCGGCAAGTTCATTTAGCACGAGGGCTATTTGAAGGTGCAGGTCAGTCCTTGGATCATTCAGGTAGCGGTCTCTGTGGAGGCTCTCAGTTCAGCCTGTCTGGGGGCAATCTGTGTCTGTCTCGCAGGATCCTTCGAGGCTGGCGGTTCCGCTGGGTGGGTTGGTCCTGCTCTGGATAGGGAATCCCTTTGTAACTCCAGAGTGGGCAGGAGGTCTGTGGCTCTCTGCATGTCTTAGACCTTGTATGTTGCGCCGTCGTGTTGGATCTGTAGTGCCCTGAGTCTCCTCCACTGGTATATGATCCCGTGCAGGCGGAGTAGGGCTGTGAATGGTTTCATCGTGCGGCACCATGCCAGAGTCGTCCTCGATAGATCTGCATATATTGAAAGGTGCTTGCCCTCAAACAGATATGGCAATTGGTTCCAATAGCTTGGAGGACCGTTGTTCTTTCTCCGTGGTTCAGAAAGCGTACCAGGAGATCCCTTGGTGCTTCGGCCGGGGCCTTAGCTGGTCTTGGGAGGCGGGACATCTCTCCCAGTGCCGCTTGTTTGGCCTGTCGAGGGGGCAGGAGGGCGGACAGCAGGCGCCAGATAAAGTGTGGTACCTCCGCCTCTGGTATCTCCTCGCCAATGCCCCTGATTTTGCAATTCAGGCTACGTTCTCTAATTCTTCAAACTTTAGATCCATCGTGTGGGTCTGCTGTTGCAGGTCATGAACTGCTTTATGCAGTTGCGTTGTGTCCTGTGTGTTTCGATGGGAGTTGGTTTCCAGTGCACTCAGACGGCCTATCAGGCCTTGCAGGTCTCCGTGTATCTGGGCCATGTCTGCTCGGATGGTGAGCTAAATGACTGCTGTGGTCACCGGAGATGTATCTGGCAGAGGGTGAGCTCGGGGAGGTGCCGCCAGGATAGGTGAGTCGTGCCTGTCAGCCCCGCTTGTAAAATCGTCCGACATGTCAGAGCCGCCGTCGACACAGTCGGCCATGTTGGTGGTCGCTTGGATGCGGGCCTGCCGCCATAGGTCTCCAATACTGCTGTTCTGCCTAGAGTTGTCGGGCTTTGCATTTTTAGTTTTTCAGCCCATCTCCTTCTTGTGGCTGGATGTTCGGTTTGATGTTGTTTGTGGGGAGATATGGCCATGTTAAAGGGTTTAGAGTTATCGTGTGGTCCGGAGCTCCAAGTGCTTGCGGCCAATCAGATCCGTGGCTTGTCTCCGCCATTAAGTATGTTTTAATAAACTTAAGAGAGAAATCGTACGCTCAAGTAATCGTAGGCAATATTATTTGTGGGTTCGCTCTGTTATATTATTGTTTATATTTTTTTAATCTTCATATTTTTGTGGTATAAACCATACAAAAAAAAGGGGAAAAATATTGAGTGAATGCTCTAAATCACCAGGTGTGAGTCACTCCAAATCACACAGAAAACATACAACAAAATAAAATCAATAGTATGGTGAGAGCAAAATACATACACCAGGTGTAAATATTAAAGGATATACGAAACATGCAATTTTACCTTATATCTCTGGACTCATTGAAACATATGTCCTAAAATATAAAAAATACAGAACATAGCATAGCCTGTATATGAAAAGTAGGTAGAAATAGATATAAAATCTCCCACTCACGTGGTGCTGAGCTGTAAAGATTGGCTCAGACTACAAGCGCCTTTCCAATAATCTGGAGACCACAATGCTGGGACACAAATCAGGATGTTCACTGGAAAATGTCCCCTTGTATGATTTTAAATAGACACCAAGTGGAGGATAGATGCAGGAACAAACCCTTTATTTGCATACAAATCAGCATAAAAACGGAATCTCACAAATAAAATGCACTAACGCGTTTCAACCGCTATGGTCTTTATCAAAGTGCTAAATGTAATAAACAACAAAAACATTTATATATCTTCAAAAAAAGGCGCAAAAATTTTTTCTTCATCCGTTCACTTCCGGTTTCCGGTTACATTGCCGTCATCTAACTTCCGGTTTCCGGTTACGTTGCGTGTTCGAGGGGGCACTTCCGGGTCAGCGGTCATGACACCTTCTATATCAGTAAACTTCCGGTTTCGGATAGAGATAACTTTCTCCAATGTCCTTAATGCACATGTGTATTAAGAAATGAACTAAACGTCCAAATATAATAAAATAATTTTTCTTTATACAAATAAAATAAATTTAAAGCTAAATCATATAAATTTTTATATCAACAGTAGTGATGTCGCGAACCGTTTGCGAACTTCCCGCGAACGGCTCGCCGCGATTCGCCGCGAGCTCCGGTCAGCTGACACATCCCGGCCAATCTCCAGCAGACCCTCCCTCCCAGACCCTCCCACATCCTGGACAGCATCCATGTTCAACATGGATGCTGTCCAGGAGGAGGGAGGGTCTGCTGGAGATTGGCCGGGATGTGTCAGCTGACCGGAGCTCGCCGCGAATTTTTTCATCATACTTTATAATTGTTTTATAGTAAATTATATGATATGATGAAAATAATTATCTTTAGAAAGATCATTTAATGGCGAGAAAAACGGTATATGATATGTGTGGGGACAGTAAATGGGTAAGAGGAAAATTAAGGCTAAACACAAACACCGCAGAAATGTAAAAAGAGCCCTAGTCCTTAACGGTAAGAAAATTAAAAACGGTCTGGTCATGAAGGGCTTAAAGTTGCACTGTCATGCTGAACTTGCCTTTCCCCAATCAGGTCTTTTTTTAGAAAAAGATTTTAGAAAAAAATAAGACATCTAATGGTAAGTATGAAAAAAAAAGTGTTTAGGTAATTATTTATTGCTCCCCCCTCACTATTATTAGGGTGAGTGAGGTAGGTAGAATTGTATTTTATTGGGGGAGGGGTAGACAATTGATTCCTCCCCCCTTTGTCACTTAGGGCTCCCACCTGTTGCCCATTGTGACCCACTGACTGCTTACTGTTTAGTATACATGCCCCTACATGCGGCATAGCGAGTAGGGGCTGGAGGGAGATTTGAATCTCTCATATGCTAATATGGGGGTCATATTTACCCCCATAGAGTGAGAGGGACATGGCGGGAGGTTTAGTAAATGGCAGGGAGTCACTACTCTTTTTACATATTACAGGGATGGAGCTGAGAGCCGGTAGCTCCCTCCTTGTAATAAACTGAACAAACAATCTTTTTAAAAAAAAATTATTTTTTAGTGAGTTAGTGTTTTTATTAGTTTTTTGCATTTTTTTACACAAAAACTGCACTTTTACTGTTGATTGTATCAAGATACGTTTTACTGTATTTAGTTTTTTTTTTTTAATTCTTAATTTTTTATGTGGATTGCTTCCATACATTTTGGCAATGCAGAAATATATCAGACATTGCATGATGTAATACAGCTGATTATAGCATAAAAACAGGTACATGACACAAAAAAACTAAATTTGAGAACAACAAACAATAAAAACAGAGCCCTTAAAGGTAATCCAAGGCCCACTCCTCTATCAAGTCCCCTTCCATGTCACTATCCCAATGCACTCTGCCCTGGTATACTGTCTCGTGCTTCTTGTTGGATCCCAGTGCGCCCATGCAGGGGAACTCCATGAAAGGTGGGTTGTAATTCTAGGAGCAGTTACCTGCTGCTGGTGCTTGATGCGGAGGCTGGTACAGCTGCCAGCGGGTCTGGGCCGTATTCAGCATTCCCCTCGTCTCTGTGCTCATACAGACAAGACTGCCTCTAATACTCCCATTTGCCCATATACTCCCTCACCTTCCCGTCCATGTTCCCTGTCAGGATAGGTTTTTGGCCCGCTTATACAAAATTATGTTCAACAAAAAAGATAGTCGATGAAAACAACAATCTACAGTAATGAAGGTAGCATATAGGCCAGCAGGCCAAGCATATGGTCTATTTGTAATTCCTTTGGCAGCCTCAGATATGTGGGACGTTGGGGTCCCTGTTAGCCTACTGTGTCCAAAGGATCCAGTGCAACTATCCCTCCTCTGTAAGGTGTCTCACTATAGGAAGGCTGAGGATTCGGCTGTCTGGGGTCCTATGGTAAAGACTTTTATACCTAGAAGGCGCTCACCAACAACTCCGCTGTCATACCCCCATATGCTCCTCTGTGCCGCCTTTCTTTCCCGTGGATGCCCCCCGCCTGGTTAGTTAGTCATCGTGGATAAAAAAAGAAAAGAAAATAGTCAACCAAAACATCATTCAACAATTGTGCAGGTAGTATGTAATTAAACAGGTAGAATGTGGGTTTTGTATAAACCCTTTGGTTGCCTGAGGCATTCTCAGCTGGATGGGGAATTCTATGGGGGTTCCTGGACCATGCCCTGGACTTCTGTCTCCAAACCAGGTGTTCCCTTTGGTGAGACTACATCTCCCCTGAACCTCACAGGTGACGTAATTGGCAGGCCCAAGGTACTCAGAAGGGCCGCTGGATCTTCCACCGCTGATAGTCAGTACGGTATCTCCATGGGGTACCACCAAAGTTCCCAATGTTCCCAGTCGGTATCTGACACTGTGTTCCCTTAGCAGTTTGGTGACTGGTAGAAATCTCTGTCTGTCCAACAGGACCGAGAATGAGAAGTCATCATAGATCCTAATAGTGTAGTCCTTCACCTTGATGGTGGGACAATTTCTGGAGCAAGCCCAGATGGCCATTTAATAGAAACATCTCCGGTAATGGCTATAATTTCCCTGGGTGCATCTGCAGGGGTGGTCGGGGCCTTTTGAATATGGAATGCTGATGCTATTGGCGCAGCTTCATGATCTCCTTTTACCCCCAATATTCCAGCCATCTTGTTTGCAAATTCCAGTAGAGCTTATGGGCTCTCTGACTCCGTTCCCCTCGTAACCTGATGTTCCTCTGATAGTGCCGCGCTTCGAGAGAAGTAACTGTGCAGGTAGGACGCTGGACTTGTAATTAGAGTGTTGCCACCTGGGATCGGGTCTCTGTCAGTTAACCCTCATGTTCTCCCTCGCAGGATTCCATCTCTCCAGCCCGTCGGGTTAGACTCCCGATCTCTGATTGTATGCCAGCTAGGTCCACCTTGGAGACTGCCCGTAGGTCGAGCAGGAACTTCTTAATATCCCCTTTTGTCGATGGAGATATGTCAGAGTCTGTTCTCCGGTATACTCCACTTGGTGCTCTCTTCCTCCTGTAAGTCCTCTGACTCGCTGGAGCCTTGTGGTCTCCCGTGCGCCATCTTATTGTTGTGGCCTATCAAAAGACCTGCGTATGTCAGATAGGAGGGAGCCCTCCGCCTGAGCCAGTTTCCTGTGTTTTTGCCCCATCTTTAGGGGGGGTTCAGAATGTTAATCGTGCAGGTAAATCTAACAATTTCCGTTGCTTTACAGTCAATTTGTAAAATAGAGCGGGAGCTCTTCTTAGATATAAGTCTGATCCGTTGCACAGCTAGCAACGCCCCCGATCTTCATTCTTTTTAATTTCTATTTGTTCATTCGCCTTTCTGACAAACGAATAGCCAAAATTCCTGTTCAAATTTCAGACGGCAGCGAATGCCCAAGTGTTAAGCTAGGCATGCGTAGGAATTTCACTGTGCTTTCTAGCATTGAATCAATGCTTTTCTATGGGGACTTAAATGTCACATAACAGAGTTTTAATCTGTTAGTGCAGTGGCAGTGCCTCTAGTGGCTGTCATACTGCCAGTCACTAGAGGTGGACTTAGTCCTTGATGTCTGAACATCAATCTCACAGAAACCTTCACTGTCTTCACCTAGAGCAATCCTCCACTAATCTTCAAACTCTCCTTTTGCCTATCTCAAACCTCACCTGTCCTAGCTCTGAAACCTCCTTCTACAATTCCACTCGATACCTCCAAAAATGCTCCAGAACTGCCGAATACTGCTGGAGAAAGTCTTACTCTGCATGTGACTTTCTCCACTATAAATTTATGCTGCGCTCCTACAGCTTGGCTCTTTCCTCTGCAAATGCAAATTACTTCATACCCTCATAACCACACTCTCCCGCAAACCCAAATGACTGTTTTATACTTTTAACTCTCTTCTTCACCTTGTTGTTCCTCCTCCTCCTACCAACTTGACTGGGACAAACTTTGAAACTCACTTCACTGACAAGATATCTACAATCAGGGAAAAGATCTCTCACCTCTCTTCTTCCCCTTACAATACTTCCCTCAACCTCACTCCCTCTGCTGTTCTATGTTCATTTGCACCCACTACAGCGGAAGATGTTTCTGCTCTGCTCCGGTTCTCCCGCCCCACCACCTGTTCCCTGGAACTCATTCCCTCGCATCTGATTCTTACTCTCTCTCTCCCTCTCCTCTGGCATATTTCCATCACCCTTCAAACATGCAACTTTAACCCCGATTCTAAAGAAGCCCAACCTTGAGCCTAACTCCTGTCCAACTACTGTCCTATCTCGCTACTGCCTTTTGCATCCAAGAGCCTTGAAAGAGTTGTGTATGCGGACCCGCTTCAGTCGAGTTTCCGCGCTCGGCACTGACCAAAGTATCCAGTGATCTACTCGCTGCAAAATCTCGTTGTCACTATTCTATTCTAATTCTCCTTTACCTTTCTGCTGCTTTTGACACTGTTGATCATCAACAGCTTCTTCTCATCTTCCATAATCTTGGTCTACAAGATATTGCTCTCTCCTGGTGCTCCTCCTACTTCTCCCAGTGCTCATTCAGTGTTTCTTTCTCTGGCTCTGCCTTTTCTCCCCAAACTCCTCTCTGTTGGTGTCCCCCAAGGTTCAGTTTTTGGTCCCCTACTGTTCTCCATCTATACTGCCTCCCTTGATAAACTCATCAGCTCCTTTGGTTTCCAATATTATTTTTATGCGGATGACACGTAAATCTATCTGTCCTCTCCTAACCTCTCTCTGCCCCTCCTGACTAGTGACTCTGATTGCCTCTATGCTATTTCTATCTGGATGGCTTCCCATTTCCTTAAACTCAACTTGTCCAAAACTAAACTTCTGGTCTTTCCTCCCAAAAGTGTTGCTACTACTGTGTCTGTCTCCCTCCAAGTCCACAACTCACTGCCTAGATGTTCTCTTTGACTCCAACCTCTCCATCACCCCTCATGTTCAGTCTATCGCCAAATCCTGCCGCTTCCATGTCAAAAACATTGCGTGCATCCGCCCCTACTTAACGCAATGTTTTTGAGATGGAAGCTCCTTCTTAACGCAGTGTTTTTGAGATGGAAGCGGTCCATGCCACTGTCCTCTTTCGCCTTGACTACTGCAATCCGCTTCTCAGTGGTCTTATGTGCTCCCAACTTGCGCTGTTCTAGTCTATAATGAATGTGGCAGCGAGGCTCATCATCCTGTCCGCCCGCACCTCCACGCCTCACCTCTCTGTCAGTCCTTACATTGGCTTCCCATAAGATATAGGGCTCAATTTAAAATTCTGGTTCTTGCTGTTAAATCTCTACATAATGCTGCTCCCACCTATCTATCCTCCCTAATACACAAGTATGTTCCATCTGGGCCCCTACACTCTGCTTACGTCTATCTTTTGTAACACCCACCTCTGATGCTCGCCTTCAAGACTTCTCTAGGGCTGCACCGTTCCTGTGGAACTCCCTTCCCTCCTCCGTTAGACTCTCACCCAGTCTCCACTCCTTCAAAAAATCATTAAAAACGTACTTCTTCATAAAAGCATATCTATTAAACTGTTCATAGCTCCCAAAATGATTTCTCTCCTGCCACTGTCATTACTTCTCTAATACTATCCTTACCTTTTGTGTCACTTTACCCCACTGCCTCTAGCACAGGCATAGGAGTCTAAGCTCACTGAGCAGGGCCCTCAACCCCTCTGTTCCTGTGCGTCCAACTTGTCTGGTTACAATTACATGTTTGTTAGTCAACCCACTGTAAAGTGCTGCATAATTTGTTGGGGCTATATAAATAATTAAAATAATAATAATGTAAACCATGCAGTGGCTCAAAAACAACAGTGTTTTAATTGAAGGGTTAAAATGACAGGTACACTGCACTTGATGAAGTGGTCTGGATGACTATAGTATTCCTTCGACAGACAGGAATCTTCATAAAATACTTCTCTCTGAGAATTCCAGGCACAACTTGTCAGTGACTCAATTCTGTAAACTTTTTGGATTGCAGTGTGGGCCTGGGTGACCGAATTGACAGTAATTATTGGTTTTATTGATATACATATTCTAGAATCTCCCGACTGAACTCAGGTCATGTGACTAGTGGCTGCAGTATAGTCCCTGAGCCACAACCGGCCACATTCTCAGCTGGACACTTCTGTGTGTTGCCTGAGATCTAGGCAAACTACACAAACATGTGTAAAGCACTGGAATGGTAGGAGGGTTAGATAGGGTAGCAAGAGGTGTTGGTGGTAATAGAGGTGCTAATATGACTACACTGTGATGGTTACCAGGATACACGGCCATGTGCTCCCTACCTTTTGGTTGATCTCGATACTGTGATGCAGAGGGCTGTTTAACCACCCACGGTACGGTTAACTGTTTTTGGGTTAATAGTTTTGAAACCCTTGGGGTTAGTAATTTTTCAGTGACATGATAAAATGGTTAGCTATGTTGTCATGCTGCCCATTTTAGTTCTGTTCTAATGGGATTTTTGTGCTAGGTGGGGGAGGGGTTGTGTTCTCCCTTTTTAGCCTATATGCCACATGTTCTGAATTTTTGATGCACTGCAAAATTAAAATGATTGAGCTTGCATCCATGATTGTGACAATATTATCTCATATATTGTCTACATTCAATTTAATAATGTTTTTAACCATACCTCAGTCTTACTTATTATCATTACCAAAATCATCAACCTCATTTCCATAACCTATTTATCATTACCACAACAAGTGTTTATTTAATGAATGAAAAAATAGTAGTTTGCGATCAAATGCATGCGCAGAATCTATACTTTATGTTCTTTCAGGTTTGCCACGTCATTGTGAAAATATGTCAGGTCTCAATGAAATATAAAAAATGTTAGGTTGTAGATTGCAGAACGTGTTGCAGTAATGGGAGAAATCAGTCAAGATCAATTAAAAATGTTTTTATTTCAAATATATATTATTTCAGAGTTTCAAGTAACTGTGCGTGACTTTAAAACCCATTTTTAAAAAGGTGAAATATTGTATAAACTTTCTTAATGTTACTTATATTTTACAGACTGTTGAGGTAATGAGAACTTTAGGACTTGTTTTGAAAAACATGTTGAAAAAGGTGTTAAATTGTCAGTAAATGTTTTTAATGTAATGCTTACAAACACTACAGACCTTGTTATTAATGCAAAAAAAGGAAATTTGTTGATTGAAGTATTTTTAAAATTTTTAAACGTTAAATCTTTAAAACAAAGATGGCATTGGAATCAACCAGTTGGGACTTTTAAAATTTTATTTTTATTTTTTGCTGTGCATTGCAATTTAACATACATGTGTGAGGTATCCCAACGGCATTCCTCATGCAATGGCGAAACAGTTGTAACAATGGGGTATTTTCAAGTAGTTGCACAAATTTTATATTTACGTAGACACACAAGGGTAGGAACGCATTTGATAAAGTTTTGACAAAACTGATAAGCCTGGCTGATTGATTAGCGTACATGCGCTTAATCAAGTGTATCTCGTACTGAGTAGTTTGGGTAGTCGTAATAATTTTTGCAGGCATTTAACTAGGTAGGTACGTGATTATGCAAAGATGTTCTCCGGACTGTGTACATGTTTAAGCTCTAAGCATCAGTTATTTAAACAATTGACAAGTTATTCCTAGTCTTGAGTTGAATTAGTAGCGTTAGAACTCACTGGCTCTTTATCTATGTAGTGTTATAGAGAGTAAAGCAGAAATCCCGTTAATGCTTACGAACTAATTAGCAAAAGGCAGCACTTAACATATAAAAACAAGAAAAAACATAAAGATTAGACCGCCGCAGCATGAATGCATATAGGAAACCCAGTCAGGCTAGCATGTGTGGGATATGTATGGAAGTCCCAGCAGTGACAACTGTTGTTTGTGGTTACTCCTATAATGGTGGCACGGCTTTAGGCAGCGGGCTTGTATTCAGCCTATTCCCAAAGATGGGAAGTGGGAGTCCAGTGTACTGATGGCTAGGAGGCTGCAGCACTCTGATGGCTCTGTTGGACATCCCTCCAGCCCCAGGCCGGTTGACAGGCCAGCATCTTCGTGCCACTGACTTTGGTGCTCCTAGGGTCCAAGTCCTCCCCTTTAGGGAATAAGCAGGAGGTTTTGGTGGTAGGTGCCCGTTGATAGGGGGTGGTCCTCCGCCTGTGTGGGCGATGCCGCGGGGTTCTGCCCCTGGTGGCCCTCTGCCTAGGTGATCTTTTAATGGGAGGAGGTTTGTGTGCTTTGGAGACATGGGTGATCAAAGGGGGCCCACTCACCATCCGGCTCTCAACCTCCTGGTCGTCCTCCTTATGTGGAGACTTTGCTGCTTTTTGGCGTGCCTCTAACTCTGCCCAGAAGCGGTTGAAAATTTCATCCAGCCTCCTTTGAGTGACCTGTACCGGGTCTGGAAGCGCCGGCTACGGTTGCTGGGAGTTTGTCTTGCTGGGTAATTCGAGCCAACATTTTGTGTATGTCCGCTGGGGCTGTAGCTTAGCAAGTGGGGTCAATTTAGTTTTGTTTGATGCCGGGTGCAAGCCACGGTGGACCAGGATGACCCCCACCGGTCCAGAGGGGGGGGAACAGGGCTGAGATGCAGTCTTGGAGGGCACTAGCTCGCACAGAGGGGAGGATCGCCGCCTCACCCATCCGGCGATACTGCTAGGCCTCACTCCAGACACCTCCGGCAGATGCTCCGTGCACCTACGGGCAACAGACCTGGGGCACCTCGGCTGGCTCCAGAGGTAAGTGTGTTCTGGGTTTGAGCATTAGGGTTATGGCTGGCTAGTGCGCATGTAATCAGGCTGGATAGGAAGATTGAGCTCGGAGCTCACGTGAGGCACGTCCAGCTGCCATGAAGCCCAGGTCCCGCCCCCCGGGACTTTTTAAATTTAACCATTCTTTGTTGGAAATTTGATCTTGGGTTAATTACCCTCTCAGGTAACTTTAAAGAATTTTTAAAAAAATGTTTATCTTTTATTGTTACAGATAAAAACCTGCCTGGGATCACATGTGGCTAATGCAGTACTTGGAGGAGTGGCACTTGCAATTTACATAATTCAGTTGGATACAGAGACACAGGCATGCTGGGTACCAGTGGACAAACAAAATTTTAACAAATGTATATCTCTGAGCAACTCACAAGAGTATTCTCGATATGATTATTATGATTATGAGGAACGTTATAGCCAAAATGCCAGCAAGTTGACTTTGGTAAGTTAATCACAGTTAAGTACAGATATAAAATGGTGAAGTATTTTAAATAATGAAGCTTTACAGTATTGGATGACAAAGAAAATGATAACCAATTGAATATTAAGTTATTAGAAAAAAAACTTGAAAATGTTAACTAGATAAGATAAATGTACTTTTTACATTTTCCAGAAGTGTCACATTTTTGGTGGAGAGGGGAAAATGCTTGCGGTATGCCTGCTACCAAAGAAGATCTGTATTCTATAGGTGTTTGGCATTCTTCATCAAGTCCCTAAAAATGTTAACAGCTACTTTACCACCTGTACATTGTGTTGCTCCTGTTATTTTATTGGAAGGTCCTCCACCATTATTGATTTCTTAGTTTCTGATTTAGCTTTGGATCCTGGCTTGTTTCCAAATCCTGGCTTGTATTTTTCTATGATTCTGTTCTTCTTGTTGACTGTTTACCTGTTGCCAGGTTTCAGGCACCATCTTTTTAGAGATGTCTGTGTTTTGTTAAGCCCAGGCACTCGCTTTCATTTAATTTTACTTCACTGCATACTATATTCTCTTAATCCTTACTTTTGTTGAAGCTGCCTGTCACATCTGTCTACAGTCTTGCAAAATCCACTTTAACCCCTTAAGGACACATGACATGTGTGACATGTCATGATTCCCTTTTATTCCAGAAGTTTGGTCCTTAAGGGGTTAAAGGAACACTATAGTCACCAGAACAATTATAGCTTAATGTAGTTGTTCTGCTGTGCATAGCATGTCCCTGCAGGCTTTTAATGTGAACACTGCCTGTTTACGTCACTGCCTAGGAACATCTCTAGTGGCAGTCATTCAGTCACTAGCGGTGCTTTCTGGATCAGTTCCTCTCAATTCCTATGATATGCCTTCCAATTCCAATGGAAAGTATTGAATTGGCTGAGAATATCAAAATTGTTGATCTCAGTCAAGGAGGTGAGTGGAGCAGAGCCATCTGCTACAAAACTGGCGCAGTGCTGAAAAAAAGGTGAGTTTTACACATTTTTAAAGTAAGGAGATGGGGCTGGTGACCTAAATGGTGTTTTTAAAACTATAGAGTCAGGAAAACATATTTGTATTCCTGGAGTCAGGAATACATGTTTGTATTCCTGACACTATAGTGTTACTTTAAACATGTTGCTTATGAAAGCAATGTAAAAAATACTTTTCAAATTACATATCTCCCATCTGAAATCAGCAAAGTGAAACGCCAAGTACCATAACCAGCTATACTCTTTGCACATATTACACCAAGCATCTCTCCTGCCATCAGCGTTCTCCATTCTGTTGTGTATAACTGCAGTGATTTGCTGTAGGCATCACATGTTATTTTAAGGAATACTCCAGGTCCCCCTTCTCACAGTATTTTTAGAGTGTGGCAGAGTCTGTGTCCTTTTCCTGCAGAGTGAACCATGATATAGCCATGTGTAAAACTCACCTTTTTTTCCCAGCGCCACTAGGGGAAGGGCAAGAACATTGCAAGGTGATTATAAGTCTATGCTGCTTATGATAGACTAGTAACACGACTCCCCCTTTGATCCATAGTCCAGCAAACATGACCAGATCAAGACGATTCAGCATGGGGATGTCTATGTATAGTTCACTTTAGGATTCAAATTTGATTTGCCAGGACAATCAGCACTATTGTTCTTATTGCCTGTCCGGTATTGCATTGACAGCCGCTAGAGGCGCTTCCGAGCTTCTCACTGTGATTTTCACAGTGAGAAGACGCCAGCATCCATAGGAAAGCATTACTCTATGGACTGAATGAATGCGCTCGCGCGGCATGAGCATTCAGCCGATGACTATGGAAGAAGGAGGAGAGCCCGGCGCTGGTGAAAGGTAAGAATTTAACCCCTTGGGCCATAAGGGTGGGGGGGCCTATTAACACTATAGTGCCAAGAAAAAGAGTTTGTTTTTCAATTGCACAGATTGATGGTTGCTAGATAATTACTGCTGGCTACTCTGTCCAGTAACTTGTCCACTCATTTTCTTTATTTTTTTTACATACAATTTTTATTGAGATTTTCCAAAATGTGCAGGTTAAACATTGAAAACATTTACATAAATCAAAATACAAATACATATTAGCTACTGTTTAAACTAAAATATTTTTTAAAAATGGGGAATTAAATTAACACACAAAATTATTAAAATAAAATTGAATTTGCATCCTGTTATTATGCTTCCTTCAATTAAACGTAACATTTCAGATACCATAAAAAAACAAATCTGTCCTGTTCCTTTGTGTTTAGCTGTTTCTGGTTCCAGAGTTTAATTTACGTGTATCTTGTTTTATTATATTTAATCCTATGAATTAATTCTGGATCTGATCCAATTTATGGAATTGTAATTATTTATAATACTAACTTCGGCCATCTCCCTATTAGTTCTTCCACCCCTTCCAAAACTATTCCCAAATGTTTTCAAATATTACTAACGTGTCGCTAGCCTGATGTGCCATAAATTCCATTTGACAAGTATATTGTAACATCTATCAAGATTTTTATATCTGTAACTCTTTAAATTTTCCAATTTCTGTCAAAAGTTTTTAATGTCAGAAAAAAGGATATTAATGTTTTATCATATAAGCGTATTGTAGAAGTGGATCTGAAAATGTACTTTAGATTCAGTCATGTCGTATAATATTCTCCATATCGGAGATAATTATTTACATTCCCAACATATATAAATTAATGATCCAATCTCCCCACATTGCCACCAGCATTTATTGGAAACGTTGGGATACATATGTAACAGTTGGACAGGAGTTAAATACCATCTTGTCAGGTTTTTCTAAGAAAGTTCCACATGATTAGTAGATCATTAAATATTAGCAGTAAAACACACTAAAGAATTCAATTCTTCCTCCTTAAAAGATTGGCCTTTCTCTTTTTCCCATCCTGTCCTATATGTAGGTATAGCTGAATATACTGATGCTATTATATTATGGTAACACATCTACAATGATTTCCATCTTTTTGGGGCCTGTTCCAGCATTTTTTTTTTTATTTTTTTTAAGAGTATCTAAATTCAAATCCAAAGATAAATTCAAAGTAGTAAGATAATGTTTTATTCCGAGGTGAATCTTTATGGGGAATATTGCATTTTTAGGTAAAGGGACACTATAGTCACCAGAACAAATTCAGCTTATTGTATTTCTTCTGATGAGTGAGTAGAATCATTCCCTTTAGGCGTTTTGCAGTAAACATAGTCTTTTCAGAGAAAATGTAGTGTTTACATTAAGGCCCAGGGATACCTCCAGTGGCCACTCCTCAGATGGCTGCTAGATGTGCTTCCTGGGGCAGTGCTGCACATTGCAATGCAATTCAGTGTCTCACTTGTACTTGAAATCCTGCAGGTAGGTCCCTTAGTGGTAGAAAGGGGCATAGCAGTGGTTATAGATGGACTTTCCTTATGTGTAAGGGGCTGCTGCTTTCTCTTAAACTACTTCTTAATCTTTCCCTTCACTGGGTCCTCAAAATACAGGCTAATTCAATGTGTCTGCTTCTATCAGGTCACCACAAGATACCAAAAATGCACAGGCCTCTTTAACATCACCACTGCATGCTTTGCAGCCACTCAAGGGCCTATAAGCTTGAGTCCATCCAGATTCCACTGTCAGTGCATCTTTAAAAAAAAGGCAAATTTGAGTGCCGCAGCTCTTTTAAAGAGAACTGTACTGAACCCCTGTAGGATTGACTGTTCCCTCACACAGCAGGTCACTATAGAAGTAGGAGAACATGTTCGTGTTAGTGTTCCTTTAATAGTATCCTCTCAAGAATCTTATGTTTAGCTTCACTAAATGGCCATCACAGCTCTAGTTTTCACCTTTAAGGGACACTCCAAACCCCTAAAGCAATTTAGATTGGTGAAATGCTTTGTGTGAAGAGTGTGTCCCCTACTCATTTTACAAAAAGTGCAGATTTCAATATAAATTGCCACTTTTGTAAATTCACCTGGTTACACCCCACTGGCATTCAAGCAGACACCAGGTCCTGTTACTTCCTGGTTTAATAATAGAGAAAATCCCAAAGATAAGGGTGTGTGGAAAGAGGAACGGAGTTCCATCTACCACAACAGCCCGAACTGAGGGTATGCCCACATTAAAGGGTATAGAATCCCTAGATGTACACAAGTGAAATAATACAAATGAAAATAAAAAATACTTTATTCGAAAAATGTATAGAGACTATTAAAAATATATATATGTATAGTATGTATGTTACAAGGGGTCCAGGGTGGGGGGATGTCCCATGATCTATAGGGCTATAGTGACACAATAGGAGGCAGCCGGGCAGGTACAATAAAGGATTACATATATGACACTGCTATACGCCAAAATATCACATCCTATTAGAGTTACTTAGATATAGCATATTACACAAGAGTCTTAGATAGACCAAAGTGTCTGGCACAAAATCTAGTCGAACTGCTATTGTGGGAATAACAACCAATGGACAGGTTGTAATACCCTGCAGTTTATAGCAAGCTTGTAACACCCGTTGTATAGGTAGAAAAAATGTCGGGTGAAGATGCTGGCTATACTAGTGAGGTAGATCTGGGATCAGAGGTATAACATATATAAATAGGGAGGAGTATGCAAAATTGTGAAGAAAATCCTCTAATATGTAAAGATACCCAGATACCTCAATTAATCTAGATAATAGTCAGCCCCATCGTTCAAACAATAATAAAGTGCTTGCAAGGGCAGCCAGAGTAGCGATATTGAGAGTATATTGCTAAGGCATTGTAGTGAAAAATGTTATCAACTCTTATAACTAGTTCTGTGTATCCTGCAATTGTATCCTGCAATTGATACTACAATGGAGAACAAATTGTAGTGTTGTACTAGTCTGAGCTGATTGTGAAACAAGCTCACAGCTCAAAAGGTCTATCCTGCCTCCTAAAAGAACGAGGGGAAAGGAAATCCCCCGGACGCCAGGCACATCACCCACGACTACCCGACCCTATGTAGTATAGTGATGCGGTGAAAAGAGAGAGAAAGATTAAACAAAAAATCGCCCAGACCTAAGAATTAAACTATAAATATCAAGATGTACAGAATATATCTAAATAGGCTGGGCTAAAAAGGTCCGTCTAAATTCTAAGTCCAACATCTAGGGTAACGTGAAAGTAACTAGGTAGGCTGGACTGTAAACTAAACTCTGAAAGAACAGAGTCTGCCTAGATCTCAGTCAAACGTAAGGTAGAGTAGAAGGTAAACTGACTAGGTAGGAACTTCTGACTAGCTCGTCTCAGTTAGACATTGGATAGAATAAAGAGTAACTGGCTAGGTCAGACTTCTGAAATTGATAAAACTAGACACTAGATCACTTGACCTTCACCCTAATATGAACTTGTCAAGTAGGGAACAAATGGCACTTAAGTCCCTGAAAAATAATACAGAGATCATCATAAAACCCGCGGATAAAGGTGGGAACATAGTCATGATGGATGTCACTGACTATGTCTCTATGGTTCTCAAAGTATTGGAAAATGTGAACACATACAAAATTTTAAAATCTGATCCCACGAATGACTTTCTTAAGAAATACAGGGAGATCTTGGATGGGGGCCGCAGTAGAGGGCTGCTATCAGGGGATGAATACGCATTCATCCTCAATTGCCACCCGAGGATAGCGACCTTCTACTGCCTGCCCAAAGTACACAAAAGTATGACTCTACCTCCTGGCCGCCCCATTGTCTCGGGCATAGAAAATCTGACACAGAATGGCAGTATATATATTGACAAAATCTTACGACCATTCGTCGAAAAACTTCCTTTTTTCCTTCAGGATACGAAACAGACCCTGGCCCTCTTAGCAACTCTGGAGGTACCCCCCTCCGCTAAACTATGTAGTTTAGACATTGAAGCCCTATATTCATCAATCCCTCACTCCAATGGCATTCGCCATATACGCTATTTCCTGGACCAACGAGGTACAGCATTCACAGCACATACCTCTTTTTGCTTGGAGCTTCTTGAATATATTCTCTCACACAATTATTTTACATTTAAAAATAAATATTATCACCAAATCAGGGGGACTGCGATGGGGACAGCTTGTACCCCATCGTATGCCAACCTCCACTTGGGCTGGTGGGAGGAACATCTTTTTCAACATCCAGAAATCTCTCAATATCTCCCCTTGATCTTTCTCTGGCGTCGCTACATCGATGATGTGCTTATAGTGTGGCTAGGGGATATGCAAGAGTTCAATAAGTTCGTTGGTATCCTCAATATTAATGATGAAAACCTCAGATTCACGAATGAATTCGGGGGTAACAGTTTGAATTTTTTGGATTTAACGATCTCCATAACAACTGAAAATAAAATACATACCACACTTTATCGTAAACCCTCGGCGACCAATAACCTTTTGAGATGGGACAGTTTTCATCCGATACCGCTCAAAATGGGGATCCCGACGGGTCAATACCTCAGGGTCCGGCGTAATTGCAGCACCATTGAGGAATTCAAGATAAAGGCTAAAGAACTAAGAGGCCACTTTAAAGCCAAAGGTTACCCTAATAGGTGCCTCAAACGCGCATATCAGAGAGCACTTGACTCTGACCGTAACGCCCTGCTGAGTGGGGACTGTCTTAAACCATCAGAGACTCCTAAGAATAACATACGCCTAATTGCTACCTACGATGCAGGATGGGAAAACGTTCAAAGTTCCCTTAGACGCTTCTGGCCATTGCTAACTAATGACCAACACCTTCAGGAAGTACTGGCTCCTAATGTTTCCATCACAGCTCGGAGAGGGAAAAACATACGAGATCTTCTAGCCCCAAGTAATTTTAAAACTGATACTTAATCTCCTTCAACATGGCTCCAGACCCGCCTGACTGGCACCTATAGATGCGGGAGATGTATTACATGCAAGTTCATGAAAAAAGACTCCAAAATAGTCAAAGACAGTATGGAGAAGGAGGCTTTCACTATAACCTCCTTCTTCAACTGTAATACCTCAGGGATTGTTTACTTACTTATATGTGAATGCAATAAAAAATATGTGGGCAAAACATTCCGTCCCTTTAAGAAACGAGTACAAGAACACATCAGGTCTAGTAAATATTCAGCGGAAACCCCTATATCTAGACATCTCCGCGAACACCACAATAGCGACCCTAGAGGGTTACGCTTCTGTGGCTTGGAACTGGTAAAAAAGAACCCTAGACGTGGTGACTATGATAGATTTCTCAGGCAAAGAAAATGCTTCTGGATCTATCGATTGAAGACCTTAAGCCCAAATGGTCTTAATGAGGGGTTCTCTTTTTCTCCCTTCTTATAGTGTTCATATACACTACATGTAATCCTGTCTCCTGTAAAGGTGTGTATTCCTTTAAATTGCTCAAACAATATTTTGATTTGATTTAGTCTTTATTTTAACTTCCAATTCCTATTGGTTTGATTTACACTGTAGACCTTTATACTTGTTTTGATTACGATTGGCACCTCTGAGGGATGTTTTGCCAAGGATACGGTTGTTAGCAGATATTGCCTTCTTTACATTAGCAATGGCATTTTCTATCTCTCATATGATGTCTCTTTTTCGAGACTCTTATTTTTTCCAAGGTTCTGCCTCTATGGTATGAATATTACTCTTTCAATCAAGACACAATATCCTGTATACTGACCCAAGTTTGATTAGGGTCTTTTTCCCAACCGGCACATCTGCCGGTCCGAGCACCCCTTGGCTCCTCCCTCTCCCGTGACATGGCCTTGCATGTTCAGCCATGACGTCACGGGAGGGGCGGGCACTAGTCTCCTTGCCGCTCTTGAAAAAGGCGCCACACAGCGCCGAAACGCGCGTCGAGTTAGTCAGAAGTCTGACCTAGCCAGTTACTCTTTATTCTATCCAATGTCTAACTGAGACGAGCTAGTCAGAAGTTCCTACCTAGTCAGTTTACCTTCTACTCTACCTTACGTTTGACTGAGATCTAGGCAGACTCTGTTCTTTCAGAGTTTAGTTTACAGTCCAGCCTACCTAGTTACTTTCACGTTACCCTAGATGTTGGACTTAGAATTTAGACGGACCTTTTTAGCCCAGCCTATTTAGATATATTCTGTACATCTTGATATTTATAGTTTAATTCTTAGGTCTGGGCGATTTTTTGTTTAATCTTTCTCTCTCTTTTCACCGCATCACTATACTACATAGGGTCGGGTAGTCGTGGGTGATGTGCCTGGCGTCCGGGGGATTTCCTTTCCCCTCGTTCTTTTAGGAGGCAGGATAGACCTTTTGAGCTGTGAGCTTGTTTCACAATCAGCTCAGACTAGTACAACACTACAATTTGTTCTCCATTGTAGTATCAATTGCAGGATACAATTGCAGGATACACAGAACTAGTTATAAGAGTTGATAACATTTTTCACTACAATGCCTTAGCAATATACTCTCAATATCGCTACTCTGGCTGCCCTTGCAAGCACTTTATTATTGTTTGAACGATGGGGCTGACTATTATCTAGATTAATTGAGGTATCTGGGTATCTTTACATATTAGAGGATTTTCTTCGCAATTTTGCATACTCCTCCCTATTTATATATGTTATACCTCTGATCCCAGATCTACCTCACTAGTATAGCCAGCATCTTCACCCGACATTTTTTCTACCTATACAACGGGTGTTACAAGCTTGCTATAAACTGCAGGGTATTACAACCTGTCCATTGGTTGTTATTCCCACAATAGCAGTTCGACTAGATTTTGTGCCAGACACTTTGGTCTATCTAAGACTCTTGTGTAATATGCTATATCTAAGTAACTCTAATAGGATGTGATATTTTGGCGTATAGCAGTGTCATATATGTAATCCTTTATTGTACCTGCCCGGCTGCCTCCTATTGTGTCACTATAGCCCTATAGATCATGGGACATCCCCCCACCCTGGACCCCTTGTAACATACATACTATACATATATATATTTTTAATAGTCTCTATACATTTTTCGAATAAAGTATTTTTTATTTTCATTTGTATTATTTCACTTGTGTACATCTAGGGATTCTATACCCTTTAATGTGGGCATACCCTCAGTTCGGGCTGTTGTGGTAGATGGAACTCCGTTCCTCTTTCCACACACCCTTATCTTTGGGATTTTCTCTATTATCATTTTTGTGGGGTTAGGCCCTTTTGTCTTGCCCATTTGGTCCTCATTTGGCTTTATGACTGGATGGTCTCCAGTCCTATAGTCACCTTCTTCTTTTACTTCCTGGTTTAGTTTGCTCAGAGCACTTGCCTTGCAAAGACTTCCCATTGAGCTACATTGGGAAGTCTGTGATTGGTCAGGCACAGAAAGTCTGAGTGGGGTTAGAATGGGAGGACTTGCCAAGGCAGCAGACAAAAGATCTGCAGCATTTGCAAGCTGTTTTTATCTATACATCAAATAAAAAAAGCATAATTAAATACTTGTAATGAGGTATATCTACTGAACAGTGATTTTTTAAAAATGTATTTTGTAATAGGGCATTGGAGTGCCCCTTTAACTCCTTCTGACCGCGGACGTGCCAGGTACGTCCGACAAAAAACGGTAGTTAACGACTTAGGACGTACCTGGTACGTCCGTGGCAAATAGGAGCCCTGGACTTACCTGGACCGGCGATCCCGGTTGGGAGGGGACTGCCCGAGATCCCAGCAGTCCCTCTGCAGCAGCTTCGGCCACCCCGGCCGCAATAGGAATCTATGGAGCTGCCTGCAGGGGGACTGTCAGGCAGTCCCCCTGACTCCTAAAAGTGTGGGGAATAATAATAATAAAATAAATATATCATACATATATTATATATGTATAATATATCATAAAATAATGAAAGCATTTTATATTCTATTATACATATATAATGCATATATATGATTTCATTATAAGTGTACTTTGAGATATATACACATATATATCAAATTACACTTATAATGTAATCATATATATGTATAATATATTATAAAATGCTTTCATTATTTTATAATATATTATACATATATAGGAAATAAAATTGTGTGTGTGTGTACAATATATATATTTATATAATATTTACTCACACACACATTCTACATATATATTTAACTTTTAACTACATATTTATTTTATTTATTAATTAATTAATTATAATTTGAGGGACCTGCCTGACATAAGTAGTAAATAAATGGTATAATGATATTAATTTCACAAGAGGAGCAATTCACCAGAACCCCGTAGGTTTACCTTTAGGGCTAAAAAGAGCTGCAACATGTATCCAACTAATCCAACAAAAATATAATTGAATTTAAATTAAGGAGACCGCTCTACAGGTGATTTATAGTCAGAAAGTAGTTAATAATAACAAGCAACACGCTTCATTTTATCTACAAAAATGCATATGGCCTTGACAAAGCCACATTACGTTTAATTCTGACAGATCCTACTTAATTGTTTTTATAAATATGATTGTAGTGAAAAGCAGTAGTGACAACCTATGATTACAGATTTTTTCTTTACAACTGCTACACATAAAATTCTGAATGATATTGAGAAAATTATAACATAGCTTTCTTTTTCTTTACTCATCTTCCAGATCCTGAGAATATCCGTTATTTCAGTGATTCTAATCCTATCTGTTCTTGGATTAATAATTTCCGTGTGCATCATGGTTTTTGGATGGAAAGTGCTGAAAACTGCTGGATATTCCTTGCTGGTACTATCTTTGCCTATTTGAGTTGTACACATTGATTTACTTTAAAAACGTATAGTTTGAAATTAGTTATAAATGTCTTTTTTTTTAAATAGAGTACTGCATTAATGATCACAGTGCAAAATGAATTGTGGATTACAGCTTAGTTAATTACTAATTAGGTTGTAGGGTTAACGAGATATATGGTTAGGGCAGGGCCGATCCTGGGCAGTTGCATGCGATGCACAATGCCCAGGCGCTCTGTAGATATAGACAAACCGGTGGGGAGTGCAGCCGCAACCTCGCATTGGTCTACATTCCTTTTGTTAAAATCTGTACTCTTGTGCTCAGCACTGGGCGGAAGAGCTGGAAGGCAAAGATTATGATCTCCTGGCATTAGGATGGTGCTGAAAAGTTATTTGAGGACAGCATGACACTGGTAAGCTGTTTGGAAAGGGAAATGGCACTGATTAGCCCTTTGGGACAAAGATGGCATTGATAAGCTATTTGGGCACAAGGATGGCAGTGATAAGCCATTTTGTTACACAAAGATGGCACTGATGAGCTATAATGGGACATAGATGGCATTGATAAGCTATTTTGGGACAATGATGGCATTGATAAGCTATTTGGGCACAAATATGGCATAAATTAGCTATTTTGAGACCGATGTCACTGAGAAGCTGTATTGAGACAAATGGCATTGATAGGCTTTTGGGGGGCAAAGCTTGCACTGTAGGAAGAGGGTGACATGTACCTGATAAAGTTTGGGGGGCCAAAGAGGTGGAGTGGTTTCCATAGAAAATGGGTATTGTGACGGACTGCCTGGTACCCCGGCTGGGTACCTCCTCCAAGCACGCTTCCTAGCTCTAACTGGAACACGCTTCACCCCCAAGTCGCCGCAGCTTGACTGGGGTCCATATGGAGTTAGCCACCCTGGGGAGGAAGAATGAAACTCACCTGTCCTGGTGGTACATACTGTCACTGGGGAGGGAGACTTCCCCTTTCCTCTCCTTGTAATACATATGGTTGCTGGGGAGGGACACCGGCTGTCTCCTCTCCCTGTAACATACACTGCCGCTGGTTAGAGAGACCTGCTGTCTCCTCTCCTGGTGGCTCTATTCCAAGCGTTGGTGACTGAACATAGTCAAAGAACATTCGTACTCCTCCGTAGCATGTCCACTCTGTATTTTTGGATGTCCCATAACTGACTTTGCTGTCAAAGTCACTGTCCTCCTCCAGGGACTCCCACAGCAGGCCTGTACCATTTTAGTCAACACCCTCTGACCTTTAACCATCTAAGGGCACCGCTTGACCGTATACTACGTAGCGCCCAGTATGCCTCATCCAGCCATACTTCCTACCTGACCAGTCACTGGAGTTCCATTACCCACTCCTCCAGGGGTTGCTCTACAAAAAACAGCATCCGCAGCGCCACTTGCTTCTACCTGCGCTGATCCCAGCTGGGAAGGCTCACTCTCCGCCTAACTTGAGTTTCCACTATGGCCTCGTGCCAGAGATCTCTCTGTATGCCATCTCTCCAGGCCAGCTCCTCCTCCGCTGAGATAGGGCCATACTCCTAGGATTATGTATCCTGCAGTCTCCAATGGAACTCCTCCTTGTATGGGGGCGCTGGCTGGGGGCTAGCTTGCTCCATCCTGACAAATTCCTGCAGGTATAAAGGTATCTCAGATGGGTCCCCAATCGCTAGGAAGCCATATCACAGCTGCCACCAGATGTGACGGACCACCTGGTAACCCGGCTGTGTACTTCTGCCAAGCACGCTTCCTAGACCAGTATCTATCCAGAATTTTCCACCCTGGAACAGGGTCCTGTGTCGCAGCTCCAAGTGATTAAGCTCTCCTGCAGAAAGTGTAGCTGTCTCACCCAAGCACTAGCCAAAACTTGGTGAAGGGTGAAGTAGAATGAAGTTATTACATCAAGGCACACTAAATTTATACACAGACACCCAGCATGGGGTGTCCATTGATTGTAACAGAGGGCCACCCAGGCTCCTCTGTGTCTGGAAGATAATTGAGTCAGATATCGGTTAAGCTAATTATTTCCTGGACACAGAGAGAGCAACACCAAAACATACATAAAAATAAGTGAGCACCGCCATATGCCATACAACCCCGGGTAGCTTGTCCCCAAGCTCCCCATCTGTCCAAATAGTGCAGTTTTAGCGGGCTGCGGCAGCTCTCTAATGCGGTGCAGAGTTCCATGGCGCTGGGGTGAAAGTCCTAATCACCCAAAACAGCGGCGATTCCTTAGGTTCTTCAGGCTCCCCCAAGTTCAGGGTATCATTGGATGCCTCATCACCTCCTCTATCTTCCCTCCAAAAAGCGCCCTGCCCATGGGGGGTCCCTAAGTCCCCCGTTTAGTTGAATAGCCCCCACTCGAGGTGCACTGGGGGTAGGGTGGGCTGGGGCAGGACACTAACCTAAACTCCCACACAATTGTAGTCTAACAGAAATGCCTGGCATTGTGGGTTTTTAGACAGAACCATTGCACATATTCTGTTGTCATCTTCCAATGAAGGTTGAATTCTAGGGAGTTACTATAGCCACCAAAAGCTATGTGGTTGCTATGTCTGGACAACTGGAGGACCTTCTGTGGGAGGTCTTATCTGCTTTCCCTTGCTAGTCAAATCGTCAGCATAGAGTCGAAGATTTGTCAGAGAAGTTTGAGCAAAAAATGAGTGAACTTACCACAGGACCACCAGGTCTTGCAGACAATGTTCGTTCTCCCGGGCAAAAGGTAACATTTATTAATTTATTTTTTAAATATTAACGAAAAAAAAAAAGACCTATTTGACCCCCCCATACACACAATTTAGGACTCCCAGCAGTTACAAACATTGCACCCCACACACACACACTGGACCCCTCACACACACACACACACACTGGACCCCTCACACACACACACACACACTGGACCCCTGATACACACACATCGCAACCCTCACGCACACATACACACACTGCATCCTTCACAAACACACACAGTGCACCCCTCACAAACACACACTGCACCCTCACACACACAATGCACACCTCATACATTATGTACCCCTCAAACATGTACACTGCACTACACCCCTGACAAACACACTCTGGGTCCACTAAGAACACAATAGATTCACTGTATACAAACAGCCCCTACACACACTACATCACCTATACACAAATACACTTCATCTCTATACACACTATGCCCTCTATGCATACACTATCTTACTTTCTATAGCCCATCACCACACAGCTGAAACTGACCTGTTTAAACAAAACCCCACTTCACAATCAGCTCACTCTACACACACAAAATCCATGTGTGTCTCTTAACCCCTTTACCCATGGTCTGTCTTTTAACCCCCTTTACCCTTGTGTGTCTCTTAAAGTGGCACTGTCTCTTTATTTTCTTCCAGTTTTCCTTTGCTATGACCTTTCTATAATACTCCCTTTTTGTCACTTGCCTTTATTTATATTTATATCCGTTGTGTCGCGTGTCACACCAAGGGTGCATAATTCATTGTTGCACAATATAATATTGCCATTTAATGTAATTTGTGTAGTGCATATCTGAATTGGCAACTTGGTAGAGATCAGATGACATGTCTGAGACTTGTATAAAGTACCCCACAAACGTGTGGCGACTATTGTCTAAACTGTGCGTGGTAGCTGTAGTTTTAAGACAATAAGTTGGGTACAGAGTGCCCAGTAGTATGTGGGAGTCCCAGCCAGGTATTTGCCAACACTTGTCTCAGATATGTCGCAATTTGATTAAAAAAAATTGTAGTGGGGATTGATGTCTAAACTGTGCGTGGTAGCTTTAGTTAAAGACAAAAAGTCGGGTAAAGAGTGCCTACTTGTATCTGGGTGTCGCAGCAAGGTGTAAAATTAATAGTGGGGGATTATTGTCTAAACTGTGCGTCATAGCTGTAGCTAAAGACAATGAATGCCCATTTATTAGTAGAAAATGAGAGAAGTCTCAGCAAGTTGAGCTGAATAAAACTGGTGAGAGTCATCAGTCACTCTGCCACCCCCTCCCTTACTGTGTCACCCCCTCGTCAGTCACTCTACCACCTGTCACCCCCTCCCTCTATCACTCTGCCACCCCCTCCTTCTCTGTCACTCTGCCATCTGTCACCCACTCTGTCACCTGTGTTACCCCTCAGTCACTCTGCCACCTGTCACCCACTCCCTCACTGTCACCCCCTCCCTTAGTCATTCTGCCACCTGTCACCCCCTCCCTCCCTCAGTCACTCTGCCACCTGTCACTCCCTCCCTCACTGTGTCACCCCCTCCCTCCTGCATCTACCATATACACACACACTGCATCCACTATACACACACACTGCATCCATTACAAAATACACACACGTTGCATCCACTATACAGACACACCATGCATCCACTACACAGACACTGCATTCACTACACAAACTGCATAACATAATGGATGTGGGTGGTTTTGTTGAGGATTGGGGGGGGGAGGGGGTAGCATTTCATCCTTTGATCCAGGCAGCACAATGCCTTGGGCCGTCCCTGCCGCCAGCATTAAGATGGCCACCAGCATTGAATCTGAGACCTGGCCCCATGTAGAGAAACGCGTTAAGAGGTACTTTGACCAACTATGGGCCAAGATCTGGGCTGTAAACAATGCGCGGATGCAGAGGTAAATGGTTCCGTACATACCTAGTCTGTCCCCTGCAAGGCAAGCCACTGGATTATGGCCTGCACTGACCTGAAATACCACGACACTGCCAACAATCTGGACAAGAGGGCAGGTGCAGAAAGATCCTCGACTCCAAAGACACTGCTCCAAGATCTACCATCACTCTACTAGACCTCAGTCCAAATGGGACTGACGTATCCCCAGGCATGGCTCACACCCTCAGGTACATTGGACACAGTGACGATACCAGCTACATGTGAGAAAATTAAGAGAACCCGTCCAGACTACGAGGAGCAATCGGACCAGTGAGAAACAAGTGCCAGACTGTTTCAGAGTCTGGGACTGGTGGGGTAGCTTTATGGAGGCCCTGTGTCTCGTTCTACACCTGGGCAGGCTGCATGGGTCGTGGGCATAGGCTAAACACCCCTCTTAATATAGGGACTGGGCCCCTACCCTGTTTAGGCCTCAAAGCCCCTACAGAGCAGTGTATCGTTCCCTGCACCTTTGCTCAACCTCTTTGAATTTTATGTTTTATTGTTTTTTTTATTTATTTTACTCTTTAAAAAAACAACACAACAATTCAAAATGTACAGACTTTCAGCTGTTTGCAATGAACAAAGGAAACAAAAGCAATTGAAATAGCTCAACACAACATATGCTTCAAGTGTTTTCCCCAAATCTAACTGAAAATGCAACTTATAATTGTGGTTGAATAGTTTTAATTACAACTTTATGTAACTAAAATTGCATAGTATGTCTGAAGTAGATTTTAACACATTTCTTAGATGACAGTTCCCCTATAATGACAATATTTGAAATTAAAATATAGAATATATAAGATAACGCTGTATGTAATGTCTTTTTTTTTTTTATCTTACATTTTTTTCTCTAGAAATGAATGTGAATTGTGATGCCCAGAAGAAGACAGCCATTTGCTAAGTACTGTGGACACAAGACCGTGAAAAATATGTATATAAATGATCTACTCAAGGCCATTTATATATCTTACAGTAATGTTACTTATGTATCACTATGTTATATAGTCTCTTACTTGTGTCTCCTTAAATGACTGCAATATAAAACTTTATAAATTTCTATATCACACTGCTTATATTACAAATCACCCACTCTTAAAATTGTTGAAATGCACTTTATTTTATTATTTTTGTATCAATACTAACAATACATGGATGCTGTAACAATTACATTCTAGCTTGTTTGGCTGGTGTGTGTTTTTTTTTTTTTTTTTTTTAGTGAGTTGGTGGTAATAAATGCTTATAATTGAGTACTTTGTTGTGTTTATTATTGGTTACAAGTTTCAATATATACATAAGGTAGGAGAACCACTGCTACGTTTAAGGTTGCTGGAGTTGCAAATTGAGACTTAAAGTATCTCTGCAACCTCTATGAGCATGACCTGCGCAGCAAGATGGACAAGTCACAAAGATATGCGCATACCTAGAAGATGCAAACCGTTTCCCATGATACTTTGACAGCTGGTGTGTGTTAATGTGGTCAATCACGATTTATCCCAGTGGAGTAAACCTGGCCTTTAGAGCAGACATCCCAATGCATCGCCTTCACTTTAATACGCTGAAGAATGGCGTGGCCGCGTGGGGCTGCCACTCACAATCGCTGTGTGCAAATAATCCAGGAGACAATATGTTTGTTTTTTTCCATCTGAAGTGGTAGAGTGAAAGTTACAAATTATCAATATATCAGGGAAAAATAAATATGGAAATACAAGAGTTCATATAAGTTGAGCTTTGTGTGCTTTATAAATGCATACATTGATAAACTGGTGGCAGAGACAAAGCCATTAATGGTTGTAAGACAGATTAATTCAACATTTTTTTACAGCTCACATTTAACTTCTTAGGTGGTAGACGACTCGACTTTTGTAAGACTCTGACCCAAATAAAATCTTTAGATATAAACAGAGCTTATATGAACACTGGGAGTGGGCAAAAACTTAGTAGCTTGTCCTTTTAGCTGACTTGTATCATTACAGAAGTAACCTACATTCATCATTTATACGAGTGAACCCACCAACAGGGGTGATCCAGATCTGAAATGCCAGCAAACTCCCTGCACACAATATTCCTAGCACCTTAGTTGACCATTTTGGGCCCATAAGCATTGTCAGTGAAATGTTGCTGATACCCTTCTAGACACCGTAAACAAAGAGTCCCAATCTAAATCACACTTTCAACGTAGGGAGACTATACTCATATACAAATAGGCCAAAAAATAGTTTATGAGAATACTGAAAATAGGCAAACACTTGAGAGCTTGGCCTTCAACTAGTCCTAACTCAAATCTCATCCAGACTTTAGCTCGCTGGTGTCGGTCAAATTTCATATTGATCTGACCATAAGGGCAGTCCACAGCTAAAAATGCTGGCATGTTCCCACTGCACAAGAGATGTTTCAAACCCAGTTGTTTGGGCCTTTTTGTGTCCTGTCTGTGAGTTGTAGCTAATGCATCTTAAGGGACATTGAACAGGGGGTTCACATCTTCATTACTCGTTTACCGCCTTAACACTGGGACTGGTTTATACAAGATTTCCAAGGTATCCATATATATACACATCTATGCACATATACACATATATCATTTATAAAATCGTATACACAATTGACATTTGCAATTAAATTAATTTATTGCAAAACATTTTGTTTGCAAATTCTGCTCTCTCACGTATCCACTCTGCATGTGGTAATTTGTATATTACTCATTTTCTGGTCCTCTACCAGAGGCCACTGTGAGAGTATTATAAGAATATGTGGAAAAAAAATATTTTACATGTTCAGAAACTTTAGTTACAATACTATTTTCTTATGTGTAACTTCATTATTTAGTAAATAATTAGCTTTTTAATTTTACTGTCCTATAAAAATATTCATTATTGTCTCCATTAAATTATGAGCTTCCTAAGCATACTGAAACAAAAAAATATATATATTTAAAAATTGCTTTCCAGGACACCCAAAATACTTAGATTCTGAAGGTATTTTTTATTGCAAACCACTTGGTAGTGACACGGTGGTGAAATAAGGAGGAGACATAAACGGACGCCGAGGAGGCGCCCCCAGAAAATATTGACTGATACCAAGCCCTCACTATAGGGCGAAACGCGTTTTGGAACAGACCGTAAATACAGGATTTTTATCACTATTTCTATTGGAATTTTCCTACATTGCTATTTGCACCTTTTACCAATAAAGTTCTTTCTTCTTGGAATAATATACTTGAACATCGCATCTTTACCAACCAATTACCCCGCCCATATAAGGTGCAACATGAAGAAGGATGGGGACATCCTATTAAGAGTCCCGCTACGTTTCCCATGAGAGCCATATGCTAATTTGGCTCTGGGCATGTGAGTACTATTGCTCTATTGCTTCTATTATACATTTTAACTATACAGTATTATACTATGTCACTCTGTTTTATTTTCTAGAACCATCAGATGTGTGTTCCACCAATTGTATGTATCTATAAATACTTGGTAGTGACGTTGCTAATTTAGGTAGACATGCCGATAAGCCAAAAAAACTGTTTATGATTAAATACTGAAGGCAAGGAAAAAAAAATACTATATTCTTTTGTTTGTGCCCACTCTTTTCTAACGTGTGCCAGTACAAAGAGAACATATGCCAGTCACATATCATAGTTTTCCAACCACAAAGGCAATCTAGATCCAACATGCTGGAAATGACGAAGTTTTAGCAGTTTGCTGATCTGAAGCAATGATCTTAGAAAAGCAATTATTACTGCCCATCAAACTGGAAATGGTTAAAAGGGCATTTCTAAACATCATTCTACAGCGAGAAATATTTAAAATTATTAAAAAGTGGAACACATTCAAGACCGTTGCTAATATTCACAGTAGTGGATGTCCCAGCAAATTCTTCCCAAGGTGAGACCGTGCAATAGTCAGAGAAATTGCAAAAAACTCTGACTCTATTGATCTCAGTTGGCCTGTTAAATGTAAATGTTCATGACAGTACAATTAGAAAAAGACTGAACACGTATGGTTTGTTTGAAAGGGTTGCCAGGAGAAAGCCTCTTCTCTCTAAAAAGGACATGGAAGCACGGCTTAGGTTTGCAAAGTTGCATCTGAACAAACCACAAGACCAAAGTAGAGATTTTGGCCATAATACACAGCGCCACATTTGGCAAAAAACAAACACAGCATATCAGCACAAGCACCTCATACCAACTGTTAAGCATTGTAGTGGAGGGGTGATTTGGGTTTGTTTTGCAGCCACAGGACCTGGGAACCTTGCAGTCATTGAGTTGACCATTCATCTGTATACCCCGAATATTCTAGAGTTAAATGTGAGGCAATCTGTTTGACAGCTAAACTTTGGCTGAAATTGAGTCATTCAACAGGACAATGGCAAATCTAAAACAGAATGGCTAAAAAAAAAAAAAAAAAGAATCAAGGTGTTGCAATGGCCCTGTGAAAGTCTAGACCTTAACCCAATTGAAATACGGAGATAGGAACTTAAAACTGTCACAGTTTGTGGACTATGTCAAATTTGCATAGTTCCGCCACAGTGACATAGTCGTTGTGGGTACAGTGCACGGGGGGAGGTAAAGGTGAGATTTACTACTTTCTTTAACCTGTCCCTCCCAGACATGGCCATCTAGATCAGACAGGTCCTCTTCAGAGCCAATGTCACTGCTGTACATCATTGAGTTCTTTTGAGGATCCCACAAGACCATGGGATACTCCACAGATACAGCCAATTCGCTGCAGCCATCATGGCTGTCGAGATTGATTTTTAGATTCTGCAGCAGTGAAAGCTGCAGGGAATTGGCTGTGTCTATGGAGGATCCCCCAGTCTCGCAGGATCCTAAATAGACCTCAGTGCTGTACTCCTGAGCATGAGCTGATGCACCAGGAGTTGAAGAGAAGCAGATCAAGAAAGATGGCGGCATCCAGGAGGGACAGGTTCAGGTAAATGACCCCCCTAGCCACCAGATCTCCAGAGTCTGTGTCAAAGTTCCTAGACGATAACAGTGTCACTTTAAGTTAAAGTTGTTTTGATACTTGCAAACACACCAGTTATGTATAACAACTTCTCTTCACTTGCTCAAATCCCACACTGCATGCTTTTTAACCCTTCACCACTCCACTCGCTACTATTAAATCTTTACTTCTAATCTCTTTATCTATAATACAGATTCCTTATTCCCCTAGTAATGTTCTCCCTTTTATTTTTTACCTTTACCTGCACTTCTATCATTGCTAAAATATTTAATCTTTCTGCTTACCTACTCCTGCTGACACCATCTTTATTTCTGCTGCTTTACCTCGCCCCCATTCATCACATAACCTTACTCATACATATCAACCTTTTATCTACCAACTCCTTTTGAAGCCCCAAAATAAAAGCTTTTTTTTGACACAAACATTTAAATCTTATCCCATCTTCTCTTCCTTTCTGTCCTCCTGGCAGCTTTTGATGTCTCTCTATACCTCTCCACTAACCTACCTTTTGCTAACACCAGAAACAATATCAATCTTATACCAATCCCATAACTCTTCCTTAAAGTCGACTTTTATCACTGCTCCTTTCTCTCAACCACACTTGGACTGTGCCTTTTCTATTCTTCAGGCCTTCTTCCCTGCTACTGAACAGGAGGTTGCTGCGCTCCTCCTTACCTCTTGCCCCACCACTTGTTCACTTGATCCCATCTTACCTTATCAGATCTCTCTCCCCTTGTCTTGTGCCATCCTTAACACATATCTTCAATTGCTCTTTTTACTCTGGCATTGTTCCCAGTCCCCTTTAAACCTGCTATTGTCATAGCAGTCTTAAAAAACAATCTCCTGGGGGCGTGGTCTGAATGCTGACTTGACTAGCCACCTGATCTAAGAGCTCCTGCTTAATCCACTTTCAATTGAGCACTTGCCTTTAGCATTGAACCTCATAAACAACCTCAAATGCAGCAGACCATGTCCAGTACAGGATCAGGAGCAAAGCAGCCTCGCAAGAAGAGGGGAGAGTGGAAGGAACCCACTATCTCTGTAGCGGACCTGTTTGCTGCCTCGCGCCCCGCGAGAATGTCACAAGATGGGCGCCGGGCTAGTCCACGCACTTCCCTCTCGACGGCCTCGACCGCAGACAGTGAAACCCAAGAGGGCCAGCAGGGTGACACACACCAAATACTGGCCAAGCTTACAGAAAGTAAATGACCTAGAGATCCTGGCTGAGGACTTAGCGAACAGATCCTGGCACAACAAGCTCCGGGTACGATGCCTGGCTGAAAACCAAAACGAAGGAACTCTAATAGCTAAGATGGAGCACTACTTCAAAAACCTCCTGCCTGATATCCCGGAGGACAAGTGGGTAATAGACAGAGCCACAGGACACTGCGCTCCCAAAGAGCTGGAGGCTCAGGTCGACCAAGGAAGCAATACTAAAGTACAGCAGAGAGCACGAACCCAGCTACCAAGATGCCACTATAACGTTATACCAGGACCTCTCACCGGTTACACTACAGTGACGACAAAAATGGAAACCCATGGCAGACCTCCTACGGAGACATGAAGTGCGCTACACCTCAAATTAGTGGCATTCAGGGTGGGAAAGGCCCATGCACTGCTCCCGGAGCCAGACCCGGCATGAAGTGCCCAACAGGGGAATTGAACTTGTGAACTTTGTGATCTTTGCGACCCATTTTTTGCTCTCCATTAGTTTAAAGGGTAATCCAGATGTGGACCCCTTGCTCACGGTGCCTTGAGAGATATCAGCTATGCCTCACTGACAATGCCTAACAAGGCTGTGCTGTGTCTCTCGTGCAGAGAGAACTTGCTGGCATTTCGGATCTGGACTGCCCGTATGAGTGGGACCAGTCTGATATGCTTCAGATATGTTCTCTCTGTAATGGCACAAGATGAGCTAAAACCAGCTTGAGTTCTGAGCGGGGACCCACCGAAGGGCAGGCTATTTTAGCTGCTGTCCGTTCTCAGAATACTCTTGCGACCCATTTATTATCTGGTCACCTTGGACTGTGTCTATTTGCAAGGGTGAGCAACATATCTGCTCAACAGACTCCCATCTCTGGTAACACCCTGACAGCGGGGGGCTGACCTGGTGTGGTACATGACAAAATCCGCAACGCCTTCTCTGGCGCTCTCTTTAGATGCAGAGAAGGTGTTCGACCGAGTACAATGGCCATTCTTATTTAGACTGCTACAATACCTACAATTCCCAACTCCTTTCATAACTGCACCCATAGCTTTATACCTCTGAGCCGACTTCAAATGGTCTAAATTAAACTCTATCAGATTGATCAGTATTGCTTCAGACCTAAAAAGGGAGGAAAACTCTTGAAAGCTTGTCTTTGAAAAATTATGTGGCATATGGGGATAAGATTATTTATTTTTATTTTTTTGTAGAGATTATGTTAAAAGTCTGAAGCTGAAAACAAGTTACTTGGGTTGGGCTTCTCATATTTTTTTTGTTTGTTAAACTTATATACATATATACGTTTTCTGCTTACTATCTCTAGAAATCAGTGATATACCAAAAAAAGAATTAAGAGCTGTTAAAACAGCATCCTTTGCGGTCTGATAGTGAAATCTGTACCAAAGTGTTTTTTTAAACTCCAAGACTGACTCAAAATCCTTCTCATGGTTAAGATCTAAGTGCTTTATAAAACATCCTTTGCAGTCAGGTAATGAGATCTGTTTTAAAGTGTGATAATATTTTTTCTCTAAGACTGACTCAAACTCCTGCTTACATTATGTTCTTTGTAAGAGCTTTATAAGAAACAGCATCCATTGCAGTCAGGTAGTAAAATCTGATTTTTTTTTCAGGTTAGATAAGTGTTTTGTTTATTTTACCAACCAACAACCATGAATTTGGACTTCTGGTTAAAACAATGAACTATCAAGAAACAAATCATTACTACTTCTAACTGGTCGTCACTTATAGAAACTGAGAAAAAAAATACAATAAGAAACCAAGAAAACAGGTCCGAAATAGTTGAATCTACTGTTCCTCAAATAGCAGAGACAAGTCAAAGATAAAAAGAAAAGCACATGATGCTACCCAATATTCTTCTCAAACAAAGAAAATATAATGACAGCTACTTATCATTTGGATTCGCAAGTGCCAGAAATAAAAAAATTTCTTAAACATTGCCAAACAGTTCGTTAGCACCTGCTAAATTACATTGTCATTTTCAGCAAAACCACGCAGAGTACAAAGATAAAGACATTGCCTTTTTTAAGCAAAAGCTTCAGGAGTATCATAAGACTAAACAGTTAAAGGACCACTATAGTGCCAGGAAAACATACTCGTTTTCCAGGCACTATAGTGCCCTGAGGGTGCCCCCACCCTCAGGGACCCCCTCCCGCCCGGCTCTGGAAAGGGGAAAGGGTTAAAAACTTACCTTTTTCCAGCGCTGGGCGGGGAGCTCTCCTCCTCCGTTCCTCCTGCTGGGCTGAATGCGCATGCGCGGCAAGAGCTGCGCGCGCATTCAGCCCGTCGCATAGGAAAGCATTTACAATGCTTTCCTATGGACGCTTGCGTGCTCTCACTGTGAAAATCACAGTGAGAAGCACGCAAGCGCCTCTAGCGGCTGTCAATGAGACAGCCACTAGAAATTAGGGGAAGGCTTAACCCATTCATAAACATAGCAGTTTCTCTGAAACTGCTATGTTTATAAAAAAATGGGTTAACCCTAGAAGGACCTGGCACCCAGACCACTTCATTAAGCTGAAGTGGTCTGGGTGCCTAGAGTGGTCCTTTAATGAGCAAAATATTAAAAAATTATAAAAAAGCCACTTATTAAAAGGTTTGTGCTACGGCGCAATTTTTTTTCCCAGGGGTTCCACGATGTTGGTATACTATGTCAAAGGGTTCCACTGGAATAATTAATTGGAATCCCTGGTGTACGCTGACGCTTTCAGCCTACCACTGGCCACCTTACAAAAACTTCCTCATTTTGTGGCGGATGGGAAGAAGGCTATAGCCAGAGGGTCAATATTGGCATTAAACCGTAAAAAAAAAAAATCAAAGTATGAAAAGTCTCCATACAACGCAATTTGAGAATATGGCATGCCCTCTTAATGGCTGCGTACCCTCCCCCATGCCATTAAAAAAATAAATAAATAAATGCTCATGTCCATGGCATTCTGAACAAGCACTACATTCCAGGCACTGACATCACTCCCTGCAAAAATAATACAAATGCAAATAAAATAAAAAATAAATTGGAGGATTAAAAGCAAACAAAAAAATTTACATAACTGATACTTAGAAGGCAAGTTACTTAAAAACAATAAAATTCGATTTAAAAAAAAAAAAAAAAGAAAGAAATACAATCACATACTAAACTATCAGCCTTGAGATGCTATGTCACAGTAAAAAAAAATGCGATATTATAAGTGAGGAGCAAATCCCGCGCATGCGCAGCAGTTGTGCGTCTCATCCGGCGCACGCGCATTAGGTGCGTGTCATCCTGCGCACGCGCCCTTGCATGGTACGCGCTTCCTATCTTCTTTTGCTTTCCACGTGAGTGGAATTAGACGGTGTAGCAGTGTCGGCCAGGACAGTGAGGATTCCGGGGGTCTGCAGGTTGTGAAGTATGGCCCTGGTGGAGGGTCAGGAGGTGTCCCTGGAAAACACAGAGGGAAGCTGTAAGCCGATTCCTAGGGGAAAGCCGAAATCTGGGAGAATATGGAAAGACTCCAACAAAAAAAGGCAAGTACAACTTTCTCTGAATTATTGTTTTATTAATCTAAGGGCAATGAGCATAACTTAAACATATCTTAAAGTTTAACGAGAAATTATAATGTTATGTTTTTCCCCCCACTAAATAGTGAATCGCAAAATATCAGATATCAGAAATAACTGATGTTGAATAAAAATGTCCAAGAGTCCTCTAGTCGTAATTTGGCAGTTTTATTCTAAAGTTTGCAGTTTGGATTTTAATTTTGCTACAATCCCAAATTTAGCGAATAAGTCCAATAAAATCAAAGGTACACTATGGGCACCATAACAACTTCATTAAATTAAGTTACTATGGTGGCAGGTAGTCCCCTGGGCGCTTTCTTGCCTGAAGGGATTAAACATTACTGAAATTCTAATTCAGTCAAGAGATATACAGAGACAAAGTAGGGACTACTTTGTCTCTGTCTCCTCCACCTGACTTTCTCTGACACGAGGCAGAGCTACAGAGTCAATCCATGTAGCCGTCATTGGTCATGGCTGCAGGGAACTGGCTGTGTCTATGGAGTATCCAGCAATCTCGCAAGAACCTCCATAGACCTCAGTGCTGTACTCTCTCGCATTTGCGAGAGTACAGCAGTGACATTGGTGTTAAAGAGGACCTCGTTGGATCAAGATGACGGTGCTCATGTTGGATAGGTTCAGGTAAGTAAACTCACCTTTACCTGCCCCCCCCCGGGCCACAGGACCACCAGCAGCGATGTCACTGTTGAGTCCCAAAACTGACCGTGCCACTTTAAAATAAAATTAGGGAAAATGTATACTTTCAGTAACACAAACATGTATAGTTTTAATAACACCATCTAGCCCCACTGGTCCCCTCTTTATTCCAGTCTTCTGTTGCTGGCTGTGCCCCTGATCTGCCTGCTTGGTTGACATAATCAGAAGTGGTGTTCTGAGCCAATCACAATGCTTTCCCATAGGATTGGTTACATAGCTGAAAAGAGACTTGGTCCATCAAGTTCAGCCTTCCTCACATATGTTTTTGCTGTTGATCAAAAAGGTTGAGCCTGTCAAGGAGGCAGAGCCTGCACAAGCCACACATAGCCTGTCCAGTCAGCATTTCCTCATGGAAATGCATTGAATCAACCATGCAGAGGGTGGAGACACTGAATGCCCTAGGACGCACCTCTAGTAGCTGTCCGATGAGTGGCCAGTAAAGGTATCCCTAGGCTGCAATGTAAACACAGCTTCTTCTGTGAAAAAAGTGTTTACTGCTAAAAGTCTGAAGGGACTGACTTGTATTCACCAGATAAAATAAGTTGTCGTTGTTCTGGTGGCTATAGTGTCCCTTTAATATGACTTATGTTAAAAAAATGCTATTGTATTCCCCTACCTATTTAAGTATAAAAGGTAAATTTACTAACCTTTAGTGCCTAGCATAGCTTGTCTTCCCAGGGCTGCTCCACCGCCCTGGATTCATGGTGTGAATAGACATTTTGCTTGCACACACCTATAGTGCCTGCAGTGCCCTAGCAATATCTCAAAATAATCTATCCCGAAAGACCCAGGTAAGTCGTCAAGCCATTATAAAATAGTTTGACAACTTACCTGGGTCTTTCGGGTACCCGGTCCTGCATGTTGTCTTTTTCAGCAGTACATGCTCCGTTGTCTTTGCTGAGCTAAGCCTGACTAATTCAGGACCATGCTTGTTGGCTGACATCGCAGAGCTGATGCTCTTAACCAATGAGCACAGTCCTGCATGCCCCTGCTTAGCTCAGAGGCACTAAGTAAATTATCTAGCAAGGAGAATTGGGAAGCAGGTCATGAGCAGAGCACCTGGTGGACACAGGTAATTTTTCAATGGTTTACTTGAAGGGCAGCAGAGCACTCTTTGTACCGTAGCCACCACAGTGAGCTGCAGTGGTTAAAACTGTGATATACTGCATCCTGTAAACTAATATCTTGTTAAAGGGTCACTCTTAGGCATCATAACCACTGCAGCCCTCTGTAGTGGTTATGGTGCCAGGAGTTCCTTGGGACTGTCCATTGATAAGAAATCAAACCATTTGTAAATGATTTGACATTTCCATGGGTTCTCTTGGGCAGTTGTGATCCTTCCAATATTCTCTTAGGGATGCTAAATTAAAATTGGCCTAGTTAAGTTGAAGGAAAGCCCTTAGACCTCTTAAAGAGGTAGTGTCCAATACCAAAGAAGAAGAAAGAGGAGGACTTTAGTTTCCTGGCCTAAATGGCCAACTGCGAGGAGCTAACCCTATAGTGATGCTGCCAATGTTTAGCCTGGAAAACTAATGTCTAGTGTTTTTCTATGGAAAAATACATCTTGTTCATGTTTTCCCTTTACATAATGAATATATTACCGAAAAGTTTTCATTCTATCCTTTTCAAATGTTTTAACCTTGTATTTACTGCACACACTGTAGGTTCTCTCAAATGGTGAAAGACCGCCCCCTGCGAACTTCTTGGGAAGTAAAGATGAAAGAACGCCAGGAAAAAAAATTGCTTAAGAACTTCTCCCAAAAACTGAAAGATGACAAGCAGCATGAGCGGGATGTGAGTGGCCCTCTGTGTGAATAATGAAATATTTTTATCATATAACTAAACTGAAAACACTGTCATAAATTAATTTATTAGTGTTTACCTTGTTAGTAAATTGTTGTTTGTGCTGTTGAGATTGAAATGTCATTGTCACTTTCCAGTTTTTTTTTGTTTTTTTTAATCTATATATTTTATTAGTGTTTCCTATATAGACTTTTCTTTTCTGAAATGGCTTCTATTTTGTTATACAAAAAAAAATGCTGATTTCATACTTGTCACTGTGCACTCTTCAGGAGTGTTTACTGTGTTGGGTGGATAAAAAAATCTCTCAAAGAAGTGCAAACAACAATATATTGTAAAAGCATTCACTCAGATCCATGCTGCTGTAGAGACCTGCAGGTGTTAAACAAGGTTCTGCCCCTGATCTGCCTCCTTGTCAGTCTCAGCCAATCCTATGGGGAAGCACTGTGATTGGATCAGGCTATCACGTCAGCAGACTGCTTGTTTTTCCTGAGTCTAACAGCATGCAGATTTACAGCTTCTGGCTTGAATACAGTAAGATTTTTTACTATATTTATGGAGGCATGAAGGACCCAGGGGGGCTAGATGGTCGTGTTAACACTATAGGGTCAGGAATACATGTAGTTGCACTGGTGACTATAGTGTCCCTTTAATAAAACACTACTTAACTGGGTAACCTATTATTATGGTGGAGAACATTTTGAATGGTTGACTGTTAAAATACCCCAAATGAGACTTGGGGAGCTGAAAACTTCATCTATTGAAAATGTTAACATTTCTTATAGAACACTCCAAGAAACTGGTCAAACTGTTTTAGTACAGCTTAACAACTTATCTGTGTGCCTGTGGCTGCAACTTCTGCTTCCAGTCTTTTCCTGCAGGATAATCCAGTTAGCGCTGCAGAACTAAGCAGGGTTATGCAAAACCGTTCTCTATGATATCTCTTTATTGTGATTGGATGATACAGGGTATAAAAAAAAAAAAGATTGGACACTAGAACCACTGCTAAGAATAAATGCTTTATTAAACCAAAAAGGTATAACAAACATAAAGGGTGACTTGAGAAAGGCAGCCAGGAAATGCCAAAACGTGGGGATATTAGGCGCTCGTGTTTTTGCCAGAGTAGGCTTGTGGAATTGTGGTTAATTACCGTTGTTTATTTGCCTTTTTGTTGTCGCTTCATTTTGTGCTTTATGTTTGTTATACCTTTTTGGTTTAATAAAGCATTTATTCTTAGTAGTGGTTCTAGAGTGCAATCTCTTTTTTGTAATATTTAGTATTGTTTGGGCACTTGAGTGAGTGCTTGAGAGTATTCGCACCCAGTGATACTTTTTGATCTATATGGTCTCTCCATATGTTGTTGTTGTTATGGATGATACAGGATGAAATGCTAAAGTAAATTAAAGCAGCACCACGCTGTTGTATAGGTGTTTTAACCACTGATCAAGAGGTTACCTGATCATTTAGCTTTGCGGTGACTAATGAGTTCTGAATGTGTGTGTGTACAATTAATTTTTGGGCTTTAATTCTTGTGCTTGTTTCTTGATGCAGGAAAAAAAGAGACGCCGTGAGGAGAATCTTAGACGCCGGCTTGAAAATGAGAGGAAGGCAGAAGTTGTACAAGTGGTGAGTTTTCTTATGTTTCAGCATCTTTTCTTTTTTTCAATATTAGTCTATCAAACTAAGTGAAAGTTAAATGCATGTGCTTCTGTGGGCTATTATGTGGTACTATTAATACTGACCTTTGTCTTGCTTAGATTCGAAACCCAGCAAAACTGAAACGTGCTCGGAAGAAGCAGCTGCGTTGCATTGAGAAGCGAGATACCTTAAAGATCTCTAAATCTTGAAACATTGATGAAACGTGACTCTGTGCCCCTAAAACAAAGTCTTTCCAAAAGGAGAAAGTGTCTTCCAATTGAGACTTTTTTTTTGCTCTTTGAAAGAGAAACCTTCTCATTAAGAATGGCACCGATGACCTCTGGGATTGCTTAAATTTTAATGGACCATCGGGTTGTGTTGATATGAGCTCTATTTGTTTTCTAACTTTGTCTTTGAGTTGCTGTAAAATAAATGAGAAAATTAAATAACTTGAGCACATGGAAACCGTGCTTGTTTCACAACGCACAAATGATTGTGAGACAGACTTAATTGCAACATAAGACATCCCGGTGTTCTAAATGCACACTAAGACTAAAACTGAACGCTAACTATAAATCTAGTAAACACATTTGTTTATTTCACTAAAGTGGAAATTTCAATATGTAGGTCAGATCAGGAAATGAGGATGAAAAATAGTTAACTTTTCAGTTCTACTGTTGCAGCCTAAAATTTTTTTATTCAACGTAATTTGTGACAAGTCAAAGTTTAGAGAATAACTGTGACAATTTTCACTTTATGTTTAAAGTTGCATTTCACTGCCCAAATTCAAAACAACTCAATATTTAGCATTTTAGCAGTTAAAACATGCATTTTCTCATTGATGATATCTACTCCTGTCTGTTTCCTTTGGCCAGCCCCCCTTTCTTTCCTAACCCATTGCAGACTTCCCAATGCAGCTCAATTAGAAGTCTTTGCAATTTGGGTAGTCTGGGTAATTGCCTGGATCTTGAGTTTAGTTCCACTGAGCTGAACTGACAGAACAGGTTGTCTGACATACAGCCGTGAGGGTGTAACATGGTTAATTTATAAAAGTGTAAATTTCTATTGCATTCTGCACTTTTTATAAAATTAGAAAATAGGACATACTACTCACACAAAGACCTTCAACTAGCTAAATTGTTCTAAAAATTCAACCAACCCTGAGTTGTTGTTTTTTAGGTGTTTTTAAAATGTAACCAATTAGGATACAGGCTTTTATTTTGTTTGTATTTTTATTTAGTAAAACCCGTACATATAAAATACCATGGTTCTATTAAAAAAAGCTATTTATCACCAATCTGTTACATTTTCTGGTATATGTTTGATTTTTTTTTTTTTTTCTTTCACACAAGTACACACTATTATATTGTTTAAATGGGGCAAAGTGTTTAGGAACGGTTTGCATTATTATCCTGGACCCTGCAGAGAAGTTGCGTTAGCCAGCACTGAACTCTATTTCCATATTTGGGAGATGATACACCAATGATGCTGTCTGAATTTGAGTTACACCTCCAGCAGCAGATGGGTTAAACGCTGTATGTGCAGCATTTCAAAGCGAAATGCACATACAGCCTCCAGGCACCATGACCACTTAAAGTCACGAGTTGCAACGATGCCTTGAGTAGCCATTTAAGTATCTCAAACAAATACAAATTGGCACTGTATTGACAGAAAATGACCCAGTGGGCAGGTTTATTTTACTTTTCCTCCTAGTTTAAGGTTGTCAGATGAGTAAAACATTAAAGATAAATGGTACAATCTGGAATGAGTTTTTTTTTTTTATTTACTGTTTGTTTTAACTGAATAAAAGCCCACTGGAAATCACTAAATAAATCACTGGAAATCTGCAGTTGCAATATCAGTTATGCCTGTCTATTACTATTGTAATGCAGTACATGCATTGGGAAGGGAATAAAAAGGTATTGCTTCACTTTAAGTACATTTTTGTTTTACATACATGCTCTGGTCCCATTGTGTGCTTAAAAGTGGGGTATGCCTGTACTGTGTGTTATGTGCTTGAAAGGTGTCCTATATGTCTTCCAAATTAAGAAACATTGTTTGTTTTCCCAGATATTTTTTATTGTAAATTTACAGAAAACTAAGCATGTATGTTCAACAGCATTTTTAAATTATTTCATACAATATGGTAAATTGGATTATACCATTGCGTTTTCATTCAGGTCTATTCTTAAATGGATGGTCATTAGATTTGAGTATCTAAAAGTTAATATTGTCTAGGAATTACTTATCCAAATTACTGCCTACAACAAGGTATATCTTACACAACATATAGCATAACTATGACCTACAACATAAGGACAATATAGCTTCTTTAATAATATTGAAGCAATCAAGAACCATTTTAGGGATAATATTGATTGTATTTTGCTAAGTGAATATAGCTAAATATATTCTTGCCAGGGTTTTATTTATTTGGAGAATCTATTCTTTATAATAAACCAATTTTTCCATATTTTGTTATAGGTATCAATATTGTTATCTTTAAAATAGACATCCTTTTCCATTACACCTTGATATTGGATCTGGGCTTTGATCTCTATTAAGGATGGAGATTCAGTATGTCTCCAATTTCTAGCCATACACAGTTTAACTGCCATTAAACCGTGGATAATTAGATATAAAGATGGTTTAGCCATTTTTGGCATATTTAGATGAAATAAAAATCTTTCTGGGGACAAGGTGATATCTACTTTTAAGTCGGAGAGATGTTTAGAAACTCCCAACTTAAGGTTGTCCAGGCCAGTGCAGTCCCACCAAATATGTTTAAGTGAACCTAGTTCACTATTACATCTCCAACATACGTTGGAGGAATTTGTTTTAACTTTGCAAAATTTAGTGGGTACCATATACCATCTGTCGATGATTTTAAGGAACGTTTCTTGTATATTTACACAATAAATCGGTTTCCTTATTAATGCAAATGAGTTTAACCAATCTTGCCAGGAAAAAGATTAATCTAGGTCAAGTTCCCACTTAATAACTGTGTTCAGTTTAACTTCCTGATTAAGTGTACCCAAGGCCATTCTAGTTCTTGAAGGTTTGTTATTAAGCTCCCCATAGAGGATCTTATCGAGGGGTGAATCTCTGATTATAGAAGTTTTATGAAGGAAATCGAATATTCTTAGGTAAGTAAAATATTTGTTATTCGATAAACCTAGTCTTTCTCATAGGTACAGAAAACGACAAATCCCTGAAATACCATATAAATCCTGGATTTTTACCAAGTGTCCAACCAGACAGTTTAAGGTCTTGGATAAACAATTTCAAGATTTCCAAAGGAGCATTTATGGAAACTTGATTTTAAGAAAAGAATATTTATTTATCGGCTCAATAGATTGAAAAGTATGGGAGATAAGTAAATTATCAATATGTACATTTTAAAACAATTTATCTACCCAGAAAGGAGCAAAGGGTTCAAAAGTACCACACATTTTTTTTTTTTCATTTATACAGGTGATACTCGAAAAATTAGAATATCGCGCAAAAGTTAATTTATTTCAGTAATGCAACGTAAAAGGGGAAACTAATATATGAGATAGACGCATTACATGCAAAGCAAGATAGTTCAAGCTGCGATTTGTCATAAGTGCGATGATTATGGCTTACAGCTCATGAAAACCCCAAATCCTCAATCTCAGTAAATTAGAATATTACATGCAATCAATAAAACAAGGAGTGTACATAGAACAATATCAGACCTCTGAAAAGTATAAGCATGCATATGGACTCAGTACTTGGTTTGGGCCCCTTTTGCAGCAATTACTAACTAAATTATCACCTGTATACCATGCTTTTGTTGTTGAATTTCTTTTTTCCCATTCTAAAAAATGGGAGAACATTACAGTATCATGAGTATAAAATATATTCGGAAACGATAATCCTCCTTCAGCTAATATGGTTGACATAACTTTAATTGCGATCCGTGGTTTCTTATCACCCCAGAGATAAGATACAAATAGATCATCTTTGGGACTCTAAGGGGAATTGTGCGAAATAGATATCCCAATTTTGGAAGTAATTATGCTCTAATAATATTAATTCTTCTAAGCCGTGATATTTTAGTTTAGACCAATTTAAGATAGTATTTCTAAATTCTTTAAGGAGTGTATTATAGTTGTCATTGATCCACCCTTCAATATTAAAATTAATAATTATCCCCAAATATCGAATGGACTTAGAAAAGTTAAATTTATGGTCGTTATTCAAATTTTCTATTTGAGGGCTTGAAAGATTACAATATAGAACTTGTGTTTTTTGCATATTAATTTTATAGTTGGAAAATCTACTGTATTCTTCTATACATTGTATTGTAGCTGGTATAGAGGTCTCAGGGTGTGTTAGTGTCATGATTATATCATCGGCAAACATGGTTATTTTTTGTTCTTGATTGCTTAAAAAAACACTCCAATTATATTGTGAGATTGTCTAATATATACCGCCAGTGGCTCAATAGAAAGAAAATAAAGAAGGGGTACCAATGGACAACCCTGACGGGTTCCATTTTTAATAGTAAATCAATCGGAATCTAAGCCATTAGCATATATTTTTGCCATGGGAGAAGAGTATAGGGACAATGTTACGTCTTTAAATAATCTCTCAATCCCAAAAGCAGAAAGTGTAGCCGACAAGTATTTCCAATTTACCCTGTCAAACGCCTTTAAGGCATCAAAAGCTATAAAAACTATAGGGACAGATTTTTTATCTACTTCTATCATAATTATAATTCAGGATTTTATGAATATTGTCACTAGCTGATCTTCCTCTCAAAAATCCAGACTGATCCAAATGAATTAGATCTGTAACCTATCAAATATGTTAATCAACATGTGTAACCATGATAATTCCCCAATAATCCCCATATATAAAATAATTATATACATGTTTCTATCAGAATCAGGTCAAATAAGATAATTGGCATCTGTAACCATGACATTCCACCCATAAATCCCCATGTAGAAAAATAGTTATACCAATATTCTTATCAGAAACATATCAAATATGTTTATTGGTATGTGTAACCACAATATTCTACCCATAATTACCCATATATAAAAATAAATTATAACCATTTTTCCAACAAAAACAGGTCAAATATGTTCCTTGGCATGTGTGATCTTGATATTTCACCCAGAGGTGTAACTTGAAAACACCAGGCCCTAGTGCGAGTATTGCCTTGGGCTCCCTCCCCCCATGTGTTTCAATCCTCCACTGCCTCCCCAGGTGGTGTCTCATTCCCTTCTACTCAGCCCCATGTGTCTCATTCCCTCCTACCAACACCTCCATGCGTCTCATTTCCTCCCTCCATGTGCCTCATTTAGTCCCCCCAGACCCTCCATGTGTCCTATTCCTTCTCCCCAGATCCTCCACGTGTCCCATTTCATCCTCCCTCCTCCCCAGCCCCTCCATGTGTCCCATTCCATTCTCACTCCCTCCCCAGCCGCGTTTTCCGTCTCACAGGAAGTGCTCTCTTGCTCAGCCATGCTACTCACAGAGGTAGGAGGGGAGCAGCACAGCACAATGCTCCCCTCCTGCCGGTTACCCTGTAACCGCGGCCCTGGGCCCAAGGTCGCAGGGGTTGCCTGGAGTGACGCCACTGATTTCACCCATAATTCCCATATATAAAAATAATTAGACCCATAATTACACAAGCATGATATTCCACCCATAACCCAATGTTTAAAACATCTATTACCATGATCCTGTCATAACAGATCAAATGTGGTCCTTTGCACATAGATGTACTATATTAAATCAGTAATATTGTCCTACAAATATATAGATGAATTTTACCACATGACAGGAGGCTTCATATTTGCATATCTTTCTTTACTGAAAACTCCAGCAGCATAGAAACATAACAACCAATCAGAAAAAAGTTATGATGCCCATAAAAGGCCCTGTCTATGACATCACTTCCTCTTTCTTTGCTGCTCCAGCCAACATCAGGTCAGAGTATTTTGCCTCCCTGGCAATTGCTTACATATATTGTTTGTTTCTCTGTATTTTGGATTGTATTGTTCTATTATTTACCTAAGTTAATTTATTTATGTAGCTAACTTATTTATTTCATTTATTTATTTCATTAATTTATTTATTTAGTTTTTTATTTTCGCTGTTCCCTTCTCCCTGTCCCTGCAGTTTCCTTTTGGGCCCCTATTACTTTTTTCACTGCCGGTACCCGCGAGCAACGGCTGTCAGTGCCGCGCGCCGCGGGCCGGCTAACGTTTTCCTTTTGTGGGGCCGGCAAGGGGACGGGTGGAGGGGGACTGGGAACTGTGTTCCCTCGTCGTTCCGGCGCCGCGCGGTCGATCGCGGCGCTCCTTCACACGCGGGCGGCGGCCATCTTGGATCTCGCGGCTCGCGAGATACCGGACGGCCGCCTTCCCCGCTTGCCCGGCGGATCAGTAAATCACCCGACCGCCGGGCTCCACATCTGTATACCCTCCCTAGTATGTACTAAGGGAGGGTATTAGGTTACAGTGGATTTTTTGCCGTTCAATATTTATATTTGCCCAGTGCCTGCCTGCTGTGCTGCCTATCTATTATAAATGCATGCTTTAAAGGGACAAGCATTCCCCCCTTTTTTGCCAACTTCAGACCTTTATGTCTCTATGCCCTGCTTAGGGTCATATCAGCTACTATATCCCAATTAGGGTTATACTAGACATGGTTATAATCTCCTCAGGATCAGATGGCATACTGGAAAAAATTATATACAATTATTATTTTTATTCTCATGAGCAGGCACACAATCTATGTATTATTGTGAAGCCATACAATATCACAGTCGTTATACAAAACATATACTGTACCTATAACAAGATCGACTATATCACTGTACCCTACGAAGGACATATTGTGTTACTGTACCCTACAAAGGGCATATTATATTATATTATTGTACCCTACAGAGGGTCATATTATATTACTGTACCTGACGGTGCAAATTTATGTGGGTGTCCTCTGGGTATTTTTCATGGCACACCACCTGGGGTGACCCCCCAGATATGCATGCAAGGTCACTGACAGACCATTACCTTTTGATGTGGGTGTCCTCTGGGTTACCATGGCACACCACCCGGGGTGAACCCCGATCATATGCATGGAGGCCTACGCCTCAACTTTACCACTGATTACTACAGACATATATGGATGTTTTACCCCTTGACTATGGATGTTTAACTTTTGGAATAAAAGGGAATCATGTGTCTCTAAGGGGTTAAACACTACCTGTCAGTTTTACATTAAAGCAACAGTACCATGCCGGATGCGATTTGACAACAGGATCACTAAGAAAATTGAGTGTATTGCGGTGTACCCTCCACAGGGATACATATATGTATATTTACTGCGCCTAGTGTACACATGGAACGTGGGTGTCCTCTGGGTAATTTTTCATGGCACACCACCTGGGATGA